AAGATAATCAGTTGAAAAGTCAGGACGGTTGTGAGGACCTATATAGAGAATGATCATAGCACGCATCATTTCGGGAGTAAGGATACGATCGTTAAAGTACGATATCATAGATGACATGGCAAGGCGAGTGCGTAAAGGTGCTGGATGGTGAGATGTTGACGGAGTCAATGGTTCAACATTCGCTGGAGTTCTTGTTAAAGACGGGGAAAGTATTGTAGGAGCAGCCGTACTATATTGAGGAGAGGGTAGTGAAATATTAGATGGTTTTCCAGGAGAGAGTTCTGTGGTTTCTTCTCTTCTAGCCGGTGGCGAGGGCAATTTCGGGGGGCTTTCATCCTCATCTTCACTTTGATGAGGTGTTCCCGCTGCCAAAGTATATTGCATACTTTTCCTTTGGATAATCCCCTTATTCGTCTTCCTATATTTCTTCTCTTTAATCAAACTCATCTGTTCATCACTCATCCAATTTCCAATGTTCATGTCCAACCCGGGATAAATGAGAACTAGGCCATCTGGGATCGGAAGTCTTCCTTGTCCCATGAATTGTCGAGCATCCGTTTTCCCAGATTCAATAATCATCAATGTAGTGCTAGCAGCTAGATTTCCACCAGCGCTATCTCCCGTAATGACAACCTTTGGTACTACATCTCCGGATAATCCCACACAGCGACCTCGACTAGAGATTATTGTACTGTAAACATCGTAACATTCGTTCAGTGCGTAAGGATATGGAAACTCTGGGGCTTTCTTATAATCCAAACTCAACACCGGCAATCCAGTTTTCCCTGCCCATGCAAACAACTTGTCGTCATTCGTTCTTGGATCCATTGCCACAAATCCTCCGCCCGGGATATCCAAAACAACCTTTGTATGATTTTTTAAAGCTGACAGTGGCCCGTCAAAGAATAACCACCCCTTAACTGGTTCTTTGTAATCACTACTCGATGGTCTCGGGATTCGAATCGCCCTAGGTGGATATCTCATGAACCTTGGTCGTAATAGATTCGACAAAAATCCCAGGTATGGAGTTGTTCCTTTATTCCAGCTGACCCTCAGATGATCCACGGTCAACATCCCTCTGACCTTTCTTACTTTTTCATCCGCTTGCTCGGCAGCAATTAGATAATAAAATGTGAATATGACTCCAGCCAAATCACGTATCCACTTCCGCCTTATACGCATGGCACTCCAAAAACCTGCATCCAAAGCTGTGGTAACCCATGTTGCTCGAAAGTATGATCTCGTGTATAGATTGGCCAAGGGCTCCGGACATTCCAGTCCAACGAGTTTTCCCAAGTTTCGTGCAATGTAAAGATAGAGGAGGGTTATGACAAGAGTTTGCCATGGTGTGAGATATTTTTCGAGTAGACGGGATACTTTTCTAAGTTTTGGTGGACCGTCTCTGTTCCCTCTGTAAATTATGATGCTTAGTTGATGATATAACAATAGGGTGGCGCAGGAGTGTTACTTGAAAAGGTAGAACGACCAGAAAGAAACCACCGCCAACACTTGTATCTTACGAAACTTTACAGAAGGTCGCCCTAGAACATGATCTACCAACTTCGTCAGTAATTGAAGAAAGTATGGTGTTGGCAGTAGGACATACCTATCATCTTGATTAAAGTTATATAGTGTTGTACAAAAGAGAAGATGTCGAGTAAGAACAAAGAATGGTTGATAACATGTGCGCGCTCCCAAAAAGTTACTTGTCTTCCGGAGCTCAAAGGAGAATGGGCAACTACAAGCGCAAGATCGATAAGTGTGGAAAATGCATGTATGTGACTTGACAGTAGTTGGGGCGAAGTCGTTTCACTTGTGCGACATGAAGATGGACACAGAGAGCGGGAGGAGATTGTATTGATGGATGAGGATCGGTAGATGAGAATACTCTCAAACCAACATCATAGCTGAAGCATATGATCAAGTCAAGCAGAAACAAGACCGAGGCTGATATGACCCCCAGTCCAGAGTCTTCAAAATATAACGACGAACAACGAATTGAAAGGCTGGGAATGTTGGATGTTAGAATGAAATCGTGGGGATTGTGTGGAGAAGATGATTGTATGATTGCTTGTGTTTGTATTGGGAGTGAAGTTTGGCATGTGATTATGTTGGTTGACTCAGCTTGAAGGCACGTGCTGAAGATCGATTAGTGTATTGGCGCTAGCGGCCGCTTGAGGTGGTTTGATATCTACGAAGTTGTGGAAGCTCGTAGGTAAGAAAGAGTACTGTCCTTAATTATCATCATTACTTTATGCACCGTTTCAAGCATTGCTCCATCTACACACACTCGTTTCGTACGAGAATAATCATCAAATTTCGCTTTGGATCACTACTGCTATATCCTTACAATTTCACGGTAACCCAGTTCAGCTTCCACTTCAATCTCCACAAGAAATTCGTCCCCAATTACCCCTGATACCACCAATGTATTTGATGGTCTGATTCCCACGCACTGGAAAGCCCAACCATGTGCAAGACTGACCGCTTCAACATCCTCCTCCCTGTGCATGAATATTGAGGTTCGCACAACATCAGCCAAGTCTCCGCCCAAAGCTTTTATGGCACGCGCAACGATGTCTAGGATTGCCACGGTCTGGCTGCGGGCACTTTTCCCACCTATCGCTGGAACACTTGAGATTGGAGAATTGGCTGTGGTTCCTGATACGCGAATGGTGTTGCCTGTTCTGACTGCTCGACAGTAACTCTGTTTAAAGAATATTAGCGACCTTTCTAACACATCCGGGGGAAAAACATACTGCAATGGGCTCCCAGTGGCTGCCCGAAGAATATTCAATGCGAGCTCCACTAGCGACAGCTTTGGCGATCTTAACATCATGATCTGTCTCCTCAAGGTGATCGCTGAGATCACCTTTTACTGTGAGAAATGGTGGTCGTCGATATTCATCACCGCAGTCTCCCGGTATGTCCGCAAGGCCCTCCTGTGCTTTTGATATCAAAGCCCTGTCTTCTGCATCTAATGCGAAACTAAAAGCCTCAAGATTGCTCACGGTATACTTGCCCGAAGTACTTGATAGCCTGGATCCTACAATTACAGCTTTTACCGCAGGAAGGTCTAAAACATGTCGTGTTGCGACGGCAGAAATACCAACACTGTGCTTTTTGGCAACTGTGGAAAGCGCTTGAAGCACAACTTGATAGGCCGACCATCCTCCAGCCGCATTAATAAAACGCAGATATTTTCTCAAACTCCAGTTCAATTCTGTCTCGTTCTTTGGTTCTTCAACCCCAAGCCACTTTTCACTAAGAAACCCCCCAAGAAGTGTTCCATATGCCAAGATACCAACATCATGTTCGGTACATACTGAAGCAAGTCGACCGCGAACATGGCGACGATCAACAACAGAGCACGATACCTGATTGGTTGCAATCTTGAATCCCGTATTGATCAAAAGTTCGAGATGTGCGGCATCTGTGTTTGTCATTCCAATCATTCCAATTTTCCCTTGTTTTTGTAAAGTTCGCAAGTGCTCCAGATTTTGAATGTAACTATCATCCGTATAATCCCATGCATGATCTATCCTACGTTAGTATTTTTCAGATGAATTTTTTGACTTTCTTACATTGCATCAATTCAATTTTTTCTTGCTTCATCCTCTCCAGTGCAAGATCCACAGCTTTTTCTGCATTCTCGAAAGTGGCGATTCCATTTTCTGGTGGACACCATTTTGTGAAAGCTATCATTTTCTTCGTCGAGGACGAATTGTGCTGACCCATGACGAGTTCTATTTGGGTCAGTAACCTAAGACTTAGAGACAAGAAAAACTCACCTGCGTCACCATAATGATCAGCCATGTCAAAACAATCCAGTCCTGCTTCAATTCTTGTTTGGAGATTAGTGATCATGTCAAAATCGGTTCTGATTTGACGATTCTCACAATGGTTCCATCGCTTTGGCCGCTGCTTCCACATCAACATTTTGATCATGTCCTCCAGCTAGCTGCCATAGTCCCGATACCATGCGGGGTATCTCAAGAGAACCACCGATCAGGGTCCGTTCAGGTTTGTTTGATGTATTATTTGCCATGATCTTGAAATCTTTCTGTAAAATATGAATATGGTAATTGAAGATTTCTGCAAGTATTTGGGGAATTTATTAATTTGTATAAATTTATGTCTAGTACGCCTTTGCAAAGACATACCTGTTTCCCCAGCAACCATACGATTACCATCAAATACCGTATTCTTTTAAAAAATCCGTCCGAGGCTAGCAAGGATTCATGATTTAAGTTTATTGTGAGTTAAAGTTACAGAAACCACCAGAGCTGCTTGATTCGTTGAATCCATAGATTATTCATCAAATGCCTCTATTTTGAGGTGTCTTACTACCTTTAGGGAAAAGCTAATTAACCCTAAAATTAAGTATCCTTACTAGTCTTAAACGAATTTTTCAAAAGAATACGCTATGCAATGTAATTCAGATCCTTACGCCTTATCGGATATCCCGCAGATCTGAGAAGTTTAACCGCGACTATTCTACCTCCGCACCCGTTCCCGTATCCGTCTCTTCAGAACACCGAGATAAGATTTTACCTTATTGTCTTCCCCGATTGAGAACTATTGAACAGAATTGAATGGGTGTAGCTGTGAGGAATCAATTGATAGTTATCTATGCAAAGGTCATGATAAGAAGTGGTGCTGAAGTTCGTGAAGTCCCTGCAAAAATGGGGTTTGTGGGTGAACTCCATCCTTGATTGTGTGCGATACCTCCAATATGGTATTTCTAGTTGATACGTATATAATGAAGGGTAAAAATAGAGGTGGGAAATATTACTTTTGTTATTGAGTAACATCTCATTCATTTTCTAACTTTTTGATACAACATGAATACTGACACCGGAAAAGGCACTGGGAAGGATGACATTAGCAATTTAGATGTCTAACCAACGGAAGATGTCGATTCTTTGAAACATGGTGAAGTCGCTGTGGGGAATTGGGGGTCCAAGACGAAAAGAGAGTTCAAGTCAAGACATTTCAGTATGCTTGCTGTAGGAGGGACTATAGGGTATCATGTCTCTTGATTTATCCGATCCCTTCAAGGTATTTGGATACCAGGAAACATTGAAATGTTGGCACAATCTGTATTGAATACTTTGTCTCACTATGGGCATCAATTCATGATTCTAGCGGTAGTATCACTATCGATCTAGACGCAAATTTCGACTTTCTAGATAGGTATTGGGCTTACAATTGTAACTTCCCATCGACATTCCACTGGCTTTCTGGAGAGTGCTTGCACGTTGGTTTCAATTGTATGAGATTAGACGAATCAGTTGCATCATTTATCCCTGTGCATACCTGGCTAACAAAACCTCTCAAGCACTGGACTCTTTCTCATCTCTGGAGCTACCATCTCAACGGCTGGACCTGTTGGAGCTGTGATTTCCTTTATTGTATCTGGTGTATTTGTGTATTTGGTTGTGGCTACAGTAAGTCTCGAGATCAGTTATCTTTTTTCGACAAAGTTCAAGGTATAGCCATAGAATCTAATGATCAACTACGAAATAGATTGGTGAAATCGCCACCATATTTCCTGTTTCTGGATCATTCGCAGCATCCGGGGATAGATTCTTTGACCCGGCTCTTGGTTTTGCCCAAGGATGGTCATATTGGTTTCTTGGGGCTCTTACTTTACCAGCAGAACTATCTTCAGCAGGTATCATCATAAGTTATTCGCTACCAGATATTGAGACTTGGGTATGGGCCTTGATATTTCTTGTCGTGATCGTTGGTAGGTTCTCTTTTTGGAAAATGATGTCTTTGATCACGTGTCTAACTTTTTTAGTCATAAACCTCTTTGGAGTTCGATGTTCTGGAGAAGCGGAGTTCTTCTTCAGTTTCCTGAAAGTACTCGTTGTTATAATCTTCATCATCCTCGGTTTGATCGTCAACGGCGGTGGGATACCTGGCCACAAAGCTAAAGGATTCGATTAGTGGAAGTCCTCGACAGAGGGAGCTCCTTTTGCGGCAGGATGGCCCAGTGTTTTATCTGCTTTGTATACGACTTTCTTGAGTTATGGAGGCACAGAGTTAGTTGGTTTGACTGCTGGTGAAGCCAAGAACCCACGTAGAGATGTCCCAAGGGCTATCAAGGGGGCGATTGGGCGGATTTTGCTTTGTTATGTTGAATTCATCTTTGTCATTGTAGGTTTTAAGCATCCAAAATGTCCAATCGCATCTGGATATTGCCAACAATAATATAGAGTATCAACATCAAGTTCCCTGACCCCTTACTCCTCACTACATCCGCTATAGGAATTGCAGCTTCTCCTTTCACACTTGTTTTCAAAGATGCAGGTATCGTTGCCGCTGCTATTCTTATTGCTGTAGTCAGTGCCGGCAATACCAGTGTCCATGCTACTTCTCGTATACTTTTTGCTCTAGCAAAGCACGGATAAGCACCAAAAATCTTCGCTACCACATGAGAGGTAATGGCGTTCCGTTGCCAGCTATGTGTGTTAGCGTTTTAATAGGCTTCGTTGCATTTCTCAGTGCGATATTTAGACAGGGAGTTGTGTTTACTTGGCTTTAAAATTTGTATGTATCCCATCTTTGGCGTTTATGTCTTTACGATCCAATTTCTCGCCGTTATTAGCCCAAAGACAATTTCTTCCTACTCTCCTCGAAGCAATTGCTAACAATACTCTAGAATCGCAATTTGTAATCTCCTAATCTACATGTCGCATTGTCTCGTAAACATTCGATTCCGTCTCGGTTGGATTCATCAAGGAAATAATCTATCCGATCTTCCGTTCAAAGCGGAAATCTTTCCATATACCTCAATCTGTGCTTTTCTCATGGGTTGTCTGATTGTCGCCGGAGAAGGCTATGTAGCTGCAACTACGAGACCGTTTGCTTGGGCTAACATTGTCGCTGCTTATATCGGTATTGCTGTCTTTTTTATCTTGTGTGGGATTTGGAAGGTGCTTAAGAAGGTATATTGACTTTTTCCTTCTTTGCTTGTACTTTGGGGGTAGGGGTGTCTTGCATGAAATATTTCTTCCATATGACGTCAATACTAACTCATCATGAATTTAGACAAAACTAGTCCCCTTCTCAGACATGGATTTCCAGACGGGAAGATCTCAACCCCCGGTGATGAGGAGATTGCGGCTCTTAATGAGTTGGAGAGAATGGGTGTAAAGACTTGGAAGGAATTGAAGGCGAGGGGACGAGCGCCGAAGGTTGGTAGGGCGGTTCATTGGGTTGTTTCTTGATGGGTGGGTGGGGTGAAAGGGGGTGATTTCTGGATTGGGGATTGGTTTTTGTGGGATGGAATTCATGATGCAGAGAGGTATATAGGTGAGATAGGTATTGTTGATGGGGTATTTTTGTTTAGTGATAAACTAGATCCATTTAATGCGACCAAAGGCTGAGTCTTTGATCAAGCCTCACTGGTCAGGCACCTCGATAAGTGTGAAATTTTGCGAGTCTTATTTACACAAAAGATTTCAAAATATGTATATACTTGCTAGAAGCTGAACACTGAAAGTCAGATATATACAGATGAACGGGAGAAAGTTCTTCCCAATCCCACAGAAACCTGACTCCCTCGCTCCTCACAATCTTCTTCAATATTTACATCTTCTACCTCGCCCTAATTTTGAACAACAGAATAATATATACACGCCTCATCTCATCTCATCCATCTCATCTCACACCCATCAAAGCTCAAAAATCCCACTCATCGCCTTGACAAAATTCTCCGCCACCAATTTCTGAATCGCCTGTCCCGGATGATAAGTATCATACCACAAACACGAGGTCCCATCTGCATTCATACACGTTGCATCTGGCGCCCCATAAGTCGCCGGATCATCCAACGCCGTATAAAACGATTCCGTCGTATTAAAAATCGTACCCGTAACACCCGCATTCGCTTTCTCGAACGTCGCTAATCGAGTCACGAGATCCGCGTTATAGGTACTGATATTTCCGCGTACGAAATCCATATTTTGCGCGGTTTGCTCTGCGAATACGGGGGCTTGGTCGAAGGGGGGGATGGTAAAGAGGGTGAAGTATCGGATTCCTGCTTCGTAGAGGATTTGCAGTTGTGCGAAATAGTTGTCGAGGATGGACTCGAAGGGAGTGGGGAAGCCGTCCCAGTAGGAGTTGCCGACGTCGTTGATGCCCATCCAGATGATGGCCATGGTGTTTTCTTCGGTCCAGGGAGCGGTGGAGACATTGTGTGCGGCGTAGGTGGAGAATTCGGTCACTTGCGCGATGAGATCGTGGGTTGCGCCCTTGACGAGGGTGTTGTCAGTGGTGGCGCCGTATTCAGCGTAGTCGTAGCCGAGAACGAGGGAATTGTTTAGTTCGGTGGCGACGACGCCGAGCCAGCCGAGACCGCCGTCGGTGGTGGTTCCCGGGAGGGCGACTCCGAGTGGGTTTGAGGCGGAGGGGAGGGGAGCCCCGCCGTAGAATCCGTCGGATGTGTAGGAATCGCCGCTGGGGGATTGTTAGTTGTGTACCTGTTGGATTTGGTTCAGGGAAACTTACAAAACCATTAGATATTTGGTTCCGGAAGATGCGGATGAGCTTGCGATAGAAGCAACTGCAGCGCTGGAAGAACTAGAGGCTACAATGGCAGCTTGAGTTGATTTAATCAGGGCGGAGGATGTGGAAACAATGGCGGTTGGAAGAGCTGCAAATGTTGTAGTAATGAGGGGTACGCTGGAAGTAGAAGAGGATCTTGCAATCGCTGCTGACGATTGGACAGATGAAGCGACTACAGATTTTGCAGAGCTAATCTGGGAGGAAACCGCTTGAGCAGCCGAGCTTGCTTGAACAACAACCGAAGAGCTGGCCACCGAAATAGATTGTTTAGCAACCGAAGTAGCAAAAGTAGACGAATCGCACTTTTTCTTCGTAGTAGCCGAGGATACTTGTAAAGCAGTACTCGAGACCACCGGAGCTAAACTCGAGACAGCCAAAGCAGTCGTTACAGGAGCGATTGTAGTACTCGAGATAACCTCCGCTGCACTCGTCGCTGTTCCTGTTCCCGCCACACATTGATAATAAAATGCATTTTGGGATTGACAAACCGCTCCCGAAACACAAGTTGTCGAGCCTGTGAATCCAGTACCTCCACATTGACCATATAATGCCACATCTGCAGCCGAAGTAGCTGAGATGAAAAGACTAGCCGCCAGCGGCAACGATTTGGGATTGATGAATACCATATTTATGAAAATTTACAAAGTACTGGTATAGAAAAAGAATGTAATGTTTCGCGAATAGTGCGAAAAGAAGAGAATGAATGGATGAAATATAAAGAAAGCAAAGCAAAGCAAAGCAATCAAACCCCCTTCAAAACCTTCACAAATAGATGATCATCATGTAATCATATATAAGTCTTAAGAAATGGAAAAATACCAATCCATCCACTCCATAATGTTCATCTCATTAAGGAGCATTGCAATATCCCGGAACGCGCATTTACACTTTATTTGCAATATATTTCAGACGGGAGCTCGGCTTTTGGGGGGGGGGGAGAACCGAGGGTATTGAAGGATTGGGTGATGGATATTACAGGCGCCTAGACTTATTATGGAGTGCCTAGAAGAAGCCCTGAAGGAAAGATGTGGCTGATGTGCTTTAGTGAGTGGGGTACAAGGGGGGAATTACTTGATGGAGGATTTGTGAAACATGTTAAGGTTAGTTACCCTTGCTGAAATTAGTTTTTTGATGGGAGTTGACGTATGCATGCGTGATTGAAATGTATGACATTCGAAGAAGAAGAAGAAGAAGAAGAAGAAGAAGAAGAACTCGGACGATGTATTAGTTCGTGTTGGGTGATTGAGTTAGATCGGGATGTCGAGATTCTCCATACATGGTTCACGCTACTCACACTCACGAGGTGGAATAACTCGCGTATCGTGATGGATGAACGCGCCGGTATGCCGGTAGTACAGTAGTATTGGTATGAAGCAGGTCTCGCTTTGATGATAGAGATGAAAATTAGACGTGAAAGCAGAGAGATAATGGGGGATAATAAACAAGATGCACTAAATCACCGTTTCGTTGAAGGAGAGCTCTCGGTCCCGAGCTCTCCAATTACTTTTTCCTCTGCTGGGGTGATGGCTAGCTCTGCATGCCATACCATACCATCACATCACATTATGTCCCATGGTCCAAATTGGATTGTCACCTGATACGAAGCAGACAATGAGTATAGCGCCACGATCAAAGAGAGAGGAGAGAGATCATGAATGATAAACTATTCGAATCATAAAGCCTCTTTTGGACATGCTCTAGACTCTAGACATTACTGATGGGGATGAGTTGAGATAGCTTCGGTCGATTTGAAGCTGCTTTATCCATATTAACCAAGCCAAGCTAGAACGGCGAATCATGCACAGCAGCAAGGGTTTGCACATCACACCGATGTTAAAGCGGCGCTCTAATCCGTCTGAATGGGAAAATAAGGACTACCTTTAATGTCCCTACCAAATTCAACATCTCACATGACATGAATATTCTAATTGGTTTGGAAATCTGGATACGTCGTGATTGTTGGACTGCAGTCCGGACTATTGGATACCCGGCCCCCGTCCCCCGCTAGTTCATAGCTAATATCTAACATCCTCTTCCTTCTTTCCATGTTTTGAAGTTGGACGGACGACTTAATTGCAAGCAATATTCGAAGGCGACACTTCGTTCTCATCAATTCTTGATATCTTTCTCGTGACCGTGGGAGGCTTAGGACAGGTTCTTTTGAACATGATGATAAGGCGAATGATCAGTATTGTTCGATCGATCACAGTTCGTGGTTACAAGGTGATTCATCAGCCACTGTCACGCCTCACAGAGAGACCCCAAGGCCATAATAAAATCGTTCTACAGCTCAAGTGGTGATACGATCAAACGTCTCTTTCTCCTGAAGTTTACGGAAGAAAGAATTTCCGTAGACCTTCGTTGACAATTGTGTGTTTTTGACAACATCAACGATGGATGAGTCTCATGGTGTTCAGAAATTTTCAGAATCAAGGAATTCAATACAGAGACGACGACGAATCCTAAGTGGTATTCATCCTAAAAAAGACTAACGTGAACCTACCGTGCGTGTTCCTACAATCTTCAGATACTCAAGCACGACAAAAATGACAAGAAATCTTGTGAATAGGTTGAAGCAACGTCCAGGTGGGTTATAGAATCAGTCACTCATCATTCAAACTGGCTGATAATGATGATTGCCTCCCAATATAACTCCAAATAAGGGAAATTGATTGTACAAGATAAATTGGCACTTCAAACCTCTAAACTTCATGTGTATCTCTTTGAACGATTTATATTGTTGAACCCATGCCTGCATCTAATATACAATAACCTGGAAGTCCAGCTTCACAGATGATCCTTCACAATGTCATCCTCATCCCGAGTTTCTCATACCCGCAGAACTTTCGTGAGACTCCACAAAGCATTCCACATAAAGCCGTCTCTCCTCCACTATATGTCTCAGAGCAATATTATTACGCTCCCATTCTTCCGTTGTCAATCTTGGTCGAGGAGGTTCATGCTTCCGTTCTCCCGTTCCCAGATGCTCTAGAGGAGGTTCCCGCTTTCTTCAAATTACAGCGGTAGACTTATACCGACCCCTTCCTTGATCGACTTGCTTAATATCCACACTACCCAACTCCTCTTTTTGAACATACTGTCCATACAAAGGTCCGCCATTTTGTCCACTAGGTACATAAAAGCGGCGCGAAATCTCTTCTTCCAAATCCTCTGCTATTGATAGAAAGCGAGCTTTAAGTTGCTGTTCTTTTGCTGGAGAATTTTTGAGAACTTTTTTAAGAGGCTCCTGGACAAAAAGAGCACGGTCGAAGTAAGGCTCCCCAATTTCTGGAGTTTTGACATGGTATAGTGCTACAATAGCATTGGGAAAGCCAGAATTTTTTATATTTGATAGGCGAAAACAATCGACCGTGCGATATTCGGATCTAACTAAAACTTCGGAGTAGGTATGTAGGACATGGATTATGGTGTCGTTATCGGTAATCTCAACCTGGTGACTCATATAGTAATTTTTGATGGTTTGTAGAAGATTAAAGTGTTCTGCATCTTCTTTCGTGACCGAAGTTGGAGGAGGGCATAATCTTGGGGCTGAAGGGTCCCGGAAATAGTTTATCCAGAGTCCGGGTTCTTTTGCGGAGAGTTTGGGGGTTGACGTAGGAGGTTTGACTAGAGCGGATCGCTCGGGGTTTCTGGTCCTGTTTCAAGATCTTTATGTCATTTTTGCTCAGGTGTTGGAGCTTGTTGTTGTGGTGTTTGGTGTAAGTTGTCAAGTGACGACTGCTATGTACGCCGAGACTAGGAGCGAAGTCGATATAGTGAGAATATTTTGTGATTGATGAGGCAGCTAGTACTTTAAATTTGTTGGAGATCTTGCCGGGAAAAGTGGTGAAATGATGTTTTGTAGTTCTGTCGTCTGAAAGTAATGGTATCATTCTATGCGCTCCGTCCTTGTAGATGTATGTGTTTTGAGATTTGGAGGAGCTGGATACAGGAACTGAGAAGTTTGACGACTTGTATAGACATTTTGGAGAATCAATGACTTCTGCAAAAGACTCATACCATTGAAGTAAATGGTCAAGTTTATCAAAAGTATGAGTGGATGAGTGGTGTTATTTCACAGTCACACAATTCACTTTGCAAGGCACGATCAAAGAACTATGACTCCAAATCAACTCTATCGAGGATTCCATGCTTATTCAACCACTTCCAGATTACTCATAATCTTCCGACTCATACCAAATATTATTCACAAACGACACATCAAGCCCACGCCTCGCCTCCATAGTCGAGCCAGACGCAACGCATCCTCTTCTCGTTTCGCCTAACAGTTACCCGGTGAACCATGTTTCAACCTCCAAACTCGCCCCCAGCATAAATCTCTATCCTCTGGATCAAATTCCTGTCCCGATGGTCTCTGATCAAACGGTTCAGCAACCGGTGAGTCGGAAGTCGATATTGCTATTATTGTTCTTGCGTTGCTTCACATGATGTATTGGCCATTGATCGCTGGAAAAAAAATCTTCGGATCCATCGCAGTAAAGTTGTTGCATGATTTTCTCGGCTAGAGCAGATTCGCTGGACATGATGAGAAATTGTGAAGGGGAGATTGTCAATGGTTCTTGTGCAAAGAAGGCACATCTGCAGAGTTTGTAAACAGGGTGTCCATCTTCGTCCAGCCGCCACAGCTCGAATCCCACTTCGATGATAAAGTCAGGTAGTTCCTCCAGACAGTAAGGATTCATGTTAAATACAATTCGAGGTTTTACTTGTTTACTAAGGTCTAGGGCTCGCATAAAGTGTTCATATTGAGGGAGGAAATACTTTTGAAAGCGTTCGAGTATTTTGAAGCTGAGAGCCTCCTTGGAGTCAAGTAAACTGGGTGATCTGAGGATAGTTCCTCTGACAGTTCTAGCGTGCCACAATATGTTGCGTGTCCACCCGTCGATTTCCGCTTGAGAATAATCGTGACAGAATCTCCGACAGAAGGTAAGTGTGGAATAAAGGACGAGAGTATTGGGATCAGGAAACTTGGAAGCGAAATCCTGCGCCTTGGCACGAGATTCAACTTCATTTTGGCAATTTGTGAACCTAAAAACATTCATGGCTATGGCTGTTATTGGTTTGGCAAAGATGTATTCGATTTTCAGGTAGTGTTGAAGATTTGAATGATGCTCAGAGCTGTTCGGAAAACTGGGATGAAGTAACGCTGTCTTTGGGCCTTTAATCGATACTATTGACCTGTTTTATTGGAAATTCTCTTCTCGGAGGTTTCTGATATTTTTGAGGTGTGGAAGAGGGGGGGAGGAGATCGCCAGAATTTATACACAATTGTGACTCTGTAAATTGAAGATCCCTGACTCGAATCTGGACTACAAAAACGATTCTGAAATATCCAGACTTACAGCATGCTTTTTGTTCTTCATAATCACCTAATTTGCACAAATGAACAGAGTCTAGTGACTCCATAGCATGACTGAAATCATAAATATAGACTGAGAGTAGTGACCGGTAGCTTTGGTACCCCAGCTGATAGACTTGACGTTTAATGACATTAGAAATAGATGAGCTTCGAGTCAGGGTAACCCAATAGTACGAATTCCAGTCTAACAATGAACACTTATCAAATCCTCAAACCAACTGAAACATTAAAATCATCTAACATATTAATCAGAATTGAAATATTACACTGTTTTCAAATTTCCAGCTAATTTTAGACATTTAAACCGTCATATTGTTCGACCACAATTTGGACTATAGGATACCCTGCTTCTAGTATTACTTAGTCCGCTGTATAGATACAATCCTCAAGGCACAGAGGTTTTGAATCCTTTTGCAGCGCTTCAAAAAACTTCAGTCGTGCCAGGCATCTTCCAGATTCCGCGGTGCAACGATATCGAGTTTGAACCGGCATCAAGAGATCAAGGGAAGTATCACAGGATCCCCCGAATATGAAGCATCTTCGACATGAATCATATTCTTAGAGATACTCACAGTATAGTCACTAAACGGCTGGTGATGTATGTTTGTATCACGTGCCGTTCGAAGGAAGTGTTCTTGTTACAGTGCTGGTATTCCAACATCTTACAATTAAGAAGCATCTATAAAGAGACAGGCACAGTCCCCCACAAGTGAAGCGAGCTACAAGGCATACATCTTTGACAAAGTGCAACAACCACAGACTTATATCTAGGCTTCCCGAGTCAATAATATCATTTTACAATTTTTACTCCCAACGTCAACGCACGATCTCTACTTCCAGGATCAACACATAAAATCACACAATGAATCACCAGCTCACACCCTCGAGCAACAAACGCGGTGCACTGTCAAATGGTTCAAATCAAAGAAATATATTGCGAATTGTTTCTAAGAGCATACCAGAATCCCCATCTCTAAACCACAGAAAGAACCTTTTAAAAAGAGGAAATAGTAGAAGAAAAACTTGAACTTTCAATTTAGACCCTTGACCCCATCTTTCTCCCAACAGGAAGAAATCAATCGACTCCTAGCGCACCGAGATCTATCGAGCTCTTAGTCTCAATCCCCAACCATGACCACGGATCTCATGCCTCCCAATCCCACCCCTCTCCCCTTTTCCACCATCCTCCTTCTTCCAACCACCCCTCCTCTCCACCATCTCTCTCTTCCCACCATTTCCATCCCATCCCCTCCTTCCCCCCTTCTTCCCACCCTAAACCGTAGTAATCGGTTCTCTCAACCCCACCATCCCCTTACACCCCAGTGTAGAACAACAAACACTTTCCCCACCAGTAATCAACTCACAGCCAGCCAAATGACCATCGCCATTCCATTTACAGAGAGTTCCTCCCGTTCCAGGGTTAGGATTGCAGCAGTAAGCTGTACCGGGGTATGGACAGAATGCCTAGAGGAGTGGAGTTGACATATTAGTATTTGTTTCGAGGAGAGGATGTGATGTGATGGGTACTGAGAGAGAGAGAGAGAAAAGAAATGAAAGATATGTAGGAAGGGTGAAAGATATTGAGAAAGGAGGAAAGGAGATTGATACACACATTTAATTTTGTGTGTTCAAGATTGCGCTTCTTCAGGTCCTTAGATAGGCAGATACGTCAGCCAAGGAGAATCAAAACAATCCGTCATCCACGTTTTTGTCCCAAAATCAAACAACCCTTTCCTCTCCCCCCCCCCACCACAAAAAAAAAAAAAAAAAAAAAAAAAACAACACATCCCGCAGAAAGAAACAAAGAGCCAAAAAAACCCCAAACTCACCACACTATTACTAAACGGCAGCACATCATCCTCGGGCCCCGGCGTAAAAGTCGGTTTAACCCACTTCCCCACCACCGGTCCCCCACCCGCAAACGGAACCAACCCATCATCTCTCGGGGGCTCGATATCCTCTTCCGGCTCCGGGAACGGGATGCCCTGACGCGGGAGAACTTGTCGGGAAACTTTATCCGGGATAAAATCTTTGGCTTCGAGAGCGGAGTGGGGGTTGGGAGCTGGGACGGCTATGGCGGTGGTGAGGGTGAGGAGGAAGGTGAGGGTGAGGGTGAGGAGTGGGAGATACATTTTGGTTGGGAAGATAGAGTGGAGTTTGAGTGAGTGAGCGTCGTGTTGTAGAAAGTGAACTTTGGGTTGGCGCGAAATTCGGGTGGAAATGACACGGCGATTTGAGTCAACAGAAGAAAAAAAGAGAGGAGAGAAGATGCGGCTTCGGGGGGATAACTACCCCTATAAACACACGTACATTAAAAACACAAAACCTCGGTTCTCGCATTCCTTGCTATCCTTCTGTAGTAAATGTGGCATCATGGAGTAACTAAGGAATGAGACTTCAAACGATGAGAATGTAGATCGAGGTAGTCCAAGAATGTGGAATTTGCCAATTCAAAATTGTGATTTGCTATCCTATTTCGAAAACATGTCAAAAAAAAACCCCAACTCCATCTCTGCAATGCCGCATGCCCGCCAGTTCTACCCCTTTCCCCTTCATAGTCCCAATCACAATCTAATGTTCCGTGTATAAAATAGTAAAGATCGAATATTACATCCCAACCACTCTCATCAATCCATAACCAACTGAGATGACCACTAGCCATGTAAGGATACTTGCTGGTACGCCACGAGTGATGAAATGTTTCACTTGTAAGTATCTTTGTCCTGTTTGTGAATCCTCCATCATAATTGCAGCTATATATCATTAGCATATTTTCTGTCTAGAAATTTGCTGTCTAGAAATTTGAAACGGGATATACATACTCATATTAGGGAAACCACTTGTAGGCAATCCCATAGCAGCACTACACATTAATGTAGCACCCATGACCAAAAGGTTGGGATGTGGTTCATCCATACTTGCTCCGACACTATGAACTAATGGTAGAATAATGAGAGCTGCAACAGTATGACTGATAAAGGTCGCAACGACCAAGACGAGACATGAGAACACGACCAGTACGCTATAAAGGCTCAAACCTTCAACGCTCGCAGTGATTTCACCAGCAATAGTATGCAATAATCCTGACGAATTCACAGCTTTACCTAAAGAAAGTCCACCCGCAGCGAGAATTATAATTGTCCATAAGAAATTGTTAAAATCCTCCTTTGTTAAGATACCGGTACCAAAGAATAGAATGATTGGGATAATTGCAACTACTCCCATATCACCAAAGATTGCTTCAAGCTGATGACTTACACACCAGAGTACAATGGTGCCAAGAGTAACAAGGGTGATAAACCACTGAACTCCAGTGAAAGCATCCTTAACCGGGCGAATGGGAACAATTGTAGTTCCACGACCAGGCTTGAAGGTAAGAAGTAAGAGAATCCAAATGAGGACAATGGAAATTATACCGACTGGCAAGACGATAAAGAACCAAGTTCCCCAGTCTGGTTGTGGAGACATGATTTGAAGAGCGACAATATTCTGTGGCGATGCAATTGGTGAGAGCATTCCTCCAATGTTGGATGAAAGTGCAATACCAAGAATAACTGCTTTCGACATTTGAGATTCTGAAGGAAGATTCCGAAGCATGGGCTAGGACCGTTAGTTATAGGATTCAAAACAAGAAGAAGTTTCAAGCCCACCTGGATGATTGAGAAACACAAGACAGGTGCTGCAACATTACTGATCCACATACTTGCAAAAGCTGCTACAAACATGTTGGTGATAAGAACTGTTCTTGGTCTTGTTCCCGCCTTGCTTAGGACAAAAGTCGCTATCCTCTTAGCAATGTCATATTTAGAGAGTGCTGCAGCTACTGTAAATCCACCAAGTAATAACATGATGACTGGAGTCCACATTGCGGAAAATATATATTTGGCCGCAGCTGGAGCTTCAAGTCGATGATGAGGCTTTTCATCAGAGCGAACCACGCCTAGAATCACGCAGAGGAATGGAATCATGAGGGATGTCACGAAAAGAGGTATGACCTATACACCAATCAATAAGAGATTGTGATAACACTCTCAAAAAGTTTCTTACCTCAGTAGCCCACAATAGACTGACAAACACCAGCATTGCTAAACAATTTTGTTGTTCTGGCTTCTTCATAATTGGGATAAGCAATAGTAAAATGAAGATAGTAATGATTCCAACCAATGTGAACATCGTTGAACTAAAGAGCCATCTTGGACATCTTACTCTACCAACTGGTGTTGATAATTCCTTCATGTCAGCGATGTCGGCATCATCACCTTGCAATCGGAGTTTAGATGGATCATTATCCACGCCTAGTAAAGTCCTTCTAATACCCATATTCGCAGCTTGAGCTTTCCTCTCAATGCCGATCATTTCCCTCCAGACTGTGTTTCTCTCCCAGACGACATGTTCTCGTAGATGTGATCGCAATTCCTTCTTTGCCATATCGATGTCTCCTTGGGTTGCCACATCAGAATACATGCGCTCTATCCGTGATGTTTTCTCCTCGATATGCTTCAGTGTTTCGGGGCGGAAAGGATATGCTGGAGCTACGACATCCTGAAGGTATTTCGACTTTAAATTTCTGTCCATTATTTTATCGTATTTCTTGCAAACCTTTTTGAAACCTGTCTGGTTAAGCTGAACGAAAGATTTCAGTTCACATAGTGACACGTATAGACTGACGGCACGCTTTTTCAAAGTAATCCCTGATGAATAGAAGGCATTGAACGCCTGCTCTGCCATATCCTCGTAGTTCATACTGTTGCGTCGAGCAGGCTTCATTAAATCTGTTGAAGAGCGCATGTCCTCGAAAGCCCCCGTAATCACGTCTTGAGGAGAGCTCTTGCTTCTTTTTGCCATAGGTGGTTTGCGCAGCGCGGTGTTCTCATCGTCGTCATCATCATCACTATCTTCGACCCCCTCATCTATCGATCGACTTATTGTGCTTGAACGCCTTCTCCCTTTTGGGACGAAAGATTTAAAGACACTGTTTTGTCGTGGTCGATCATTACTCGATGCTCTTGGTCGGCCATTTCCATTGCCATCTGTTTGATTGCTTTCTAGAATTTCAGCCTCAAACTCCTCTTCTTCCTTCAATAGCTCTGCGACCTCGCCAAAAATTTCAAGCTCCTTCGATTCGTAAAATGTGGATATCTTTTCCAATTCCGCATCTAGTGTTCTGCGAAAGATAGCATCTGAATCTTCGGCCGGTCTGATTAGGGGGGAATTTTCGGCATCTTCAAGGGCAGTGGATGGTCGATGTACATTCTTCTCAAGTTGGTAGATCCTGCAGAAAAGACATCATTAGCATCATTCAGAAAAGAGCTCGCGCCAAGACTTACAATTTCTTCAGATTGCTATAAGCGATGTAATGACTGCTCCAATCTGGAACGGCATTGAATTGTATACTATGTGAGAACTTCATCTCGTCGGCCTCCTCGAGTCTTTTTCTCTTTTCCGCCCTTCTCCTTTCTCTCTCACTTATGTGCGATTTCAGAGGTAGATCGTCTTGTGCGCCAGGATATTCAGCGAGCTCAAATTCTTCGTAATCCTGTAGTGAATGTTGGCGCCTATCAATGTGTGAACTCCCTCCTCTGTCCAGTCTTTTCGAAGATGCTATCTTATCGTTATCGAGTCGATGGGGCTGGTTGGGTTTCGATTTAGAGGAGGGATTGAGAATTACCTGCGAAGAAGCTATCTTGAATGTTCTGGACCTTCAACATCAAGATACTGCGGTGATTTCATATAATTGGTAACATGTTGCGGTCAGGATAAAGCCTGAGTGTGTGTGCCCAATCCAATAGTGGAGACAAATGATGGTATTTTCGATGTGGTCAAGTTTTTGTTCACGCTTTGAACAAATGAAGCCGAGTTAATTGAAATGGTATAACATGATTTGTTGCATTGAGGATTCCAAACCTGTGATTATGACAAGCATGGTTAATCCAAATGTGCCTTGCTATTTTTACCGGATTTGTAGATTTGTTATCTTACCCAACTTGCAATTTTTAATCCACTTATAATGATGAAATGAAGCATGCATGTAATCCTTACATTATGATTGGGCAACATGTCATATCCAAATCCCACGCTGCTACTCTACCATCGCCCATTTTTCGAATGATTCTTGCCCACTAGGTACTCTGCATGTTACATCCGGGAGATCTTCGTGTAGCCAAGATGTATCCCGTTTGCTGGTTCTGAGAATCTGCATTGTATAAAGTAACCCCCACGCTGCGGATGACCAAATGAGTTGTTCACCAATATATTGTGTTCATGGTTAATAAAGAAAGAGGGTTTATTGTTTGGCTGAGTTTGACGGATCCTCGTGATTTTGTGCAGCTAGACCACCGTTCAACTCGGGAACCTCCCCTCTCTGGTCCAATGCACAGTGGTAAAAGAAGTTTGAAGAGGTTGCAAATTGAAGGAGCAGTGTGGCACAGTGGTTGATCAGGACGGAATTACAGTGAGTCCACCAAGAACTAAAAAGGTCTACTGACCTCATTTTGACAAGTTTGGTAATCCCACTGATTAGTATCATTACCTACTTGTCTTGGGTGTACGCTGGTTCATGACTCAAGATATCAAGATGAATGGAAGGAAAGTATTTGGCACGCCGGTACTTGTTAATCAGAGAATGTATTTTGAGAGCTAAACATTGTACTTTCTAACAGTTGCCAACTGCCCAACAGACATAATTGGGGTTGCAGGTGATTCTAAGAAAACTATCACTCAACAGAGTTCCAAAATTCTCATTTATCGATACAACCAATGCCTCTCCAATGATACTCTCAACCTTCAACCCATCAACAGTACAAACAAAAATCCCATCATGAAGGCAACAGAGCTACCTCCACCATACTTCAAATCGATAGCCTCTGATTTCTTCGAAGGAAGAGGTGCAGGTACAGGAGCTGTGGCTGATGGCAAAGCTGTTATAGTTACTGGACTCGCTTCGCCTCCTGTATTATCACCACTGACATCATCATATGGGTAAGAGTCGGTATACTGTTGGAGATCAGGACATTAGTAGTTGTCTATTGAAAAAGTACTTCAATTTAACATTTTGTGCTGCGTGAGCAACGAGATAGGTGTCAAGGAGATAGAAATGATGGGTGACAGAATTAGGGATCGGGTATGGTAAACTTGTGAATGGATTAAGTTACATACGTTGTATGTGCCATCGGATTTGCCCCATCCATCAACAATTTTCTTCAACACTCCCTGACCTGAGCCACAACTTGCTTTGGTATCAGGTAAAGGCCAGACTGGATCATACCTATCTGCTGATAGAGGACCTGGGTATGATGAATTGAAAAGCAACCTAGTGGTATTGACGGCATAATTATCGTACCCTGCTTTGCTAGCGACGATACCAAGAACGTTTGCACCACAGTCCCAGCGGCCAAGAGAAGGGAGTCCCCAGTTAAGCTCTATAGTTGAAAGCATACTATAGTGATTGTAAAATGTATCATCGGTAGTGTTTTTGAAGGAAGAAGGAATAGCACCACCGAGAAGAATAGCAAATAATTTGTTCTCCTTATCGTCTTCATCGTTCTCATCCCAGGTGAGTACAACCAAGGTATCGTTCATGAAATAATCATTGGTAAGTAAAGGTTCAAGGAACATACGAGACCAATTTCCAGCTACAGTGCCATTAGTATCGTGGCCATTATTTGTCATATTCGGTGTGATAAAAGACCACTGTGGTAGAGTCTTGTTTGCCAAATCCCATTCAAATGACTTGAAGTTTTTGATCAAAGCAAGTCTAGTAGCGTTACCGGTGACTGAATCAAACATCACTAATGGGTTATGCTTGCGTACATAATCTTCTTGAAATGGGTCAGCTTTCGAGAAATTCCATCCTTCGAAGCCAGGATATGGTATATCTTCTTGGTATTCGCCCCAGGAAATTCCTTTAGTGTCGAGCAAATCTACAACAGTTGATATATTGGCCGGAATTTGAATGAATTCGTCTGCATCCATGCCGAATGTGTCACCTGCGACAACTGCACAATAGTTTGGTTGAGAAGGATGCGTTACTCCCCAGTAATTAGTGAGTGTTATGCCTTGTGCAGCAAGCCATTGAAAATTGGGATCATTTGTAGCTTCTTTGAAATCCTATAACGAGGCCGTCAGTCTATGGTAAATAATGAATATAGAAGTCATGTATCTCAAGTAACAATGATATCTTACCATATTCTCGAGCCATATTTGGACAAACCTGCTGAATACCTCGCCACCAACGTTAGAAACAGGAGAAATCGGTTGCTGAGTTGCTTGTGCCGCTATTATTGCAGTAACGGCTGGCTCAATTGTGGATTGGGGGACTGGTGATGAGACTATGGGCGGTGTAGGAACAATGGCCAAGGTTGAGCCAAGCAAAAAGGTCAACAGCTTGAGTGCTGAAAGATTCATTCTGTGTTTATCTGATTTGAAGTGGATGTGTGTGTCAAAATTTTGAGACCCAAAAAGAGAAAACGATCGTTTTTGATTGAAGCAAAAGAAAGAAAGGAAAGAAAGAAAAAAAGAAAAAAAGAAAAGAAAACAGAGGAAATGAAAGTAAATTGACCTAGGGTCAACATTATAAGATAAGAAGGAGGATATTGAGAAGATGTAAGCTTGTTTAATGAGGGAAGTCGCCTCCGCAATAATCGTGGCTTCTCAATCTGGGACACGGGTCTGGAGAACGGAAAGCATCTCGATCCGGTACTCGTGATCTAGAAGTATTGCAGAGTGGTTCATTCGACTTCGTTGAGACCTAGTTCGATTTGTCAGTTCAAGATAAATTGCAAGCCAGGTGTCCCAGCTATCTGCTCAGATCTTAAGAATTCCACACTTACTCTTCAATCTGAAATTTCAATGATTGCCATTTACCACTGGAGGCTGTCGCTTGATGTAAACTGGAAATATCATGCGTCTTCCCCGAGTACATTGAAGTTCTCTCATGACTGCGTGAATGTTGGTCGGAGTGATTTTGTTGTACCTTTCCGTTATCACATTGATAATCAACCTGAAATCTCTTAAGTTTGTATCTGGGTGATTCTCCATCAAGGAACGGTTGCACCTCTCCACGAAAGACCCGTAGCTGATGGCTGGGAATACAAACCACCGTGCTGACCACGAATGCTCATATCCTCCCGTGCCTTCTTTGCCAAAATAGACATATACACCGAAGAATCGTGGTGGCCGTTCGAGTGCATAATAAGGAGGCCGCATTGTCAAACTCCGCGCGAAGAAGATATAATACGAATATATAATGGTTCTCTCCTGGATATCGACCTTGTTCTTGGAATTTAAGAGGAAGGGGGAGTCTTTAGATAGAGGAAGGCTCTCTCTGGTATCGACGATAGCTCGAGGTGTTAAGTGATAATCGATAGATGCAATGCGAACTCTTGCCAATAATTGTATTTGGAGCTCACCAAAAAGAAAAGTCGCTGAATGATAATGAAAGATTTTGGGTCTTACTGTTTCTATTTCAGGTTGTCCCAGACAGCACGTGAATAGCGCTATTAGTCTACTAACATGGTAGCTACTGCCAATTGTTCTATCCTAAAGTCACAAAGACTTATATCCAGCTCTTGACCTTCCAATTCTTCTCTACAATCTTAATGGTACTCATTTTACTCTCAGTCTTACAGTAACGAGTATAATATAAGTGTGTATACACGGATAAGAAAGCAAATTACATGACTTACATTTCTTTTCAACCATTGTGCTTCTCTATTATTACATTATCCATCCATCAATCCAAGCTCCAGTCATTATTTCAATTCTTAAATCATGCTTGACAGTACATCCAATCGAAAAGAGAACACTCCTCTAGAGCTAGTTTCAAAGAGAATTCGGAGAGATTCTCATCAGGAAGCAACGCCTCCATTCAAGAAACATAAGAGATCCGAGTGGCCAACTAGTACGGAACCGTCTGCAGGATATTCTACACGTTCTATTTCAGATTCCGCTCTGGAAGACCAAGATTTAATTACACTATCTCGTGTAGATACACCACCAAGAAAAGATGGGGTTGATGCAAGAACATCTCCTAGCAAGGTGATAACATTCACATCACCATTGGAAACTGGTCCTTCCAGTCAGATTCATGCAAGAATTTCAGAGATCAAGAGTATCTTGGCCACCAAAGAGAATACTCCCGCTTCTCCACTTTCACTTCAATCAAGCAGTGATGTATCTCCCCCATCGTTATCTGGGCCAAGCGATGATATGCTTCCCCCACCTTCTCCTCGACCAAAGAACCTCAGGCTTCCTCCACCTTCCCCGCGACCAGAGAATCTCACACTTCCTCCCCTTCCACCTCGACCGAGCAGTGATATATCTTCCCCACCGTCACCTGGACCAAGCGATGACATGCTTCCTCCACCTTCCCCGCGACCAAAGAATCTCACGCTTCCTGTCCTTCCACCTCGACCGAGCAATACCATACCTCCCCCACCTCGACCAACCAATGCTATGTTTCCTCCTCTTCCACCTCGGCCGAGCAATACCATGCCTCCCCCACCTCGACCAACTAACTCTAAAGTATCTCGTGGTAATAACACTGGCAAAGATCAGGAAAGAATGTCGTCATCTGCTTCAACTTCCCCATCTTCTTCCCAAACGCTCAATCCTAAGCCGGTCAAATTGCGCCTCAAGTTAATCAATAGCAAAAAGCTCATCAATGGCAAATCCAGAAAACGGAATATAGGTAAATGTCTCGCTGATGATGAGGCAATTGATGTCACCCATGACATCCATGTTTCCAAAGAAAGTGATAGTGACGAGAAAGTTGATAGGGAAGAGGGATTGGCTGAAGAAACTGGTACTTTAAAATTCAGTACCTCAACCGTATCACCGCAGACCAGCCCACCGATGACACGTTCATCGCAAATCAACCGAGGAACTATGCTTGAGTCATCCAAGGCTAAAAGCGTATATTCTGAGGTAATCAAAATGCTCAGACAATCAAAAAAGAGTTTAAGGCCCAAGAATGATGGAATTCCTTTCCCCAATCCTCCGGAACCCCCCTACGCTACTACTTACCGAGGATTAGACTTGAAGGCCCAAATAGAAGCTCATAAGTGTGAACTTTGTATTCCTTATGGTTGGAAAATTCCTAACCCCCGACTAGAAAATCCCCCTATCCCGGGGCCTCTCTACCGCAAAGTCCTTCACCTGCGAAGAGATTGTGACAAAACCATCACTACTGCCATCGAGTTTACAGATGTTCTGGGCGAAGATAATGTCCACGCATTTCTTGATCGTGCGGAAAATGATGCCTACAATGCAGGTATGCCTAAGAATCTCGAACCTAGAATACTCGCGGTGAGATGGGATAATGGAGCCCAGATGGGCAGTCAAGTATACCGATCGATTTACAGTTTCTATCGTGATCCATACGTTTTTGTAGTCGGCCACTCTTTGGGATGGAGACTCGTAATTGAGAAAATGCGCGGCATGTTTCTGTCAAAACAGAACTGGATCATTTGGTGGACGGAGAAGGATTATGATGAAGATTGGAATACCGATCTTTCGCGATGAGGCTGAAGTAAGTTTATCGATTAGCGCATACATATCTATGCATAGGAACGCGTGAAAACCCCACAACTTTATTTCCTAAAGACGTTGGAAATGAGAGGCGGAGAAGCTGTGATCTAGACTTTGCAGCTTGTCTACCATTGGGACTCATGGCGGGGCCATCTCTGGAAGCCTAACTTTCATTATTTTTTCGTCGATTTTCATGGTTACACTCCTGTGGACTGAGAAACAGCTATAAATTTGAACTAGGTTCACGTCAAAGGCGTTGTTGGAGCCGGTCTAGAAACGAAGCTTGCGCTGCATCCACAGTTGAAATAAGTGTACGTAGCAAGTGTAATTAATAAATTGCTTACTTTAAGTTGTCGATGTTTATCAATCCAGATTTGTTGAAGGGTGGTCTCTGTTTGTACCAGAATTTGTATATGTGACAAGGCAATTTTTGGAGTTCTTGACTATTGGGCTAGCAAGAGCTCCTTCGAGCATAGATGTGCCATTCATTGCAGTTTGTACCCATTCGCTCTTTCATATCGTTTTGATTAATGCGAATTGCATTAACCTAAAGAAATCGTTCTGCTTTCATAAGAGAGGGAGGTCAAGTCATCCTCAAGGCTCAAATTGTCCTAGGCATTTTGCAAGGTTCTTGGTGAGCTAAGTTCGACATCATTCATCATTATTGCTGATCGCTGGGTAGGATCACCCCAATTGTATGAAAGTGCATGGCATTATTTCTTCCACCAACATTGAAGCAGAAATCGTAGTACCAAATCTGATTTGTAATGCTGAAACTGTGGTCGTGTTTGAAAGGACATGCATACAAGCAGTTCCGAATTTTAAGACTTAGGGTCGGGTCTGGTCAGGTGGAAGTCGCATTATCTTCGATCTAGAAGATAATACATCGAGAAGGGTTAAGGTATTGTTGTGCTTTGAGCACGTTGTGGTTGTTGATATGCTGTGAATTTGGTTCGAGAGAGAGGAAGATTGATAAAATCGACATTTATCGAAGTGGAAAAGATGAAAATCTGTGGAAATATTGAAATGCCACTATCGAGAGATTGACTAGGTCCAAGTTTCAAGTCCCTTTGCTCAAAAAAGACAGTTCAACCCACATTTCTTTTTTCCCCTTTTCTGTTTGCCTCAAGTGGTTTCCCATGATGCATGGTTCCATGGAAATGAAAGAATGGATGTCTTTCATATCCATTGGAAGGACCTTAGCAAAGGCCATGCATAGAATGTTTGTGTTTGATATTTCTTGCTTTGAATACAATCATCACCCAACATATAAGAAGCAACTGCCTCATTTCTATCGATAATGGAATCCACATGATTAAAATCCATCATAGTTTAACCATCTCATCGCAATTTGTTGTTTCTGAATTGTTAATGTAACATCTCCACCAAATATACTTAATCTCCTGTGTCCTCATAGATTGGACTGATTAAGACTATTCTCTTCCTCCGCTTAATCTACCGGTCGACTGACACAGCTCGAATTCTCGTCCATAAGCAGCAAAGATGGATCCCAACATTCAAGGCTATCTTCAACGCAAATTTGCACGAGAGGCGGGAGAGAAACGTGGCGTTTCAGGCCTGCCAATCCGCACAAAGGAATCTCAAGACACCGATAACCTCCCCGATCGCCAACATCTTGTCCTAATCGAATATCGAATTGCAAACAGAACTTTGGGCACCAGACTCTTAAGTATGGGTGTTCTTCTCATTCATGAGTCCAATTCATATATCGACCTTCTAGCCGCGATTAAAGGCAAATCAAAGGAATGGGAGAATGTCCCATTAGTCTGCAGGGAGAAAAGTATTGCGGTTAGATGGAAGATTGGTCAAGCTATTAGCGATGATTCGTATGACACCCTCTGTGGCCCTGATGTTGACATGAATGGGCTCATACTCATGATGCGTGAGAGGCACTGGAAAGATCGACTGGTCGTTGTGTACCATGCAGAGGAGAATGATGGTAGTGATAGTAGTAAGAGCAGTGAGAGTAGTGATAGTAATTAGGCAAGGGTCGGAAGCCAGGGGTCAGGGAAGTTTCTTCAGAATTGTGATAAGCAGCAGATGGCCGAGCAGATAACCGAAAACGGGGGAGCTTTCATGGGGTGACTGCTAGGACTGTTCCTACAAATCAAATGATTGGATTCCAGCAAGAATAATGGATTAACGAGAACACTGGCCTCGGCTAAGAGAAATGTGAATAAATTGAACCCGACTAATATCTATGAGACCCCGAGGAACTTGAAAATTCTATTATACATGACAAGGGTTTACTATTCTAAGAAACTTCCTGGATTAATTTACCGTCCATCCCATTTCCATTAGCCTTCACTCCACCTTGAAACAATGCGCCAATAGGGCCCTCCATCCATTCTTCTGGTACACCGATTCTATTTCCATCTTTATTGCTGACCCATCGCACAAAAAGTGGATTTGGCTTCTGGGGTTCTCCTTCTGGAGTTGCGTCAACAGCTGGGCCATTGAGATCTCTGCGGCGAGCATTAGTCTTAGGTGCTTGCTTCTTGAGAAGCTTGTTGATTGTTTCCATCTAGGATTTGTGTCAGCCAGGAAACGGCGCAGCGAGTAGTATTTGGGTATTTTATTAAAGGATTTCATGGAATATAATTACCTTCTCTTCCTCGTTCCGTTTCTCACTAAGATTCTTTCTTCTTCGCGCCATTTCAGCACGTCTCATGGCATGCTCCTCAGCAGTAAGATGCTTTTTCACTTGTACCTCTGAAAAAGACATTAGCGCGCAATCGAGAAATGATGGAATAACTTACCATCAGGAAGAGCCATGAGATATCCACTAGCAGCATCGTCAAATCTTGCTCTTTGCCTTCTTGTCAATTTGTTGAGATCTGGAGTAGAAGCTCTGCTTCCATTGGCAGGTGTTTCATCATCACTATCGAGTAACTCGTCCTCTTCTGCTGCCACTTCAATCTCTTCATCTTCGCCTTCTGCATCTTCGTCATTTTCACTCTGCATTACCTCTTCTTTCCCAATTTCTTCTCCCAAGTCGCTGTCGAGTTCACTGAGTTCATCATCATCGTCGTCACTGAGCCCAATCCCTTGTTGTCCAACAGTAACAGCGGGTGCTTTGGGTGGCTCCTTCACCGTGATCTTAGATTTTCCAGCCGACGCTTGCGGAACCTGAATGGTAGATGAAGTAGGTTGCACGTCCATATCGATATCTCCATCAGCATCTAGGTCGTCATCTTCACCTTCCGCATCTGGATCATCTTCTCCCTCGGCATCTTCCATTTCTTCATCCTCTTCATCGCTTTCTGTTTCCAAAACATAACTTTTTTTAACATTCCTGTTTCTCTTGCCCTCGAGTATCTCACCACCAACAAACTGATCTCTACTGTTAACCATAACAGATGGGCCAGTGATCGGGCTAGATCGTGTCGCCTCTCTCAGTTTACTTGATGATGTCTTGACGGTCAAACGCATTGACTCGGGACTATTTGATTGTGGTAGTGCCGATACACGTGATACGGTGGCCGATGAGGCAGGCTCTGGATTTGTGCGACGCGATCGCGAAGACCTAGGAGATAGTTGTTCAGAAACATTAATTACGTCTCTTGCCTTGGCAGCGGCTGACCGCTGACTGCGACGTGTAGACATCTTGTTCTTACACTGCAATCAAATACAAGATGAACAAATTGAAGGGGGTGTGTGGTATTATTGATGGATTCCTTGATCCACGATGGTTTGTTTTGAGGTTATTGATAACACGGTAGGAAGATGTGGAGGGGTCTAAACACAATAGGTGGTGAATCAGATGGCGAGGGCTTTCGGGTCACTGCCTTGATTAGACAGAATTGCGGAGAATGACAGGTGAGCAGGCGCGTTGCATATAAACGCGCTGCTCTTACACAGTTGCCAAATCCTGCCTTTTCACCATTGACCAACCACAAAGCTAATAAGGTTCATTCTTCGATGCCTCATATCGTACCCCTTGTTTGTACGACGATGGCAATATGATTATGATAAAAAAACATGAGGGCTAAATCAAAAGTGGGAATAGAGTGGACGGCTAAAGGTAACTCATAATCACGGAGATTTGCGTGCGGTAACATGGTACAAAGAGCAAAGGGGCATTAACGCCATTGTGAGAATAATGGACTTTCAATATCTGGAGGTGCTTCAAAGACTTACTCGTTCTTGTTGGTGGCTGGCTCAGCTCTACCAGCTTTCCCACGGTGATCCGTCCAATCGATTTCCTCATCTCCCTCAGAATCAGTACTGAGTTTTCGTATGCGCTTACTGGGTCGTTCGGCTTTTCCTGACATTTTGATTATCTTTGATATCCACTTCGTAAAGTATGTTGATGCTTATTCGTAGGTTTGAAGGTTTGAGGTATGTATGTAGATTCTAGAGTTGGATTGTGGCACAGTTTAATGATCGTTGCTTAGAAAGGAACCCAAGTTTGAAAGATCGTACTGGATGGCAAGGGTGATATTGTAATGCCCAAAATTCAAAGGATGAAGGATGAAAGAGATCTTTAAATATTACTTGAAGTTTAACTGTGGTGAGTGATGCTTTGATACTTCCATAGTGATAATGTCGGTCACCGCAACAAATTTTGGACCCAATTAGGACTACCTTTGGATTATGTCATCAACCGAGGCACATGCAAACACCTAGTAAACATTGACACCGACAATCTACATATGCAGAGCTTCGAGAGTTGCCATTAATTATCTAGAGGCTTCTTGAACAAGTAGCACTTTACAGCATGAGTGACTCTGACAGCGAGACTAAAACCCCGGGCGTGCCTGCATGGCAACTCAAAAGCGAGGAAAAAGGCGAGGCAGGACAGTCCAGTGAACCTCAGCCCACGGCTATTGAGCCACTGAGTCGGACAGCAGTACTCGAACAAGCCAGGAAATTCTTGGAGGAAGACGACGTGAAGAATGCATCGACGGATAAGAAGATTGCTTTTCTAGAAAGCAAAGGTCTTGAGGGGGATGCCATACAAGAGTTGCTGGGTGTATCGCGGAATGATGAAGCTACAAATACATCGATCTCTGAGGTCAAATCGTCAGATCCAATTCCAAGGACACAACCTCAACAACCGTCACGACATTCACCTCCGTCTACTAAAACCAACTACACACAAATACCTCGCAATCAAGCTCCTATAATAACATATCCTGAATTCTTGGTTCAGCCATCTGCTTCTACTCCTTTAATTACCAAACACCGCCTTCTCACAACTCTATACCTTTTCGGCTCCCTCAGCTTCCTACTTCATGGCACAAACACATTTTTAATACGCCCTATGATCAACACCCTCACCGAATCCCGGCTCTCTTTATCCTCGGCCACTCTTAATAATCTCCAAAAACTAATTCACAAACTCGAGAATTCGGTCTCCGAAATCCCTCCAACCTACCACCATCATAGACCTCTTCAACCCGAATACCTCGACTCTGATGCTGGCTCCGTAACCAGTGATCCCACTGAGCTCTTCCATCGCGACATCGGTGTCCAGACTTCTCTTCCATCATCTCCTTTACAAACACCCAGTTCTCCCTCCCTAATATCCCATGCGAATACCGCGACCACAGCAACAACCATACAGACATCGCGTCTCACGACCCTACAAGGTACATTATCATCCTTGCTTGAGGATTCGACCTATGAATCATCTACAAGTGAAGAGTTAGAAACCAAAATGTCTGTGTTGAAGGAATATCTACAAGGCTTGGTGTTTTCAACACCTACATTTAGTTACGGGACAGGGGGCTTTGGAAATGGAGGGGATCGAAATGGAAATAATAAGGACGGAGAAGATGAAATTGCAAAGGTTAAGAAGGAGATTAGGGGAGTGAAGGGAGTTTTGCTCAGTGCGAGAAGTTTTCCTGGGGGTGTTAGGGCGAGATAATGGAGGTTGCAAGAGGAGAATGTATCAGGATCAGTAGGTTATTAGATGATAATATATGAGTTACGAATGGATATTCAATTTCTGGAAACCATTCGAATCTATATTGGTAACAGCCACTGTGAGTTTGGAACGAGTAAAAAATCACTTACTGCAGATGAGACTTTTCAGTTCGGCAGATTCCAAAACAACTCTGACACTAGGCTCGATATACTAGACGAGACCTCCTCGATACGTATCTTTCATCAGAATAGGTGAGCTCAATTTTGAGTGCCTTCTGATGACAAATCCAGATGGTTCGTTTTTTCAACGTTTTCCACCATCATGGTCTCTGTACTTGCTTTCCGAGGGGGCCCCAGATTCTGTACCGATGATATTTCGCAAGCTAGCGGCTAAGTAGCCCCTTTTCTAGACTATCGCGCTGAAGTCATGGGGACATTGCTTCTCATAATGATTTTCTCCTCTGCCAAGGGCAACCCGTCATTTTGCAAACTTCCCCCGCCAGCTCATGGGCCTATACCGGCCATCATACCAGATAGAGGTATAATTCTGCGCCCAATTTTCTCAATCACAGTGGTGTCTAGAGACTATACTTGCGTACTGAAGACACCCACTTGCAGGTGTCGATATGAGATATCTATCCTTGAACGTAACACTCCAAAATGCAGCTACAGTATATGGCTATCCTCTCGTTTCTGAGAATGTCGAAGTAGATTGGCTTAGGATGAAGATGACTTGTTACATTCAAGACCTTGATGAAGATGCTTGGACTGAAAAAGGCCGTACCCTGTACCGTGAAGTGTCTCCTTGTGGCAGTGTACTTCTAAATCAGAGAGGAAATTTATTGCGACTTTAAGGAATACATTTGAAAGGGCGATGGCATGTATTACTGCAGTATTTTTGGTATCTTATGCAGGACAGAAGGCTATGATATTGCACTACTTTCTTAGTAATGTTATGTCTGTCGGTCTCAGCCATGGAAGCAGTATACGGGATATTTCATATACACCCCACTTTAGTGGTGTTATTGAATTCTATGCTATATGATTGAATTGTAGTGAGAAATGACCAGCCTCGCTCTGGAGTATAGCTACAAGTGCGATTGCATAAGTAGATTGGGGGAGCAACTCGAATGACATTGTTTTGGGCCCTGTACAACTAATGTGGTTTGCTGAGAAGGTTCCCAGAATAGAAAGCACGAATACGCGTATCATGTATGGTAGCTTCTTGTAGTGGTTTATACTCAAAGCAACAAGAACAAAGTAGAATAAGCAATCCCATCGAACTTCGAACCAATTTACTAGCTGACCAAAAGAAAGTTTGTGGGAAGCTGTGATAATCTAGAAGATGCCTCAAATGACAACAACAAGCAACGATAGGCTAAAAGTGTGCCACAGAATTATATGAAAGAGCACCTGCTCTAGCTCCGCACAATGAGTTCAACTCATCATACACCTATTATCTAACGATTATTACAAATTACTACTATAAATCAAGTGACCTTGCAATCACGATACATCATCCCTCAGAAATACCTTTAAAGTATCGAATAAGGTGAAACCGATACGCATAAAAAGAAGCATCAATCTATAGCTTCATATATATGCTACTCTGCGTCTTGCTACGCAGAAATATCAGGCTCTACATCTGTCCCATTATTCTCGTTTGTCTTTTCTACTGCTGCTGGGCTCTGTTTACTCTTTGTTGAGATCCACTTGCAACCGAGGAGTAGAAACACTGAGATCACTGGCCCTGCAGCGGGAATATACTATTGTGCCAGTATCAGCATGATAATTTTGACTCATCGGATGTGGGGCAAGTGTTCAAAGGTTAGGTAGCTTACGAAGACTTGTCTAACAGATAAACTGTACTTCTCAACGACCGTTTCCAACACAACGGGGTCCACTAAGGACTTCAGATCGGTTACACCGGAGTCAATGATCTTGTTGACGGTATCTTGCGATACCACGGGACCTAGATTCTTCTGGAGAAGCTGCTGGAATACTGCCTGACCAATTGCCATGAATATAGCACAACTAGTGGAGATTATGGTCAACAAAGTGGATGAGCCAAAAGGAACCAGATCTTGTGGAATTGAACTCTGCATGGCAAGATGTGACTTTAAGGGAGCATCAGTATAAGAATCTAATCATCTTCTGTCACCAACAAACTGTGGGAAAACTTACTATGTTTGATGACAGCGAATAACCAACTCCTCCCAGGATTTGATAACCCACCCAGTGGGCCCCTGAAATATCAGGATATATGGTGCTCAACAGGCCGCCACCGATAGAGACTGTAGCTGCACCGAATATGAGAAATGGGTTCCACCATCCTAGTTGCGATGCAAAGGCCGAACCGATGAAGGCAGCGAGCACATCCGCAACCACGGTAGGAAGAAAGTTCACCCCACTAGCTGTAGGTGAAGATCCCAGCACACCTTGAAACCAGATTGGAAGCCAATATATGACAATTTGAAATGGCCCGTTGACAAAGAAAGCAGCGATACAGAGTAATGCTGGGTTGCGGTTTACGGTGAAGATACGGATTGGGATCAGACCACTATCAGCACGACGAATGTCCCAGAATATGAAAAGTAATAGAACAACGACGAAACCGACAAATAGGCCAATTATGACTGAGGATGACCAGGCGTAATCAACACCACCCCACTGCAGTGCAAGCAGAAGCATAGTGATCGAGGCTGCGAAGAGAACGAGGCCAGGCCCATCGATACTTTGCAATTTTTCCTTGAGAGGTGACAGCTCAGTCGGGGCTGGCTTGAGGTGGACAAGGAAGAAGAAGACAGTGGCAGCGGTACCGCCAATGGGTAACTGTAAATAAAGGGGTTACATTAGCTCTTGAAGCATTTCGAATTCGTAGAGGCATATTGATCTGAGAACTGACGTTGATATAAAAGCACCATCGCCAAGTGGCATCTTGAGTCAATGCACCGCCCAATACAGGGCCTACAATGCTGGCGATAGAAAAGGTCGAGCCCATGATACCAGTCCATACAGCTCGTTTGTGCAGAGGAATAATGGTTGTGAGTATAGTGAAGCTTCCAGCCAAGATACCGGAGGCCCCTAAGCCTGCAATGACACGACCGCCAATTAAAGCATGTGAGGTTGGAGCAAGGGCACAAACTAGACTTCCCAGCTCGAAGAAGAATATGTAAGACAGAAAAACCATCTTCTTGGGAAACAGCGTATACATCTTTCCAGCAAGCGGCTGCGTGGCAGCAAGAGCCACCATAAAGGCGGCACCATACCACCCGATATCGCGGGTCGAGTTGAAGTGAGATGTGATCACCGGAACCGCAGTCGCAATGAGATTGAAGTCCTAGTCGGAGCTATTAAGTTTACAAGTCCCATTTGGCCCAAGAGTGATGTTGTCAGAGAACTCACAAGTCCGACAAGGAAGGTACATAGACAAATAGACACGTGGATAAGGATGAGTTTTGTACCCCTAACTTCGTTGTTGGGATCGATGTCATCGTTCATAGAGAGTTTCGCAGCATCTTTGCTGGCTGCTTGCTCCTCTCCTATCTCTGTCTTATTTTTTTCTGGGTACTCGGTAGGAGACACGGGAGAGGTGGCAGAATCGCTAGACTCCATGGTCAAAAAGGCTTGTTGTGACGATGCTAGTCCACGGGATCTATATATTATGGACAAAGGAGGAGCACTTTAGAAATTGATCTGAGGTAACTAGAGCTAAGTTTGTGAAATATTAGAGAAAGTAGAGATAGCGGAAAGAAAATCAGATTGCAGCAAGAGCCTTGGAACAGAAGACAACACATTTTTTTCCTGTCGATTTTCTTGAGATGAGTTATTGTTGATTACCGAGTGTTTCCATGTGCATTATTGTGCCTCATTGATATGTGGTAGCAATTGCAACCGGGCTGGGTATGACTGTAGCAGTACAGTTTATCCCCTTGATGCTATTAGATGGAGTCGGCCGTTTATCGATTAATCAATTAAATGGAAGATTATCATGTTGGGTGCCTGCCTTAGCTAGAATTATAATCGTTAATCGAATTATAAGACCTTACAAAAAAAATCAAAATCATATTATTAAATTTTGAAACAAAATCTATTAATAAATTAGACTTCAAATCTAGAATGATGTTGATTGATTAAAATATTGAAATCTAAAGTAGATGAGTTTGGGTATAAAGTGCTTGAACAGGCCCTCGTCTGAGGGTGTGTAATTGTTGTTCGTCTGAAGCTTAGTATGAAGCACGGACTTTGATAAGCCAAATGGGGCACAGAATATTAGAGGGGCTCGGGGGGAAAGATCCCAGGGGTTTTAATTTTGGAAAATTATATAGGCTAAATGCTTTGGTAGGGTTCTCATAATTCCTGTCACCTACTAATTTGTTTCTTTCGAGTGGGTATGGCAGTTAACCTGCCCGCAATAGATAGATTCCCCGGTCCTTACATTTGTATGAGAAGAAAAATCATTAGGACCTTGTCGCGAATGCCACCATTCGAAACCATCTCATTGGTTCTGTCGATTGTTGAGGAAGTCATAAATCTAGTCATCCAGCTTGAGCTTTCAGGGTGACATTATATTACATGTCATCAAACAAGAACCACCTTAAAGCTAACCCGTATCAAAAAAAATAGGACTATTGTTGATTCCAATTGTCGGTAGTGTTTGTGTGGTTTCTTTCTTTCCAAAACCCAAAATACTTATAATAATGATAAAACCATATCAAACAGGGATTGAAGAGATGAGGGGAGTGATATAAATATTTAGTCTTCGTTATAATCGAATCAGATGTAATATACTACAGAATAACCATATTGTAGACCCTTACGGAAAAGAGTTTAAGTAAATTGACTCAAGTGGCTACGTTTCGCTTGTCAAATTAAACGATTAGATCTTGCTAGATTGTGTGACGCGACAAGTGCCTAATCTCTACACCCCAATAGAAAGATTTAGATAAGACCGAGCGCAACAAGCAATACCATAGGTCTTATAAACATTGGATCGGCTTGTCTACTGGACGAACACAATCCCCAAAGCGTCTTCCCGTCGTCGCACGAGTAAATCGCTTTCTGGATTGAAAAAGAGGAATTCATGCATGACGGACCGTCTCAAGGGCTTGCCCCCAGGGAAAGCAAACTCAAACTCATCCAAAAGCTTTACAAGCAGGATCTTTGCTGACATATCAGTGATGATGCGGCCTGGGCAAGCCCATCTGCCTGCACCCCAAGTAAGCGTATCGGTATTGATACTGCTAAATGGCTTGGCACGATGCTCCTCGATCTTGTCCGCTGCACAAAAGCGTAGACCGTTGTATTCTAAAGGATTTTCAAAGATTTCAGGGTTCATAGAACGCTGAGAGGCAGACATTGTGATGAATTGACCCTTCTTAAGATTGATCCCATTGGAGAGGACGTGATCTTTCTTGACAACGCGGCTATAAATGAGTAGCGTCCCTGGCGTAAGGCGAGAAGATTCTTTCATGGCTGACTCAAGCTTTTCCAGACTGTTCAAATGTTCCCAAGTCCAGCGACCGCCAATTTCGGCATGCTTCTGACGGATTTCATCACAAATAATCTCTAGTGTTTCCGGATGGGCTATCAAATCTAAGATAGTACGGCAACAGAAGTTGGTAATACTATACGTCGAGCCAGCTGCTATGGATCCTACAAGAGTGGTAAGAACTTTAGGGTCGCGTTCCAGCTCGTTTCGGCCATCTTCTACCATCCACGAGATGACATCTGGGTTAATTGACTCCAAGCCCTTGTTTTCGTCTTTGATCCTTTCTTCTTTTAACTGCTCTACTCTGGGTATAACATAACTCCTAAACTTGGCCCAGCTACTGAGTAAGCGCCATTTGGCGGGAAGAAGCCAAAGGAGTGCTGGTTGTAATATTTGAGGCACACAGCGCAGTGCGAAGCACACTTGAAAAACTAGCATTTCGGAAATATCAGTGGCAAGATCGAGCGGAAGAATGATGGCCTTACCGTTATTTGTATGCTCATGAGTAAGATGTACGAGCTCTGGATTATTCTCCGTCATTTTCACTCCGAACAAAGACAGAGCAATTGCCTCTCCGATGCACCGAACCACTCCTTTGTGCAGCTTCATAACAGTCCATTTGTTACTCTTTGGAAACTCCATCAAAATAGCTGCCGATATTCTCGCCCCTGTCACAGCGAATAGCCCAGGAAGGGCGGGGCTGATATAAGAAAGCAATACTCGTACATGGAAACTGGTATGGCGGACCACATCCATACCAGTCAAGTGCCCCAGGAGACTAAATGAATGAGATTCGCGACTATTTAAGACGGTGATACCCAGGGCATTCAGCTCAGGGATCATATCCACCGGCAGAACGATCTGATCCGTATCACCCCGCGCAAGACGATATGGCCGACCATTTGCCTGAATATCTGCTTCTTCAAGAATCACATCAGCTTTGCTGATCCAACGAAATCGAGCGAAGAAGGAAGGTTCCCATGGAAAGCGCTTATTGACAGTGAGGAGGCCATCATCGTAGTTCTTTTGACTGTTGAAGACAAAGACCATGCTCGCAATGAGCCCAAATGCTACCGCGTACCATATCAAGCGGTAGCTGTCTAACCTCTGCCCAAAATCAGTGGCATCGAAAGACGAGATATTGGTGGGGTTAAGGTGGGGCACCATATTGTCAACTGGAAATTTCTTGATGTCAATTTTCGTGTCAAAATTGATATTTTGCAATATGATCTAACCTCGCAGACATCCCAGAAAAGAACGAACTTATCGACATCTCAACGCCTGTGCTATATTAGTCATACTGTTAGATTCTATAATGCCGGAGTTTTGTGCCGACGGTATACTTTGAGATAGACTCCGTCCTCGCGTTTATTAACAGCAGGGTTAGACATCATTTAGATAACATCGGAATACTGATTCAATAAACCCTAGAAAACGGATTCATAGCTGTAGGGTTTTTTGACGTCAAGCCGAGATGGGCATTGTATCCAATCTCTAGGTCGTGCAATGCTTCTTTGATGTGCGGAGGCGGGGCTGACCCCGCTTCGCTACGCTAGCCCGGTATCTACAGCTCCATATTCTACCTGGCTGGAGGCGAGTCTTTTTGATAAGAATGTCGCATTCGCAAACTTACATATCACGTTGGATATGAACATGCATTTAGATTTTATTGATTTCTGCAATGATACATTAAAAGTCGAAAATCTAACTAGGAGGTGAAGAGAAATCTTTAAAGACGTGGTTGATGGACTGTAGAAAGGGGAAGGTCATATTCTGCAGTGAGATTGACTGTAACCCTACTCTTATAGGCATTCCCACTTCCTATTTTCTTACACGAGAAAAGTTGGGAAGATAGTATGCGCTCCTTCAATCCTGGAGGGTTGTCTCATACGTACAGCTGAAAGTCAGCTTACAAGATCTAATGCAGCGATCAATTCCGAGAATGTCTCGTCTAAAGGCGCCCCCCTTGGTACGGCCCGCTCTTTTCGCTGCAGAATCCATGCACTCTTAGACCCAGTAGGTAAGCCGTTAGTGATGGACATTTTTTTCCTCACGTAATTTCAACCCCTGCAGAAGGACTTTTATCTGACACACGAATCGCGTAAATGTTTTCCTGTGGAAAACTATGAATGGTAATTTCTGCGACGTGCAGATGTGAAGATAAATTTCCCAGATAGCCTGGGCTTGGGAATGCTGATATTTGAGCCTACAAGAGACTTGCTGCAGCTTATCCCATATCTCATTAGATGTAATCAATTAATTGAACCTACGGTGACACCTATTCTTGATTCAACTTGTGGTTGGTGGTAAGTGTACGAGCATTCGGAACGGTTACTTGCCATGGTAATCCGTCACAACAACCCTAGTTGATGTGACTGCATGAGGTGGCAAGAGACTGGCTAGATGGCTTATCTGATCAGGTTATCAGTTCTGCCGGGCATCGAGACTTGAGGCCACACCCACTATCTCGTGATATGATAGTATGTCCTACTACTAAGCGCTCGTTCGGATCAATTTTCTAACTATCTATCAAATGGTTATTTATTGTTATTAGTGATTTTATGATGTGGTTAATCTCACTAATTGCTGGGGGCATTCTCGAAGCGTTTAGAAAATTCATGGGCTTGAATCCTGCCAAAGAGAAATGTAAAGAGGATAATACTACGCTTATTAAAGTACATTCGGTATAAGTGCACAAGTGATCACCATCAAACTTTAATATATGTGTGTATAACTCGAGCTGCACAGAATGGATCAAACAACCTCAACTAAGAGCCCGTCGCTGGTTACTACAGCCCTCATTATTGTCACTATCATCTTCCCAATCATATCGGCGGTTGCGATATGGCTGCGTGTCTTGGCTCGTCTCAAATCTAAGCAACCGTTCCTCGCGGATGACCACTTCATCTTCATTTCTTGGTTTCTTTCTCTAGCACTTAGTATCCTAGTTTGGGTCTATGCCAGCAAGTCCGGAATCAACTACTATAATGTCGACTTCGTCACTGGCACTGAAGCTTCCCTAGAGGTACTTGAAACCGTTTATTTGTCCCTGTAAGCCTACTTTCCATGACTAATTAACGACGATTAATTCAGTTGGTTTATATTTCGTCTGTCTATATACAGTGGCCACTAGCTACGGTCAAAATAGGAGTATTGCTGTTCTACAAACGCATCTTCGTGACGCCTCTTTTCAAGACCATTGTGTGGTGCGCGATTGGGCTCATATCTGTCTGGTGCTTTTTGTTTTTCATGCTTGTGCTATTTCAGATTGACCCAGTCGCGTTCCCACTTACAAAGGTATCCCTACGATTTAATGACACAGCCTTTGGTCTGGCGCAGGTGGCCACTAGCTTTACGCTCGATATACTTGTGCTATGTCTTCCCATTCCAGCCATATCTCGACTCAACATGAAGAGAAATCGTAAAATGGCCATTATCATGATCTTCTGGCTGGGTGCGTTCTGCGCTGTGGCTTCTATAGTGCGAACAGTTCTGCTGCGGGAGTCTATCCAGGAAGTCATCTCGTCAAATGCCTACGCGCGAGTCGGTAAGTAATTAGTCTCCTGACCCTGAGACCATCTACGTCCAGAATGATGCTAAAAGGAGATGACTATAGCCAATCAATCGAAACAGTACATCTTTCTTGTTGTTGAACCCAACGTCTCCATTCTAGCTGCAAGTTTACCGACTTACGGGCCACTGTTCACAAGTGGAAAGGGTCTCGAGTCATTTTTCCGCAGTGCCCGCAGCTTCTTTAGCCTTTCCGGTCGTGGCAGTGGAGGGCGAAGTCACAGGATCTACGAGTCTTCAACATCCAACGACCCAAATAAGAACCAGTTCACAGAATCACAAGTAGAGCTTCACCGCATCGAAAACTGGTCAAAAACAGGAATTCAGGAGGCCCACGTGTCTCATAGCAGTGAAGTTACTTCCATGCCATCCAATTTGCAAAATGGGATTTCTGTCACGAGGGGGGTCACGGTCCGAACAGAATAGGCAGTAATATGATGAATCAAAGGATTTTACTATTCCGTCGTATATCGAGGATAAAAATAAACGAGATATTAAGAGAATTTTCAGGATACAGGTGGTCCATCTTGACCCTAAGATGAGATGGTAGAGAAGGAGGATGGGAGAATCAATACGCCGCCCAATCCTTTCGCTATTAAATGGACCAAAACTAGAATGCTATGAAAAGCGGAACTAAGTTTTTTGGAGATATCGCTGACAGAATGAGACTTTCACCCTTATGAATACTTATCTGAAGACATATTCCCATGCAAGTTTTGGAGATTTTTTGATGCACAGCAATTGAAATTCTGTGTGAATAAAAACCATAATCTTTATCATCGAATTTAATTGCAAAACTGTTTCAATCTACCGTTGACACAATCGAGTTGGAAGGTAAATTTCAAACTAGTGATATTAAAAAGGGCAAGTCCCTTTGGACCTACGCCGAACCTGCATCTTTGTCCAAGGCCAAGTGAAGAGAAATTCGTGAGCTAGTATGTTCTTAGGGCGCCCTGTTCCTGGGAGGAATTTGAATTCATACTCTGTAAATGCCTTTACCATAACCATCTTGACCACCACACTAGCAAAGAATCTTCCAGGACATGCTGTTTTACCGTAGCCAAAATTGAGGAAGCTGGGTCCTGGCGTCGAGAACAGGTGTTCGTGCGCCGAGCTTGGATCCCCAGCTTGTGCAGCTCGGTAAGCTCGCAAGCCATCAAACTCCTTCGGATTCGTCGTATTGGAAGGGTCATTCTCAATGGCAAATACAGGCATTGCCACGTATGTACCTGCTTTGATGTGTGTGCCATCCTGAAATGTGTATGACTGCTTGAACAACCGCTTCATTCCCATTGTAGTCGGCGGAGATATGCGTTGAGATTCCCGCATTACACTGTCCATCTTGCTGAGTGCGTCATATGAATTGCTAGACCAGCCTTGTCGAGCAACTGCTTCAATTTCGTCGAGAAGTTCCTGCTGTAGCTTTGGCCCAGCATCTACTACATCGTAGATAACGTTGACCATACGCAGTAATGTAGTGTGAACAGTTGCAAGGGCCACCATGATCATTACGTGCCCAATGATGTCAGCATTACGGTCACGTCCTTTAGCCAGGCCACTAAGCCAGCTAAGCACGTTGAGGTCCTCGGCTTTCTCATTCTCGGGCTGCCAATCTCCGCTATCGTTCATATCAATGAGTTCCTGTATTTTTGGGCGCAACAGTTTCTGGCCATTTCGAAGGATCTTCCACCCCGCCCAATAAGACGGAAGTAAGCGCGATACCACAGGTCGCATCCATAGCGGCACACTGCGTAACACTACCACAGTACGGAATACTGCGAATTCTTCAGTTGAGCGCAATTCAGAAGGAGCTTCTGCCAGAAAAGATAGACTTAGACTTACAGTTCTCGGTAAATTCAACGGCGGTATGCAGCCAATTATGATCATTAGAGAAGGCAGGACCAACAATGGGCTCGGCATTGAGACGGGCAGAAACATAGGCCAACGCCTTGTAAGGCTGGAAAACCGTCCAGTCTTCGCTATCAGGCATGAACTGAGCGAAACCCTCGTGGACAGCTTTTTCCATCTGAGGCAGGAGCAGCGGAAGACGTGGTGTCAACTTCCGCTGGACAATGGAGTGATGAAGTCTATTCTCGAGGATTAGGTCGACGCCTGTGAATGAGCCTACGAGATCGCCATTGAGCGCCGCAGTTCCTTCTGCGACGTTGGCCGGTAGGCGGCTGAGCTCTTCCAGCAATGTGACTGGTAAAACAACAATTTGTCCTTCATTTCGCATGATTTGAAATGCCTTATTTTTGTACTGTTTGAAATGTCTTTCCTCAGTATCGTAGCAGCATTTTTCTCAAGTATGAAATAGACATACCTTTTCGTAGCCATACTGGGCAAGATTCGTTGCTCTGCAGGTATAAAGTAGATTCAATAGAGACTTGGGAAAGAACGATACAGGAGTGCCGACGAGGGGATACTGGGCTTGTTTTCGCACAGCATTACTGGTCAAAAACGCATCAACTATGCCGTACAGAAATAAGACAAAAGGGAGAGCATAGCACAGCGTTCTCAGCAGATCCGGGGGTTGGGTTATAGTGATCTGAAAGAGATCCATAATAGGACAAAATTCAACTCTTGTTGCGTACAGGATATTCTCGAGGTATGTCTTCGCAACTTGCAATTAACTTGTGATGTTGTGCTGAGTTAAGTCGGTAGATTAGGGCACTAATAGTTTAGCTGCTATGGGCCAGAACCGCAATGAGATTGAAGTACATAAGAAACGCTCCGTGATCTTGATCTCGTCAAAGAACAGTAAGAGTTGAGGTCCGGGTTATCGCAAGCCACCTCATTTCGTGATAGAATTCTCCTAAAAGTATTTTTTCTTTCAAGGAAATTAAAGTATTTTATAATTCTTTAAATGATCGAAAATTATCGATTTCTTTTGAAAAGCAAAAAAGAAAGAAGAAAAAAAAAGAAATATTTATCTGCGTAGAATAGCTGAAAATTTCTTAAAAATAATGAAAATGAATCTACTTATATCTTTCTTTAAATAACGTGGTTTAACACCGAGTGCACCATATCACCGAATGCACCACTTCAAAATACACCAAAATTAGCCTTTTCCTAATATTCATATTTTAATACTTAATCAATATTTTTTAAAAAACAAAAAAGATTTATTAATAAGAAAATATTTTTTTATAAAAGTATTAAGTTTCTATATAAAAATTTCTATTATATTCTATAAAAAGTGGAAATTGTCACGATTTTCGTTACAAAAAAACTATTCCTATAATAACTACTATATTAATTCAAATTTTTAATAAATAATTAAATTTTTATAATATTTATATAATTAAATGTTACAATTTAAAATTTTGAAAAATTATATTATTAAATAAAGAAAGTGCACGGTTACGCACAGACGTATTTGTATGTAAAATTCGTGGTGCACTCGGTAATATGGTGCACTCGGTGTTAAACCACGTTAAAATTAATTATAAAGAGATAATAAAAAGTCTTACTTTTATAGAAAATTCATTACTGTATCACTATTGAAGCTAAAAAATATCAATTTTATTCAAGAAATAAAAAGATTATTAACGCTATTATATTAAAAGAAAAACTCGTATTATTATCTAACTAGTATGATTTAGTCTAAGAGAAGTATTCATTTACTTATCTTTTAGTTCTATTTAGAGAAATTCTATAATATCGATGATTAATTATCATGTCTCATAATATTTATCGCTATAGTAGCTAATCTTTTTAATTATTTCTATCTATTATATTCATATATTTACAAGGTCGTATTTATCGGAGAGACTTTTTTTATATGACTGTAATGATTATAATGATCTAATCTGATTTATCCGAACATGATTGGTTTCATCACGTGATCGGTAATACCGCAAGAGGTAATTTCTATCTCTATTAATTCAAACCTTCAAAATTACTCGCCTGAATAGCCTAAAACCCTCGTTCTTTATCGCGTATTTCTTCCGCAGAAAGCGCGTAGAAAGAGAAAGTTGTACCCCAGTTGTCGTTGACAAGGTTGGTGCTCAGCCTTCTACAGCGCAATCTGCAGACAACTGTCCTTGCTGATCAAATTGACGGAAAACTACCCCTCTCTTAGAACCAATCTCATTATACCTTATATGCCTCTTCGAGACCAGCACCCTTTTCTATACCCTTTAAAGGCATGTGATCGACTAGCACACTTTAGCTCGTGTGATGGGTTGAATTAATTGTGCGGGGTTGGGCCGCTGCCCCCGCAGATGGCATATGTCGCGCTTAGTCAAATATCTACGTACACATTGTGAACTTAGCATCAATTGATTATCATTGTGGAGTTGATCGGGCGCCGCATACGAGATAACGGCGGAAAGCCAGCGGACCTGTCCAATCAAGCAACAACGTGATATTCCGATCCTCTTCAAAATGATCCGCCCCTGTTAGCTCTTCCGATCATCCGCACTGACTCGCTGACTAGTAGGTATGGTCAGAGCACTCCACCCCCGAGTTAGTAAATGATGATCTGAATGATCTTTATGTTCTAGACCTAGTGTCCCTTGTTATACCTGAGAGTATTCATTCATACTTGCAACATCAAAGCAAATTAAATGTATTCGTCTACTTTGTATACAGATTATTCCAGATACAGATTATTACATGGTACATCTGCTTAGCAGGATACAGGCTTAAAGCTACTGCCATTATCTGAAGATGAGATCCAAAAGAAGTCTGAGGATACACACCAATTCTTTTTGCAGACTTCAAAATGACACCTTCTGATAAGGGAAGGGATATCCTATCAAGATCTGAAGATGAGATCTAAAGGAAGTCTTAGGGTACACCCCAGAACTCTTTGCAGCCTCCAAAAATCACACCTTCTAGTAAAGGAAGGGATATCCCCTCGTTTCTGCACTACGTTTACATTGCACAGATAGCGGCAGGGGTAGCTTTGCTGTGCCTAGTGCATGCCAAAGTGCTATAGCCTGCCAATCTTTTTGAAATGATTACAGTGAGGGGTGATACTTCATTTCTGGGTGCTTTATTTATGAATGCGATTGAAGAGATTATGATTGACAAGGGCATTAGAACCAGCATGTCTAGCCAGGCTGGTGGGCCCTTTATCGTGCAAGGAACAGCACACGAGTAAAGCTACTGTCCAGTGATTCTGCTAATTATCACTAGAATGGTCCGATCTGGAACAGTGACCGAGAGCACGCATACTAATTAAAAGTGCCATGGTTTTAGCATGCCTGGATATTATGAAATTGCGCTTCAAATACAGGAATCTAAAGGATTTTCAGCAAGTATAGTCAGACTTCAAGTAACGCCAAAAGCTATAAAGATTAGAAAATAGACTTAAAGATACAGGTCTGAATTAAACATAGGTAATTCTATAAGGAAAAGAAGTTAGATTATATAAGAAGCATAGATCCATTCATATGAGAGTACTTTATATAGTTATAAATGCAACACTATTAATTAGGTTATAATATTTGTGAATAATATTCCTATTTTCGAAAGAAATCATGAGTGTCTCCAGCTCTTACCAGAAGCAAGCGCGAGCATTGCTCGCCAAATTAGCAGCACAGTGCTCTTCAATCTCGGGAAAAGGGTTCGGGTCAATGTCTTCTTCATTATATGATACAGCATGGCTTTCTATGGTGAAAATTCCCAAGACGAAGTCTGGAAACAACTCAGCTAGCGTGTGGTTGTTTCCAGAATGCTTTGAGTTTGTGTTGGCACAACAGCTACCGTCTGGTGCTTGGGAGTCTTATGCCACGCCAGTCGATGGAATTTTGAATACAGCAGCAGCCCTACTATCTCTGGTTCGGCACTTGCAGGTTCAGCCTGACAGCCATGACTGGCAGCTCAGATCCCAGAAAGCTCAGGTTGCACTCAAGAAGTTATTGAATGAATGGGACATGGACTCGACGGACCAGGTTGGGCAGGAGATTCTGATTATTTCACTCCTGGGTCTACTTGAAGGCGAAGGTGTTTCGATAAAATTTCCACAACTTAGTGCTCTGCGCGCTGTGCGAGATGCCAAGCTGGCCAAGATTCCGCCTTCGACGATTTACAAAATGAAATCCACTTTGTATCATTCTCTCGAAGCTTTTATCGGCCACATTGATTTTGACAATGTCAGTCAATGGCGAGAGCGAAATGGTTCAATGATGAACTCTCCTGCGTAAGTGGTGACACCCAGTATCTCGGGTAGCAACTATAAAGCTGACCGCAAAAGAGCTACGGCTGCATATCTGATGAACGTTTCAGTTTGGGACCCTCGGTCCGAATCCTACCTTAGAGACGTCGTAAGTCGAGATAATGGGATTCACGGTGGGGGTGTGCCATGTGCCTGGCCAACGACTATATTTGAAATCAGTTGGGTGAGTCGCAATCGCACGGAAAATGAAACAATCTTTGAAAACTGAGTTTTTAACCATAGGTCATCCCCACACTTGCGGCAGTCGGTGTGTCGGCAAACCCGTCTGATACATCAGTACTTATAAACCTACTACAAAATACACTGGAGCAACAGAAGGGACTTCTTGGTTTTGGTAAGTATCTGATTCCAGCATGACAAGCCCGTCATGCTCTACATGCTCCCACTTAACCCACCATGAAGAGATCTGCGAATGGTATGTGCTAACGGCCAACCAAAAAGCTCCCGGGATCTTGCCAGACGTGGATGACACGTCCAAGGGCTTGGAGACCTTGTGTTACCTAGGTCATAGCAGCAGCGCCGAAGGCGTTATTCAGGCATTCGAAGGCAAAGAACACTTTTTGACATATCGGGGAGAACGTAACCCTAGTTTTAGTGCCAACTGCAATGTTCTCATCTTCTTTTTGGACCGGGACGACCGCGCTCAGTACGTGCCGCAGATTAGCAAAACAGTCCAGTTCCTGGCAAGCCAAGCATTCAACGAGAACGTGAAGGAGAAATGGGTAAGTCTGAACCCATCTTATGGGGCAACCAAACTCACTATAATTCAAGCACCGTAACAATCTATATTGGATGATGCTGATGGCCCGCGCTTTCGATCTCCTCTACCGCAATGGAGAGGTTGCTCAGATGGTATTTGAAGAGAATCCCAGTCTAAAGGAGCAAATACCCATGATTTTGCTTCAGATCCTTATGCGCATACTTAATACTCAGCAAAAGAATGGTTCTTGGGCTGGAGTTTGCGAAATAACGTCATACAGCATCTTAGCTTTATCATCGTTGCTCAAATTGCCTTTTGTTAGACAACTAGATAAGGGAAAGATCATATCCTCTGTCGCCTTGGGGAAGTCTTTCCTCCATTCACACAGAGACGAATGGACTAAAGGCCAGTATATGTGGATTGAAAAGGTGACATACAGTTCGGGCATACTAAGCGAAGCATACTGCTTGGCTGCCTCGCTAGTCGAAGTACCTTTCTTGGTGGAACCCGAAACCGTTTCTATGATCGGAGCGTCCCTGGAAGGCAAAGGGTTCCTAGTTCCCGAAAAAGTCCTGATGGATATGCACAAGACCGGGGATCTTATGGCTCTCACTGCTCTGTTCCGTGACACAAAACCAAGCACCTTCCAGATTGCCGAGATGCAGGCGTGCTTTGCTCTGCAATCCTTGCAGCGGCACCCGACCAACATCTTCCCACGGACAGCAAAGGGCAAAGACAAGTACGTCTTTATCATACCGCTAGCACTCATATTATGTGCAGCGGCCCGTGGCTGCTGCACCAGTCTCTCCGTTCTGTACGAGATGATGGTATTGTCTATCTTGAATTTCCACGCAGACGAGTATATGGAGGGCATTATAGAAAGATACTTTGAAACAGATTTAGATTCTGTTCGCCAAGTTGTTAGGCAACTCTTTACGGATCCCCACATCACCCCTCAGAGCAATGTAGCCAATTGTAAGACCAAAGACTTGAACAATGGCCATGATGAGGCTGATTTTAGTGTAAAAAACGTTGGATCGTCTTCTAACAGCCATATTGATGGTATTTTTGACCCAGGCCAGAAAACCGGCTTGGGAGATAGGCCCTCGCTGGAGAATGTGAAGAGTGTGCTCTCTCAATTCAAAAGGCAGATCATGGAACACCCGGCTGTCCTATCAAGTCCCGGCCGGCTCCAAGCGCGGCTTGCTTCAAATCTACAGACCTTCCTCCTAGCGCACATCATGCAGGCCGAAGACAACTATCGTCTACGTGCACAATCGAGACCTCATGAGAATGGGAGTATCCATAATGGAGGCGATTATGCCCACGAGGTCAACAAAAATCAGCCTCTACAGTACCGCAATCCGAATCGATCCTTCTACTCCTGGGTGCGGGGTACTTCGGCCGACCACACCTCTTGCCCGTTCTCCTTCATCTTCTTTGAGTGTCTAGTACTCCATGCCTTATCTAGCACCAAGCAGACTCGCACTATCGGCACATTAGTCTCTGCACGAACTACATATCTTTCTGAGGACGCCTGTCGTCACCTGTCCAGCCTTTGTCGCATGTACAACGACTATGGATCGCTATCACGCGATGCGGAGGAGCGTTCCCTCAACTCCGTCGGCTTTCCCGAGTTCTGGGATTGCGCTGAGAAAACTGAATTCGCCAGTAACGATGTCAAGTCGGAGCTCCTGTGGATTGCTGAGTATGAACGGCGCGGGCTAGATATGGCGATGACATTGTTGGAAAAGGAACTGGGACATGGCGACCTGATGGATGCTCTACGACTATTCGTCGATGTTACGGATCTCTATGGTCAGATATATGTGTTGAAGGATGTTGGCACGCGCACTCAGTAAAGGGATAACTCTATTTGTAGAGCTTCATAATAGATATTATACTAAACCACTTGCTTATATCATATAATAAAATCTATTTCTCTTATAAAGCCGATTTTTAGTGAAATAGAGCTATATGCAAGCACATGAAAGATTATTAAAGATTTGATTGAATTCGATCGACTATACTTTTCTATCATTATTCAAAATCAAGCCTAAAAGAGATTAGAGGACAACGCTTAGGGTTGCTTCTGTAAAGTTGATATTCATCTAAGCTTTACAGAGGTGATCAAATTATCCTTGATGTAGCCAAGACCATTTCCAACACGATATACACGATTACCATCTACCGTATCGGGTGTGCTTTCCCCCTCCCTGAAAATTTATTAGTTGAAGGAACTGTGACATTTGGAGTTCTTGGAGACAAGGGCAGAGGACTTCTACGTACTGTAGCTTGTTTAATTCTTTCGAAGTGAAATCAAATTCAAGGTTCCGCAGGGTGAGGACTAGGATGAGCTTGATTTCCATCATAGCCAGTTCTTCACCAATGCATCTTGTGTTTCCCAACTCGAATGGTCGCCAAGCATTTTTAGGTGGATAAAGATCATGGCCTTCGGCAACGAGAAAGCGTTCCGGTAAAAACTCCTTGACGCGAGGCCAGAGATCTGGGCGTGCTTGAGTAGCAGCAGGCACGGTTTGTATGATCATGCCTTCCGTAGGATAAACGATATCGTCGATTAGAAAATTAAAGCCAGGGCTTCCTTCACGATGTGTCTGGCCCAAAGCATGTACTCGAAGTGTCTCTTTGATAGTAGCGTGGGTGTAGTGCAGGCCTTTCAATTTATGTGGCTGTTTCGAGAGTATCTCAGCAGCCTGCTCGGGGTTGGAGCTCAGAACTTCGTCATGCTCGGAACGGAGCTGCTGAAGTACATCTGGATACTTGTGGATTTCGTAGAGCACCCAGCATCTATAAAAAAACATCAGTATTGAGACTAGCAACTTGTCTAAAAGCCTCTGTAGGTATCGATAATCCATCCCCTCTAAGTGAGCTGTCAATTGGTGGTAGTAGCGTTGGAATAGAACTCACATTGCTTGAGCGGTTGTGTGATGTCCAGCCAGGATGAATACTTTAACCTGAGACAAAACAAGTTCGATGTACTCTAAACTAGCCTGCACGGGTTTCTTCTCGTTGGATTCTGCCGGAATATGTTCGAGACAAAGATCGACAACCGTTTTGCGACCATCCGTCTTGACTTTATCTGCGATGCGTGCTTGAATATGAGGCACTAATATGTCGTTGATAGTCTTTGTGCCGTGGGAAACATCGTTTCTATAAGCGGGCAACCAACGCTCGAGCTTCGACATCAGGTTTGGTTTCTTCACATATTTGATCAGCTGCATCATGGATCCGAAGAGAGGGCCTGAGCCTTTGGTCTGTTCATTGGTTTTATAGTCTCTACGCGGGGCATTAATGCATTGTTTTCAGTATACACATCAGGAGGTTGCTTACAAAACACTTCGAAAAATGATGTCAAACGTCAAACTCACAACATCTTCATAAATTGTAAACGAGTCTCCCCAATTTTTATTCTCTCCTACTTTAGCTTTCAACTTTTGTACAAAAATCGTGACCTCCTCAAGCAACATATCCATCTGCGATATCAGATTCTTTGGTGAAAAGCCTGGGTTTAACCTAGAACGCCACACTCGGTGAGTGGACGTATCTACGGATGTCAAATCCTTGCCACCCGTCAGTGGAGTCAGAGACCATCGAATTAACGAGTGTCTTGGCTGTGGTGTGTCCTGAGTGAGTTGAGCGCAGGCCTGGGGACTGAAGACCATGATGAGCGGCCGAGATAAGAAGGGCCATAGATCCAGATAAGCCAAAGGAGGCGGACTACTCGCATCAGGGAAGTAGTCTTTCCAGTTGAGGCTCAATTTACGAGCAACATATGTATCATGAGCGTCACTTGGGAGTCCTTCCCGTAATGCCTTCATCAAGGGGATATGACCAAGCAGGATAGAGTATGGTTTAGGGACAGGCTATTCCTCGTGTAAGTGCTTTGCGCAAACTATACTTGAGATTCAACCATCAACTACTCACCATGCCTTGTGCTTGCAACTTCCGAAACTTCCATCTGATGGATAAGCCTCGATATAGAACATGCGCAGAGTACAGTAGGACAATGGTACCTAAGTACCGAACGAAACTGACGTGAAGACTCGTCTCCAAAATCATGGCGGCAGGTGATGATCAGCAGCTAGGTAGGATGCCAGGACGTTCCAAATGCTGTTTAAAAGTTAATGAGTATAATGACTTAACAACTGCGCACTGCCTGTATACCACAGCTTTCTCACTCGGTCTGATATGTCAACTCGAGGGTTCTCTAATTCAATTCACATTTGCGAGAAGACAGGAGAGAAGATTTTGGCGGACGATCTGCTGGGGTCGGATGTAAACACGCGTAAGCCGTTATCCAGTTGCATTGATTTAATATCATAATGTCGGTGATTCTGCTTCAGGAAATGGCAGCTTCCTGAACAGGGAATATCTCGCTTAATCTACTAGCTGGTGTAACCGATACCCACTATGTGGCCGCTAGCGCTTATCATTCCTTGCACGCTTCTGTATACATGCGGCGTTGCTTCCAACATCCCTTGCTGCTCTGACCACACCGTTTGAGTATATCTTACAACCAAACTTTACTTTAATTCAGCTGCATCTTTTGGCACCCTCTCAATTTCTCTAGACTTCGACTAGCCTTTTGGTTTGCATTTAGCCTTTATTTAGTAAATCCGCTCCTAATCTCCACCTACAAACATGCAACCATATGATCTTATTAATAACAAATGTCTAGTTAACCTCAGCGTTACCATTGTTCTTTGAACCTGTCACCGTTACATTACATAAAATTCATATCGGCATCCTTGATTATCCAATCAACCTCACCATATACGCATCCTTGCCCTAGGTTTTGTTGATAAAATTCCGGATCTACCGCTCTGATTTATTCCACAGGATCTCGGAACAGGAAGTATTTATCAGGCTCATTAGATCCTCGTTCGTATCTCAAATCTCATTCCGAAACTCTCTTTCACTAGAACAAGTCGGTATCAGAAGAAAAAGGTATTCTTTGCATCTATCCGATTGAATCTATCTCAAACAACTTGAACATGGCGACCTTTCCACCCAAACCAATCCGTGTTTGGCTTACTCGTAAGTAATCCCTTGGATGTTGCCTTCAGAACTGCAAAATTGACTATTCTCGCAGCCCCTGGACCTAACTCGTGGAAGGTACGCAACCAATACTCCTGGTTTAAGTATGATATAGTTACAAACTATCTTTTCTAACACATTTTTACATAGGTTGTCGTTGTTCTAGAGGAACTTGGGCTCAACTACGAGATCAAATCCTTCAGTTTCGCAGACGTAAAAAAGAAGCCCTTCATTGACGTGAACCCTAACGGCCGCGTCCCAGCTATCGAAGACCCAAACACAGGCCTAACTCTTTGGGAGTCAGGCGCCATCCTTCAATATGTAATTGAACAATACGATACTGAGAATCGCCTCTCATATGAGGGTATCAAAGAGCGACATCTTTGCTCCCAGTGGCTACACTTCCAAATGAGCGGCCAAGGTCCCTATTACGGTCAAGCTTCCTGGTTCCAGCACTTGCATGTCGATAAAATTCCGTCCGCTATTGATCGTTATTTCAACGAAATTAAACGGATCAATGGTGTTCTCGAAGGTGTCCTTGCTGCGAAAGAATCACAATGGCTAGTTGGTGACAAGATGACATTCGCTGATCTGTCCTTCATGCCATGGAACTTCCGTCTCAGCGAAGTCATGAGCCGACCCTGGGATGAAGTTTGGGAGGGCCTACCTCATGTACGAGCTTGGCATGAGAGCATGGTTAACCTACCGTCGTGGAAGCGTTGTATGGACATTCGTGCTCACTGTATGGACGAGCAGGGGTTGCAGTGGAACGGTGTCCCGAAGGGCATCGAGACTTTCAACGACTATGAGAAGGAGCTTGCTGCAAGAGACGAAGTTGAGAAGTAGTCGTGAAAGAATCAGTTGCTAGATTTAGTGTTTAGTGTTTAGGAGTAGCATGGCCTGTGCTTATCTTACCAAGAGTCATCCACAATCACAAGCTATATTCAGTGAGTGTACTTGTCGCAATGTGGTCTATATGTGTTATAATTTATGTGCAACTAGACGAAGTAGACTACGCGTCCTGATACCTTCGATCTTAGCTTTTCCTCTTCCTACCTATTGCTCACCTGAACTTTCTAAGACGTCTTCCTTGTTTCGCTTTAAGCACGCGCCCCTAAGAAATAGGATTTTCGGTGGACTAGTACTGAAATAAGAACGAACTATATTCCTATTCACGATCTAAAATTGCAGAAGATTCATTCAAGGCTTCTAAATTAGAGTAGGATGGCTGAAAATGAAGCCTCAACAAACGCTAAACATCCCAGCTTCGGCGATAATATAGCATGTGCAATCAATCTTGCCTACAAAAAGATCAGAAACATAATCCAGCATTGATAATCTAGTTGGCAATCCCTCAGACAACCTTCAAATAAGTCAACTACCCCACTTTCCGACCACCCCCTCTTTTCGACCACCTCAAAAACCACACCGCTTTGAGTAATTATAAAATTTATACTTTGAATAACTCAACAATGCTTTAATCAATTGATTTGAAATTTTGATATTATTATAATTGTGATATGAAGAATAGATATACCAAAGAAGATATCGCAGAGGCTCTTAGAGCGATTACAAATGGAGCAAGCATACGAAGAGCTAGCTTGGATTATGGTGTTCCACGTACCACACTTCACGATCGAATATATGGTGGAGTTTCGCATCAAAAAGGCGCCCAAATACTTCAAAAGTTATCTCCAATTCAGGAGAATCGACTAGCAGAATGGATATTAGTACAGGAAGCTCTTGGTACTAGCCCTACACATCGTCAAATCAGAGAGATGGCAGAGCACCTCCTTATTGTACGAGGGGAGGATCCCTCACTTGGAAAGAAATGGATACATAGCTTTTTTCGAAGGCATCCTAATATTGGAACTAAGAAGCAACATCAAATCGATTCTGCACGAGTTTCAGGTGCTACATCTGATATTATTAAGAAGTGGTTCCGGAACCTCGCAATCCCTGAAATCAAGGCTATTAAGCCGGCCAACAGATGGAATATGGATGAAGCAGGTATAATGGAGGGTCAGGGTCTTAATGGACTAGTAGTAGGAAGCACTGATCGAAGATTTATTCAAAAAAAGCAACCTGGATCTCGAATTTGGACCTCTTTTATAGAATGCATTTCAGCCAATGGAAAAAGCATTACTCCCCTTGTAATATATAAGGGAAAATCAGTTCAACAACAATGGTTTCCAACAGATTTGACTCTATTCAAGGGTTGGAACTTTACCGCTACAGAAAATGGATGGACTACAGATGCTACAGCTTTAGAATGGCTGAAAAAGATCTATATCCCTCAAACTACCCCTATTCAGCCGGAAAATTCAAGACTCCTCATTTTGGACGGACACGGAAGCCATGAAACTACAGCATTTATGTTAGAATGCTTTAATAACAACATATATCTCTTACTTCTCCCACCACATACGTCACACGTACTACAACCACTCGATTTATCTGTGTTCTCACCCCTAAAAAGTGCATATCGAATCGAACTTAATAAATTAAGTCTATTATCCGATTCCTCACCAATTGGAAAGCGCAATTTCCTTTCTTGCTATCAGAAGGCTAGAATAGAAGGTTTAACTATTCAAAATATCAAGTCTGGGTGGCAAGCTAGTGGTCTTTGGCCCAAAAATATGGCTAAACCTCTTATGAGTCGACTTTTGCTTGAAAATAGCAATAGAGAGGTTTTATCACTTAATCCTGAATCTGATGATGATCCTATTCTTCAATGGAATATATATTCATCGTTTATTCAATGGAAAACCCCTCAAAAAGGAGCCGATATCAGAAAATATAGAGATATAATGATTCAAGAGAAGGAGATCGATTTGCCAACACGAAGATTACTATTTCGCAAGATTATAAAAGGATTCGATGCTAAGGATTATGAACTCTTAGAGGCAGAGAATAAGATTAGAAAGCTAGAATATCAATTAGATGAAGCATTACCTAGAAAAAGGCGAAAGGTTGTGGTATCTCCAAATTCGAAGTTCGCAGGGATTAGAGCTATAAGGCGTACACAAATTGAAGCTGGAGATCGTGAAGATGAGGTAGATGATAGCTCTAGTGCTATAGAAAGTGATTCTACAGGCGATTTCATTGAAGTTCAATAGTTATTGAGTTATTAAAGTTTTAAGTGTAGATAATATGAATTTTTTAGGTGGTCGGAAACAGGGGGTGGTCGGAAAGTGGGGTAGTTGACTTAGTGCTCCTCCAAAGAATACTGACAGCAGGCTTAAATTTACATCGCTACTTACGAACTGCCAACCCGCACTAATATCAGAGGCATTCATTCACGTAATGTAATAGTTTGTTAAATATTCGGTCAATGATTATGCATCCACAAATGCCTTTGGATCCAATCCAACTACCAAAACTTTGAAAGATGAGATTTTTGACTCTACTAATAAAACAAAAAGAAGCGAGATTTGTTGCTTGCAATTGTGAAAAAGAAAAATATGGGTATTAGAACAAGTTCTAGTTATTGCTAATAATGCAAATCATTGATTGACAATGGGTATAGCTGTTCTGAATATCTATAATATTCGCTCGAGTCTGAATAGCCTGTCTATTTAGTCCATCCATCACCCGACCTTGATATCATGTGATCCGTTACGTCCATGGCTCTAGGCTGGCAATGACACATGTGTGAACTGACATTTAACAGATGCGTGGTATCTAATTGCCCTTGGGTTTCTTGTCGATACTTGGAGACAGCTTGCATGTCTTGGTCGCAGTCGCAGTGGTTGCGGTTTCGGCATTTGTGGTGAGAGTAGCAAGATTTTCTATTCCAGCCGTGATTGCAACAGGATATTCGATATAATTGGCGCCTGTGATGACGGTGGTATAGGAGGTGCTCGTAGTGGTGCTACTTAAACTTTCTATGAAAGTATAATTACAGTACGCAGCAGTCTGATGTTCCAGTCGGCATGTCTCACCAAGGAAGGCTGTCACCGTGTCTATAGCCGTCGACAGTTGACCTATCATTAATGAAGGGCCATTAGTGACAGTCCAAGGCTGCAGGTTTGATCAAATCAGTGGTTAGCAAATATGAAACATTTAAAATTTGACTGTTTACGGGAGCTCGTTACCGGGTCTTTGGGATCACAGGTAGTGGTAGGGAACCCGGGTAGGTTAAGGGCACCCGATTTGCATCGAATTTCGTATGTGGTAGCGGTCGCATCGCCTGTGATAATGCTACCTTCAAAAGAATAATTGCCTGAACGTTTCGCCCCCAGGAACAAGTCAACGACGGTTTCCGTGGGAGCTGGCGTCACTGTGGCATTTTGGGCATACGTTATGGCCGCCAGAAGGATTAGAGAAATGCCAAACTTCATGATGCAAGGTAGCATAGACTTCGACGTCTCTGGAGATATAGATTTGAGGGGGAAAACTGATTATCTCAAGGACGGAATTAAGTTGTCTTAGGAAGTCGCGTAGAACCGAACAAGTGAATCACGAGAACCCCAGAGATTGAGTACAAATAGACATATGTCAAGGGTTAAAATAAGAAAATAGAATCTAATCATATTGGCTGATAGTGCCGAATTGAACGTGAATGATTGGTTGAGTCCCCGCAGATAGTAGCGTAACAGTCGGCTGTTCAAGCGGCCGACTACTTCCTAGTCGGGGAAGCAAATATGGAAAACAGATTATCCCTGGGAGACTCCAATGCTAATTATATCATAACATTCAATTAATGCTATGGGGGATTATGGAGTCGAATAACTATTATACTATCTTGATAAAGCTAATGACTTGATCAATATATACATACATAATTTCTGTTTCTTTGAATTTTCAAAAACTCAGGGTAGAGGTCAAAAATAAGATTTTTGATCATAAATATTTAATTTTCGTGATCTTAGTGAGGACCCCATCGAGATCTCACGGGGGCAATTCGCTTTCCGGGGAAGGAGACAAGGCGAGACAGCGTGGATTGCTGTGGATACTTATATATTGAGTGGTATTTGCCAAAAAGGGTGGTATAAAGGGAGATCTCTTTCAACCCCACTTATCAAGCTAATTCTATCGAGTAGTTCGATTTGGCGGATCAAACAGAAGTGCTCCGGTCCCATTGTAAGAAAGAGGTTGAAAAAGCATCGAAATTCAATGTGACCGACTGGGGCCAGGAGATTGACAACATGCTAGGCTATACACGATTAGGTAGGTTCCGAATCTGTCGAGTCAAGCCGATACTTCAGGAACGTCGTTTCCGTTCCCTATAATTATTCATTGAACCGAGACATCTCCTCCTGAGCCTTGTTCTAAATATAAAAGCTGAAGGGTTTCTCAAACATCATGCTCGTCACATTATCAGAATTATTCAATTAGTAAAATTTTGATTATCAGGCTATTAGCAAAGCTTTGTTTGTACTGGGAAACTGAGATGATTAAAAAGAGGCGTAGACACCAACAGTTCTACTCTCCATAATTTGCTTTTCTCACGTCAGACAACAAGGGTGGCCACGTTTTACCCATGCCCAAATACTCCTACCTTGGTTATGCATATATTGGTAGTTTAATGACATTTGCATTCAGAAAATTAATCATACGAAAAGCAGGCAATTGTACATAAAGCTGGCCATTCTGCACTTAACGAAGATTGAAAGCTAGCCCCCAAAGTTATTACAACGTTTCCAATGCAGCTGTTACGGTCTATACACATTCTCTTGGGACTTTTAACCAGTCATAGAGCGCTCGCTGAAATCAAAAATTTCGCGATTGACTTGGAGCCATGTCGAATGCTTCAGCTAGTAAGCCAAACACACCTACCGGCTTTCGAGGAATACCCTGGACTCGGTGACTCGCTCGGCATTGATCTTCAGGTTTTGAAATCATTGCAAGCTGAGTGGACTACAACTTTTGACTGGGACGCCGAGCAGGCTGATTTGAATCGGTTAGTCAATTCCGGCTAATCACACTCGGTGCATGCTCATGTATTTAATGGTTTATAGATATAATCATTACACAACAACCATCGAAGGCTTAACGATTCATTTTATCCATCAGAAGTCCAGCGATGCAAACGCGATACCACTCATTCTGAATCATGGATGGCCTGGATCTTTCATGGAGTTTCTTCCACTGATTGACCCATTGACGACAGCATCCAGCATATCCAACGGAACCTCTGCATCCAACAGAACTTCCACTTCCTTCCATGTCGTGGTCCCTTCACTACCAGGCTTCGCATTCTCCAGTGCACCACCTGCCAACTGGACACTCAATGATACAGCACGAGTTTTCAATACTCTAATGACTGATGTGTTGAAATACGATACCTATGCCGCTCACGGGACAGATTTCGGCAGTAATGTGGCATACAATCTATATAATAATTTCAATGAGTCAGTACGAGCAGTTCATCTTCTTGGTATACCATTCCTTCCATTGAGCCCAGACGAGTTCCCAAAACACAACATCACTCTCGATGCGGATGAGCAATTCCAGGAGAATCTAGTTCTGGGTTTCAGTTCGGGGTATAACATCGAACAGGCTACGAAGGTAAGAATGTTTCATAGGATTGACATTCTATTCTTATGATTTGTTGAAATAATTATCGACTAACTCAGCACACAGCCCAACACCATTGGATTAGCGCTTTACGATAACCCAGTTGGACAGCTGGCCTGGATGGGAGAGAAATATATATCTTGTAAGATTATTTAGATCCCCTGTATTCTGGTTGTGAGGCTGAGATTTTTAAAGGGTCGGATCCACAGGCAGGGACACCACCATCTGTCCTTACACATAATGAGATCCTTCGTGAGATCTCTCTATACTTTTTGACCAAATCTTTCGTATCGTCGGTTTTCACATACGCACAAAATACCGACGCGTACGGTTCAATCTTTACTAAAGCGCAGACTGATGCACCCATGCTGTTCAGTAGTTTCAAGTATAGTGGTGCTTTCTGGACCGAGAAGGTGGTTTCATGGGTGGGAAACTTAGTAGTATATAATTGTGAGTCTCTCTCTTTTATTCGCCCCCATACAACTCTCGTGGCACTATCCTAACGAGACTATAGATCATGGCTTTGGCGGGCACTTTCCCGGATTGGACAATCCACCTGCTCTGATTGATGATATAAGACAGATCGGGAATTACTGGACCGGTTAGTCAGGGATACTCATGGAACATAATCTTAATTATCTAAAAGGCAAAATATCATTGGCTATTATGCAATCTAAGCAGAATTTCGTGAAAGAACCTCAGAAATTTGAACTCTGTTAGAAAGATATGGCACGTGCATTAGGCGCACTGTATATATCACTTCCATTTTGTAGCTAGATTCTGGAATATGACAATACAATCTACATAGTCAATATTACACTGGCCAGGGTTCCTCATTATGAACAAACTCTCTAATTTCCTTCGCAGCAATAATGATGAATAACCCTGCCGTCTTTCCAAAAGACGTTACAAAAAATTCCGTGAATCAAGATGTTCTCGGACTTTTCATTCAGGTTAATAGGAGTTCAAACTCCACCTTCCTCTCCCCCATTAAAAACGAGACGGAAAGCAAACATGTGCCGGATGACACAACCTGAAATTCTTCGCTATTTTACTATGCCAGCTACTCAAAAGAGAGAGGAATAAGCACTATACCTATTCACTAACCCATGTATGGTGACTTCCCAAGTTCTATTCTTTCTCGTGATGAAATCCGAAGCAGATAAACCTGACACAGTTCTCTAAAACACCTTTTGCAAGTTGTCATTTACTTCTAGTTAAAATTACATCATCCCAAAGATACAGTTAGAATAATGATAATTATAAACAGCTATACATGGTATTTCAAGCTCCCACGATTCGGGGGGTGGTCCAGACATTGAGCTCCAGATAGTATTGATCTCAAAGTTTACGATTGAAGTAACGATGGGAAGATACCATCTGATGAATTGCCCTTTGAAAGTAGACAACATAGTGCTGTATGATATTGTCAGGAGTCGTTTGGTAACATAAGATGTTTGGTATTGTCGCAAATAGCTTGGTAGGTTGAGGAACTCGATTTTTTGATGATTGAATGTGAGAGTAGCCACGAGAAGGACTAGATGGTATGTAAAGCGAGACGATAAATTCATCGTTATCATATTCTTAGTCTGATTGTTGGTGGATGAAGTAGTTAAAAACTAAAGTAATACCAGATCGCCTCCGCAATGTGCAAGAGATATGCCAAGAAGAAGCGAACTTTGGGCTAAATTAGGGCTAAAATGTGACGGCAACCTTACTAATAATTTCTCAAGGTGTCACAAGTCAAAATTGTAAAATGTGTCATTAGTTTGATCGCAGTCTTATTCGTTGAAAGCTTGAAAGTGAAATAAACGTGAGAAATTCGAGAAGCAGGAAACCTGAACTAAGATAAATATTTCCAGAGTAAGATGAATGACACTGTGAGAAGAGATGACTTTGATGGTGAAATAGAAATATTTTTATGTAGCAGAGACGGTTAGTAACCGGTAAGTAGACGAAGTCCTGCTTATGCATCATCAGGTATACTTGCCATCTAGGAGTCGAATAACAGCTGAAATTGACTATAAATCAACCGGCGGAATATTTTAAGTTCAATCAGATCATCGATTGAGGAGATTTAACTGAACCAAATACGGTAGGAAGTGTCTACCATACTTGACTAATTCGTAATACGATTGTGGCCATCACTTGACATTCACTATGGTTAAAAAAACCCCCCCAAACCAATAAGAAACCATACAGCATTGAAATTGACACCTAATCAAGAGAAGATTGGTGTGATGTATTAATCGTGATAGCGAACTTCGTCATCAACCGTCCATATCATGGATACTGGGAATCAACTACAATGAAGACGAGCAGAAGATATCACCTGACGTGATAGGATTGGAGAGATATTGAGAAATGAGCTGGATGTCTGTGATATTGATAGGCTGTGAAGGAAGCTTTATCGGAGGACTTGAGATGCTATCTCTTTGAGGATGAAGGAATATCGTGGATTGACACGGGTAATTTTTTACCTGCCAAGTTTGCTGCCATCATGATTCTGGTTGAGATATGATCAGGATGGGTTGTGGTAGGGCTCATGTCATTCGCTAGTACGATAGCGACTTGCCTTAATCGCAATGCAATGTGGTTTAAAGATTCCTTGACTGAGGGAACCATATATTCAAACAAGAGACATAGAGGAAGAGGATGGATCGACGTCGACGATAACCTTAATCTGATCAGACACTCTGTCCCGAGCTACAACACCGCCACATCCACTTTTCACCACCTCGAACGTCATCTTTATGACCCAAGGTACTTGATACATTGATTCAAAACGCAAGTTGTTGAAAAAGAGTAACTGTTATGCAATTAAAGCTCAGCTGTCGCGGTCAGCCACGCAATGTATCCACTATCTGCTATCTATTGATTCAGAAAGCTCGGGGTGACTCAAGAGCTACTAGCTACTCCATGAATATATAAGATGGCAATGTCTTTCTACGTTGAGGGCTTAAGCTCTAGCTTCTGTTACACGAGGAGCATTACCTATTCAAACAGATTACACAGTCAGCTTCCAACAAAAGATTCAACATGCCACCCTCACAAGGCCGTCGTACCTCACTCACTCCACACCCTGGACGGGCAGCTGTGGATGAATACGCAATGTCCAAACTTCATTCCACTCAAAAGCCAAATCATGAAATGCTCGCTCACGCTCTTCAAAAATCCTCAGAAAGGTCTTCCGCCAATAAGTTCGTCTCCCACACAAGCAAAATTTCTCGCGTTACAAGTGAAATCTATGAGAGTTGAACGCGTGCTGGAAGTGGGAACTTTAGGTGAATATGCATCAGTTTGGGTTGCTACTGAAAATCCAGACTGTAAGATTACCACGTTGGAATTCGATCCCAGGCATGCAAAGGTAGCCCGCGAAAATATTGAGCATGCTGGAGTAAGTGATAGAATTGAGGTTTTGGAAGGGTCTGCAGTGGATATATTACCTGGCTTATTGAAGGGGATTGAAGGGGGAAAGCGAGAAAGGTTTGGTTTGACATTTGTTGATGCTGATAAGCGCGATGATTGGACGTACTTTGACTATGGAGTCAAGATGAGTTATTCCGGAGCTGCAGTTTTCCTGTGTAATATGGCCTGTAGGGGAGATCTAGTGAGATAAGATCGATTGGATGATCCTCACGTTAAAGGTGTAAGAACTGCAATTGAGAATGCTGGGAAGGATGAAGGAGTCGATTGCGTAGTGATGTAAATCGTCTCGGAGAAGAATTGGGACGTATTCTCAATGGCTGTTGTCAAATAAATTACCTAGAAATATTGTTGATTGTCCTTTTTTCAATTCAAAAATGAGCTCTTTTCCTCTATAGCTGGCCAGTGCTAGGCAATTATACCCATCGTTCAGGCTACCATCCTAATAGAGTGGAAGAGAATCTACTCAACTTGAACTCAAGATTATGACCTGATTCACGCGTTATGCAGAAGCCAATAGAGAAAGTTCGCGATGTATTCCCTTATTGAGGTTTACGAAGAGGCAAAGTTGATCAAATCAATCCGCTTTCGAACGCACATATTCTGACCCAAAAATATCTTGAGAAAAATGAAGGGCAAAGTTGCTCTGAACGGTGAAATGAAAATGCATTTGAGTCCGAAGTGATGTTACTACGACGAGCTTATCGGGATGACAAATTGCTTCGTATATGGCATATGCTAGATGTCATGTCAGACTGCGAGCCTCACACCTTTTTCGGAGGTAGACTCGCATAAGCCAACAGCTTTTGAGCCCGATTGAGTTATATAAGTAGTGAGTACCTATTTCAAGATTAAGTTGGTTGTTCAAGCTTTCAATATTCATTTTCATTGGAATTATGCGTGGATTACTGTGACCACCATGGCAAACTATTTATCTGCCATCGTATGCGCGTATATTTTGTTAGTTGTGGCGCAAGCAGCATTGAATATTTCACTTAAAACAACCATCTCTGTAGATCCAGAATCGACCTACTTAATACTTCCTGATTATCATGGGAATATCAATCAGAGCTTTCTCGACACACAAACAAGCAATGCGAATTTATCAGTCTTACTCACTTCCGCAAAGTCCAGTGCATTCATATCCTACGATTCAGAATTCCTGAAGCTCTTCGGAACAAATCCCACAGTCACTCTTGTTGCTCAAAGAAATTATTCCTTTGCGAATGAAGCCGGTATCTGGGTACCTGATCGCAATGAAGTGTGGTTTACAAGCTCCTCAATAGATGATACCACGACGATCTCGGTTCTGAACCTCAACACCTCCAAGATACACACCCCAAACACCAGTATCCCCATGATAAACCCTAATGGAGGCACTTACTTCGACCATCTTGTATACCTCGCTGGTGATGGCAATGCCACTATTTCTCCTGCAATCTATGCTATAGATCCAGCCACGGGCTACACAGAAATTATCATAAACTCCTACTTCGGTGTTTCGTTCAATGGACCTAATGATCTCACATGGGTAAATCATCATGGAACTCCCTATCTGTTCTTCACCGACGATCCGCTCTCCTCCCTTTACGATGGTGGACCACCAGCTGTTCTCCCAGATGCCGTTTGGCGTTTCTCTCCTACTACAAAGTCTCTTGTTCCTGTTATATCTCGTGCGGATATTTTAGTACCTAATGGAATCAACGTTAATGCTGCCATGGATACCCTCTACATTACAGATACCACACCTATCACCACAGCCAACTCTGGTGGATATAATTCCGGCTCCAACGCTATTTATAAGTTCGACCTCGATGCCGACATGTTTCCTATCAACAAAAGACTTATTGGAATCTCGAGAATGGGCATTCCGGATGGTATCCATATAGATGATAAGAATAGAATATGGACGGCTGAGGGTGAAGGAATTGTAGTAAGAAACAACGTCGGAAAGGTGTTGGGGTTGTTTAATGCGGAAGTCTTCCTTGATGATCCGGCGGGAGAACCGGGTATTGAGATTGCAAATTTTGCTTTGGCGGGCGACGTCTTGGTTGTGGAAGGAAGTGGAAAGTTATGGACTGTGAAACTTGCGGAGGTGGTAGTGAGTTCAGATCGCTATATACTTTGATGTCCAGGTGGTCGTATCAACCGATATACAGTATCTCGAACGAGCCGAACAGGGCTACTATTGCCTGATATGTTACTTTGGGCTGAGTACCTAGATGACTATCATACCAATAATCATTATGATCACACAAAACCAACAATCTTCCCATCTGCTACCACTAGAGTTCCGTCCTTTATGACACAGCTGACGTTTCTGATGACTTTTTCAAACCCATCTTCTTCCAAATCTCCATCTAAAGCAACCAAATCTGCAATCCAATCCTCACCCAACCATCCAAAATCCTGCCCACACAATCCCCCACCGCAAGCTTCCCATCCTCCTAATGTAGCAGCTCTTAACACATCAGCCACATCGATTCCAGCTTGAACCATCAACTCCATCTCCCTCGCATTTTCTCCGTGGGGAAACGGCCCTGTGTCACATCCTGTGGCTAGTTTTACACCCATCTCCCAGGCTCGTCTAGTGTGTTCTTTACATATAGCAATTGCTCTTCCTCCATCATTTGCTTCTAATTCTACGACCGAAAGTGTAGGAACATAGATTGTACCCATTTCTTTCATCACTTGCAATGCTTTTTCACTAGGCATGAGTCCATGCTCTATACTCGTAACACCTGCTTTCGCAGCCATGATTACCGCCTCTTCTGAACTAGCATGGCTAGCCACCGGAACACCAGCGCGTTTCGCTTCAGCTACCATAACATCCATTTCTTCCTGACTCCAAAGAAGAGAATTCGGATTCCTCAACCTCTCTCTCCTGCCAAAAATATCCTCTCCTCGATTTCGGGAAGGAGGAAATTGGATGTCTTCAGAACCTTTATATGTAGATGCCGGATAGCGTAACGCACGTCTCCGATACTCAGCATAAATCTTAATAACATCTGCACCAGCACCAATCCTTCTCCTCACACCTGCTCTACACCCTTCAATCCCATCACACGGATCACTTAAACGCGGAGTCTCCGTTCCTCCCAACTTATTCTCCTGCCGAATCTCATAGCTACCACTCGAAGCCAAAGGTTCCGTCGCAACGAACAACCGCGGTCCGGGGATAAGACCACGGTTTATAGAATCACGAACACCAGTATCGGCATTATGGCATCTTTCGGTTCCGAGATCGCGATACGTGGTATATCCGGCTAGGAGCGCTAGACGACAATTGGTGGTGGCGCGAATGGTGCGGGAGATGAGAGATTCATCTCGTTCTTGATTGAGATATGGTGAACCGGCTTCGTCGACACGGTGCAGGAAGATGTGAGTATGCGCGTCTACGAAGCCTGGGAGAACGGTTTTGCTTCGGAGATCGATATCGTTGTCTTTGGGTGAAGTTATTGATGAGTTTTCTCGGGTGATGACTTTGGTTATGAGACCTGTTTTGGTGTTTACTTGGAGAGAAATGTTTTTATCGAAATTTTTGGTGCGACTGTTGAAGAGGGTAGTGGTGTGAATACAATATTCGTGGTTAGAAGACGAAGAGGAGCCTGAGGGTGTTGATTTTGCAATTTTGGGAGAGCTGGCTGTGGCTGATCGTGATGCCAAAGCTGATGTGGAATCAGACAGAGTAGACGTTTGGGTAGGGTATTTCTTCGTCATTTTGTCTAGTACTTGTCAAGACCTCAAATTGGGTACCACTGAGAGCTCAGTCAGCATGTCGAATCTTCTCAATTGATTCACAAATCTACACAGCTTTCTACATTGTGTACCATGTATGCGATAAATATATATTTGTCGACTGAGGTTTAGCGCTGACTAGTGACGTACGCTTCGATGATAGTGATGGAAGAGAGCTTGTAATCATGCTGAACACGATGCGAGTTACGGCGTGCAGAACTCGCGGTTCAAGGCTCTGATAGGGTTATTCGTGTAGGTGCACAGGCTTTTACAGGGAATGACTCGGGATTGACTCGCTTATTCCGAATTCCGTTAATTTGTTGCGTCTTATTCCGTCTGAAGTAGTCTGTATATTCCTGGAGTCCACAATTGTTCAACATAGATTCTAAATATATGCTTATGAGAGAATATTTAATCTTGCACTCACTGCATTTTAAAGAATGTGAAGAGGACTGCATATACAATGCGACGGTGTATTTGAAAGTGTCATCAATCAATCAATTTCAATATTATACAGATGGTTTGAGAACCCCCCAGTTTCCTTAACGACGCGGTCGCCTAGCATTGAGGAGTCTGATTTGACATTGAACTTTGCCTATATCATGACACAGAACCAGTACCTGTTTCTAGAATTCCGAGTAGTATGCTAGGAAAAATGATCAAAATGGCGACCTCGAGCTCGCTCGGATAGATGTGAAGACGTTCGCCAAGTTTGTTGCACCCGTTTTTCATTGTAGAGTTTTTGATACTAAGCTTAGCAGTTACATAATAGACCGTCGAGGAAAATGAAGAAAGAACGAAAAGTTCAAAGTTCAAAGATAACAAGCAGCCACGAGCTTACATGAAAAGACATAAAAGCTACAAAAGACAAAATCAACGCTACTAGTATCCGAAAAACGTCCTCGTCAAGCTAATTCCTTACAGCCGCCTAGTCCTCTCATCAGCTACTCTAAGCTTTGTAATCAAGCCCTGTTTTGTTTCACCACTCGCAGTCTTCATGCCTCGCTCCTTATACATCTTCTTCAAAGCCATGATTCCCAAATCTCGATACGTGCTTTCCTTCTCATCAGTTTCCCTAAGCTTCACCGCTAAATCCAGTCTTTTTGTTCCCGACTTATACTTAATCCCACGCTTGCTACACATTATCTCGAGACTCGTTGCCGATAAATCCTCATACTCTACCGATCCCGTCTCGAGCCATTTGATGCAAGTAGCTTTGGTACCCCAACCTTGCATACCCTGTCTCTGGCACATGTCTCTGAGTTCCCTCTCGCTTCTTCCGGCCCAGTGGGAATCTTTCCAATTATAGTCGCAGACTGGCCCTGGTTTGTGAACTGGCTGGTAACTGTTGACTATTTCATGGTCACGTTTCATTATAGCATTATTTCGTCCCATCACCATTGCGATATCTAGAACAGGATGACCTATGCTTTTCTCCAATTCTTCCTTTGCTTTGCTGTATTCCTCTTTGCGGGTCTCAAGAGACGCGGTCAATTTATCGATAGCATCACGCATAGCGGTTCTATCTCTACCCTCTGATTTTAATCTCTGATTATTCGCGTGGAGTTGCTTAATCAAAGTTTTCCCCTAGCTGTGTGGAGATAAACCCAAAGCAGTTGCAACCTCACGGATAGCGCTGGAGTCTAATTTCTCATATGATACGTTTGGATCAGATAAAGCCTCTAGAGCTTGTTCTTTATCTTTGATGAATTTCTCCTCAAGTTTCAATTGCACATACAACTGTGTGTCTTCCGATTTCGCAGAATCATAGAGAGCCTCGTCGCTATTTTTGAGTCGCTCGATTTTGATTTCTTTGCTTCCGTAACTCGCGTTGGTCAGCTGGCGATCTTTGAGTATGAGGGAAAGTTCTTCGGAAGTGTAAGATTCGTAGTTGTATGGAGAAGTTTCTAAGCGATGAATCATTTCTTCCCGTGTACCAGAAGTTTGAAGGTGTCGATCTCGTAGCAAAACTCGCAGCATACTATTATCTTTCTGGGCATATATCGAGTCACTAGACACGGTGCCACTTGTTGATGGCTCTGCAATCAGAAGCATCTCGTCATCCTGCTCAACACTGTCTTCCTCAATATTGTCGGCATCTATAGCTTCGCTTGCCTCCTGTGCGGGTTTCTCCTCGCTATCCTTGTCATATTTATCCAGAATTCTGAGTTTTTCTATCAGAGCTGCCTTATCATCATTACTGTATTGCGGTATCAAGCGCTTCCAACACTGTTCTCTAAGCGACTCGATGTGCATATCCTCATACTCAAGAATCCCAGTCTCAAGCCATTTGATCATCGCATCCTTTGTTCCATACCCTGGTGCACCTTTCTCCTTAGCAATTTCACAAAGCTCCCAAGCACTGAATAGACCCCAATTCGTCTTTTTAGGATCATAATTCAAGGTTTCTCGGTCCCCAGTTTTCTTCGTTACAACAGGAACATCGTATTTTGACGATTCAACCGTTGGTACCTGCGCTGGAAGTATATGGCCTATCTTACTCTCCAAATTCACTCTCGTATCCGCAAGTTTCTTTTCCCAACGTTCCAGCTCAGCAGAGATTTCGGATCCCATAAGTGTAGATACCTCGACCTTCTTCTTTTGCGCTAGCTTTTCGTCATCCGCCTCCAACCAATCGATTAACTCAGAATCTTCACAGACAGATTTTACTTTTCTTCCTTGTTGCCTCAAATCCATTAGGGTTCTCAATCCCGACACTTCCAAATCTTGGTATGATTTTTCCCCTTCCTCATCTCAACCCAGTTCATCAGTTGTTCATATCTCTGTATCTCGTTTTGACAGATCACAAGATTAGTGTACAAACTGCGTTCTTCCATATTCCCATTGTCTCGATCCAAAGCATCATCATACCTCAGTCGTTCAATTCGCGCTGCTTTTATAACTCCATTACATGGAAGCAGCCGTGCACTCAATAGTATGGAAAGTTGATCACAAGTCAGACTCTCATAATCATCTCCGTAACCCCTCATCTCATATCTCTCAAGCCTCTCGATCATTGCCATCCTATCCATACTTTCCACCTCCTGCGGCTGCATTACTCGCCAATCGCGTAGCAATGCCCTTAACTTACTACTATCCTTTGTTCTATAATTTATTTGATGCCCATGCGAGCTTTGCGAAGGAACCGCGGCCGTATTCCTCGAAGATGTCGCAGAAGACTTCTCGGCAATTGGCGCACTCGGAGAAGCCAATGCCTTATTCTTGACAGTCCATAATTCTTTCAAGCCTTCTTCGCGCCTTTCCGTTATCTTTGCACTTTGCTCTGCAGCATCTATCCTTGCAGACTTCCTGCGCTCTGCCTTTCCTGAATCCTTGGCCGCGACATGCCCCTCATTATCCCTCAACCTTTGGATTAAGACATCCTCCGTCCCGTTACTCGGCATGGATCTCTCTTTCAACATCTCCACTAACTCTCCCTGGTTTTTGATGCATGGTCCTCACCAGCTGTAACGTCCTTCTGCTGATGTTTCTTCTGCGGCGGCAGAATCGCGTTCGTGTCGGCTCCCGCCAAAGGTCGTTTCGTCGGTGGCATATTTGTTATTCGCGCCGTCAATATATCGGTATCAGAGCACAATGAATCGCGTGGAATACCATCTGATGTAGAAAGCAGAGAATTTCAATGTGTTGAGAATTTTGATGAGTGAGTGATTATTTACTTTCCTTTCCTATCTGACGCGACGAGATATGACGTCAGCTCTTTGGCTCAAATTGTCGCGACCAAGCTCGAATGGTTTCAATGTTTGAAAGTTGATTGTCCGATATTATTATAGGATCAGCGGTTCTAATGAGTCAATTATTCTGAATAATCTAGAAAGTTCTAAATGCATGGGATATTTCACGATGACCCTTGTCTATATCTCGATCTCTTTTGCTATCATACAATTATATCACCCCAATTTCGACAAAAAGTGTGCTATTCAACATCCAATAAATCCAAGTCTATAGCCATCATTCCTAGAATCAGGAATCAATATATATAAAAAATTCGAGAAATTTTTTTTTGAATGTAGTGTACGGAGTAGACAATTCCAACGATCCTGGCTTTAGTCCTTCCATATGCCATTGCCAGATTTTCTCGCCCAATTCTTTCTTTGCTGAGCAGCCCCATTGAGCTGTCCTGGCACGAGTAGTCGTTTCAGGAAGATTGCCCTAATTATCATAAACAGCACGCCCAACCAAACGACAACCAGAAAGACACTAATCACGGTGCCAACAATCCGAATAGCATTAAATCCGAATGCCGTACCAATTTGTATCGTTGCCGTGGCCAGTGCTGTATTTGGGAAGACGAACGAATTCCTAAGTATGTTAGTAACAATATTGGAGACGCGTGATATAAGAAGATTCTTACCATGTCATGTCAACACTAATGTGATGTTCCGGGTGATTAGGCTGCATGACTTGCCAATGAGCGCCTACAGATATCAAACAGAACCAAAGGCATAGACCCCAGATGAAAAGTCCAGTAAAACTCCCCATCAAGTATAAAATGAAAGGGCCCTCGGCATTGCCAAAAATCCCATTGGGTAAGATGGTCGTCTGCACCGAATTAGAGAGAGAAACGATTGCTGTCACTGTGAACCCGGAAGGGCCAACTGATACGAACTATAGATACTTAGTTAATATTTGGAACAATAATTATAGGTATGACTCACCATTCCAGGTCGTGTTGTCTCATGGGGAAGTTTCTTGGACATTAATCGATAGAGGAAAGCACTGTATATCATGAGACTGAGGAGAAATCCAATTCCTTGAAAGCAAACCGCCCCAAAAGCTATAGCAGTAGAATTGATGCGTGCAGCCGCAGTTGTATTTGGTAAGGTTGAGATAAGATTCGCTGCAACTGGACCAGTCAGTAGTAACGGGTAGGCAGGGAAGGTCCAGAGAGGAGTCATATTAGCAATGGGGAATTCTCTAAGCAGTAAAATAAGCCGACGTTTTGCACATAGGCGTTGGTAGTCAGACTTACTGAGTCGACCAAAGCAATAGGTACATCCCGGATGATGCAACTACACTCAAAGTGCAATACGCCCAAAAGCATACCTGCATGGTAGTTTGGAACCACAGGCCAGTCTTAGGGATTCCATACTGGCACATGGTCACAAGAATTGTTCCCACTCTACAAAGATTCAGACGTGATTCCTTGACTGAGGCGGGAAATTACTTACGATATCATCTAATAATACATTAGACAGATATACAACAGGCATTGACACTAGAATCAACTTACACAAGCAGGAATATACAGAGATTCTGAGGGACTAAGGAAAGATTTAGAGAAACTTCCAGGGTTCCATTTGAAGCGAAGAGAGATTAATATACAATTCATTACAAAGAATATAAGATTCAGGAAGAATACTATTTCTCCTACTATTCGCAACCAATTCGATCGATATGGGACTGTAAAATGTTAGAGCCGGACACAAATGTAATTGCATCGAATGACATACTTGAATAAAGGACATTTGCGATTCCTCCAGTGGCCATTGTGAGAGTGAACCATGTCCATGTAACACAACCGATGCGATCACGAACACTGACTTTAGCAACTGCATTATTCTCAGTATCTGGCTGTTGATCCACTCCATTTCTGTCATGATCGCCTCCCGCATCGGGGCCGTCTGATGCCACAAAGCCTCTGTGGCCTGCACTGCCGTTGGTATAAATATTCCCATTCCCATTCCCATTGCCGTTGCCATTTCCACTTTTGTTTCTATTTCCACTTGCACTCCCATTGGCATGTTTATAATTGCTTTCTATATCGGATTTTTGCCCTCGATGCCTGTGAACGCTTTCACCCGCAGATGAATCATCTTTCAAATATGAAATCTGAGGTTCGTGAAGGTCGGGTTGAGATGTATCATTCATCAATCGTGGTAGAGGTGACGTAATTGACATTTCTGAAATATATCTTCCTCTGGTGCCGTTGCACAAATCTTAGAAAGTGCGTACAAGACGAGTAGAAAGAAAGGTCCCAGCGAAGTGAGAGTGAAAGTAAAGTTCACCAGAGTCGTTAAGAATATTAGAATTTGTAGAACGATTGATCCAACATTACTCAAAGCCATGGTGAACGTAGGTAGTTTGAGGTAGTTATAGAAGGTCGTTTTGCAAAGTTTCCGAAAGAGGGGAGGGGTGGATAGGTTTCTGGAAGAACGGCACTATTTTGGGTCTCAGAGAGTTGATTTTACTTTGTAGTTCGGAAGAAAAGGGCTTCGGCAGAGATTTGGGATTGATTATTGGCGACTGGAATTGGTCGAGCGTTCGAGACTAGGTAGTATGGAGGTTTCTTGGACTTGGGATTTGGGTTTGAGATTATTGTTGTGGATTAGAGAGAGGCTGAAATAAGACTAAAACATCGAGCATCCTTGAATATGATTGTGGGTGATACCGTCACCCAAGGTTTTAGCGTGCAATTTAGATCATCTTGAGCGGTGGACAGGGGCAGAATCTTCTACCGAAAACTCCACTTTCAATATTAATTAATTTACCTCTCTCTTCTCCTTCTCTCTCTCTCTCTTTCTATCTCTCTCACTCAGAGTCTCTCCCTCGTCTCCCTCTCTCTCCCACACATGTCACAATAAATGTTCACCAGCGATAGTGACATACACACATTCATTCATGCCTGTCTCATCTCCATGTCGCATCTTTTCATATGGGAAATCACGAGACAAGGACAACATATCCTCCCTGATGAGTGCAATTTGATATACTATTTGTGTTACAGTACTAACCTTCTTTCTCAATCAATCTCTTATGCTTCATTCTTATAATTTCTCTCTCACTTCTGATTTCCTTCATTTGATTTCTCTATCGTCCTCATCATTCCCATTAATTGTTAGTTCCAATTATTGCTCTTCAGACGTGGATTCTCCAGGGTATTCTTCTTGACTACCTTCATCAGGTTCATCACATTCTCTATCATGCTCTCGAGGACAATGAATTTAGGTCCTGTCGCTTTCGCATCGCTCTCGGACAATCTCTCTTTGCATTTAGAGTACGAGGTTGCCATTAGAGTCCCGCCCGGAAAGCTTGAGACCGTGTCGGTTGACGAGTGTCTGAAATCGTTGACATCGGGGGAAATATGGGTCGCCAGTGGAAATTCATGCCGGGTTGATTTCGTTATTGATCTTGACGGGAAAGAATTGTTTGAAACTAACAACAATCATATCATTGAATTGTTAGGTAAGTTCGTCGCAGAGTCAAAGGTTCGTCAGATCAACACTTTAGAGAAAGATTGACTTGCTCACTATTTGAAGGTATGGAAACAGCTGGGATTATCTGCAATACTTCATTTGCGAAATCAACCACTACAAAAGAACAATCTTTCCCTTCAGCTAAACAATGAAGAGCCTCCATGTTCACCGATTCCCGACGTTCGGCCTTGGTCATGTACAACTGCCAATATTAGGATACCAGACGCACAACTCTGCGCTCAGATGGAACGGCTAACAGTACATTTATCATTTCGAGCTTTGTCTGGAGGGATTCAAACATTAAAAAGACGGAAACCATCTCCCCTAGATTTGGTGCTTGGTCAAGGCTCCGCCCAGACATTGAAAACCGCACAACCAGGCACGCCAAGAAAAACTTTGATTGTCAAATTTGGCCCTAGTGAGAACATATCATCACTTTTGAAAAGATATTCCGACTCTAGTAAGCGGTATGACGCTACTCAAGCAAGCATACCAACTACATCATCAATCATCGAAGTTGGCTCCAGAGTCAAAATTTCTGAAATTTTGAAAGAAAGTTCTGAGAGTTTGTACTCAAGTGTCACATTACATGCTATACCCGCTCTATCTCAATTGAGCTCTTTCTTAAGTTCGGGTCCATTCTCCAAGTCCCCATCCACTTCTAGACATATGACTTCCTCGAGTAATTTTCGTAAGAGGATGAAAGGGGTTCCTAAAGATTCACAGGGAGCGGAAACTAGTTTCTTAATCAAGCAAGAGGATGCTTCCACGTCACCAAAAGATATAGCGTTTGATGAAATGCTGCTTCTATCTAGCGACGAAAGATATTGTACTCGAACTTCGAATAACAACTCATCGAAATCCTCGACTATCGGAAGTGTTTCCCAAGAACGCAGTGCAACTTTCACTTCTCAAGATAAGGCATACGTACTTGATCCTACAGCATCATGCAAGCTCGTTACTGCAGCGATAAATGTTATGATTGCTGGGATGGAGACGAGACAGAGAACAACGAAAGGAGTAAAGATTGACGATATCTCAGGCAAATCATCTATTTCCCTGGCAGCCTTGGGTCCAGTCATATTTTCTCCGGGTTTCAAGAAGGTATTATCAGCACATTTTCAAAGCCAATTCAATTACTAAGTAGCATAGTCCGTAGCTCAAAATTCTCGCTACACCCCTAGGATCATCCGAATGATGACCTCATTGGCACGCAATGCCCAAACACCAGGCCTGCGACAGAAAATCGAGCAGATTGCAAACATGCCGACCTCTGACTTTATCAACGAAGAGACTGATAAACAGATACATGGTGAGCTAGGCTCTGAGAAAAGGCTGACAGCCGTGGTGACAGCCCGACTATGGTCAATGATGCAACGAACATTACATGATTCATCAGCTGCTCGCCAAGTTATCAATAAACTTTCGACTTCGGAGAATGTTGTTGTGGCTGGGGATGCTGATGGATATGACGATCTTTTGGACTCTATCGTCAATGATGCTGACATACAAGATTTAGCAATGGTAGACGATGAATTTCGATGGAATATGGACAATCGCAGTGAAAATTCGGCATTCGACAATATACTCAGTGACGATGAAGGTATGCCAGATCATGGATTTGATGATCTACTCCTTGAGGGTGATGATGATGTCTATGAGCCATTCTTAAGCGGTGAAGAAATGGAAAGATTGGCGATAGAGTCGGAATCCGAGGAGATGTTTTTCGGCCACCGTTGGCAACTTGAGGATGAAGAACAATATGATGATTTGTTGTTAGTCGTTGAAGGCTCAGGTCATGACGAGTTGTTACTGGAGGAGAAATCCGGTATATTGAGGGAAGGTCTATCACTTAACAATGATGATCTGCTGGTAATTTGAATTCGAACCGAATTATATAGTCGTCGCACCAGAATTCAGAATACCAAAAGCCCAAGCCGTAGTCTATTATGTCAAGCCGCGCGCGCTTCGTGAAAATTTCCCAACGTAGCGAGAGCTCGGTGTATATAGAAATATTTGCTAACACAACGCGAGGGACTTATACACGTTGATATCAGCTGATACTTTAGGAGGGCTTTCGTGGTAAGCGAACGAAAGTTGTACGATGTGGTTCGTGAATTGTGGTAATGAGAAATGGATTGAAAACAGTAGGAAGACTCTGACGAAGGCATAACTACCAGTTTGTGCTAATAGTTCACATCAAAATAGTGGAAAGTTTTCCTGGCTACTCACTGCGGAAAATCGATATTCTCAATGAAGTATTATCTATGTATAGAAGATTTCAAATCACAATCGAGAGAACAATAATACCAAATTGCCATATAATAAATCAGTCTCGTTGTTGAAAGGTGTTGAAATTTACATGACTAACATATCCATTCAATTACCAATTAAACAACAATCCAATCCTAAGTTTTTGGATTTCCGATAGTTAACTAATGGAGATATACTTATTAGTAACACAGAAAATTGCTTTTGGGTCCCTTACATACTCGGCGTACAATCATAAGTTACTATCCTCGCGCCATCGTTGTTTGCTGCTTATGTCGTGTGGAGACTCTGGAGAGTTGCGGTGCGAACAGAGCACATGACCTAGACCCAATTGGTACTAGTGTACATTAAGTCGATTGGCGTTCATCCGCTCTTTCGATCGCATCCTTTCTTTCTTTCTTTCTTTCCTCTTGACTAAATTTACCACACAGAGTCTGAATGTCCTCAAATTCTAGCCTGCTACTTCCCATCGCTGCTCATGGTCCAAGAGTAACAACAAGTCTTGTTCATCCTTTCGTTCTTCCTACATCCAATCATCCAAAACGTCGTGGTAGCATTGGAACGAATACTTTGTGGCTCGGACGATTTGACAGCTCATTGGCTCCATATATTAAACGCGAAGTCCCATGTTCACCTGAACTTCAAGCCCTGCCATCACCAACGAAATCCTCGGACCCTGATTTCTATTTCTACGTCATCTCTGCCAAGCATCAAGATTTCTTCAGAAAAGACATGCGAGTACCACCCTGCCTCAATGTCGAGAAATCTTGAAATGAACTCCTTGTCGTTACAATGTGTGAATCAATTACCTCACCGCCAACCATTCACATACGATGATGAACTACTGCTACAGATCCTGGAACACACGAGGACGTACGATGATCTTATTTCTATATGTATATAAATTGGATGCTAGATACTCGGTCAAGCTGCAAGTACCGACAAATAAATTCATTGTCACTTCTACTGAAACACAACAACAACAACTAAAAGACCCATAACCAGCCTCCTCCAAAACTTAAATTTATTTTTTTCTTCAAACAAAACTTGATTCATACCCCCATATTTCTCATCTCTCGGCACCTTTATTATTTATATCGAAGATATCGATTTACAATATTCCTAGAAATCATCCTTTGGAGATCAGATTCTACACAATACCTTCATAATAATTTTCCACCGATAATCATACCGAAATCATGGCTTTCGCATTCACCCTTCCTCTTCGCATTGTTCAGGCGGTCTTCTCCATCATTGTCCTCGGTTTGATGGCTTATGGTATGTACACATTTCCCCTCATTCTCTCTACTTGTCACTGACATTATCTAGCTGCCGACGCATGGTCCTACTGGTGGTCACCCGATTCCGTCAACTTCCTCGTCTTCACGGCCGTTTGGACCATCCTCGCTCTCATCTACCTTATTGTCGCACCCACTCATTTCCCCACCGCAGCACATAAATATGGAATCCTATTTGCCGAGGCCGTTACCATGATCTTTTGGTTTGCAGGCTTTATTGCCTTGGCCGTTATGCTTAATAATGTCAACTGTGGGCATTCCAACTGGAGTGTATGTGAAGCTAGCATTGCTGGAGATGTCTTTGCTGCTTTCTTGTGGTATGTATTTCTTTCTCCATTTTCGCTGATCCCCTAAATTTTGCGGAAGAATGGATACTAATTTGGGGTGAATAGGTTGTTGTTCCTTGCTACTACCACCATGGCCGCGTTACACGTTTCCCGCAGCAGTCGATCCAGCGATCGTCATGATCCTGCTATGGAAGTCGCTGTCTAGATGCCACACATCGGGGCGTGATACCTTCACTTCTATGAATGTCTTTTGAATACAATTGGTCACGAAGTATAGGGGCGTTTGGCATGGGATGGGGCTGGGATTTGGCTTTTGGTGATGAATACGTGAATACGACAAACGAGATATGAAGGGGGGATGTGGGGTAATGGAGGCGGGGGATGAACGTTCGACTTTTTATACCCAAAATTGCTTGCTTGCTTTTTGTTTTTTGTTAGGGATGATGTTGAATATGAATAACTATCCTGATGTTGATCTATTTGTTTATTGAAGTTGTGGTGATGTGATGTGATGCTATTTCTATATAGGTACTATTCTATTTTCTGACGAGCTTGATGGAATAGTTTTGCAATACTTTTCTTCATCACACTGGTAATGCAAAGATTATCAAATGTTGTGCTGTCATATGTGTAGGACTCGGTCTGGCACCGTGTAGTCACGGTGCTCTTTGATGGCGGATTTGGCTCTTCTCCGATGTTCAACTACGCCGACTTTGATACGGCATCCAATTATGCAACTTTTCTTATGCTCTCAAGTAGTGTTGTGAGATAGCAATGGATTTTAGGTCGACTGAGTGAGATTGTGGTTTCATCTGTTTGTTTTTCAGGCGAGCTGGACGTGGACAGGATGTGAAAATGATGCATGTGCTTTGAGACACAAATCGGTTGAAAGGTGAAGTGCCCGGCTATTTTAGATCTATCTTCTCCCGAAACATCTTGCAGATGGACAGAACGCATCTGCTTAAAGTAGTAAATATACCTAGGTATAGGTAGTCATCGTATTTCTCTCCTAGCCCCCCCTTGACGATATTCAAACCAGCTCCAGCGATTCTCGTCTCGCGTGGATGCGAATAGTGCTTAGGGGTTTGATCTGTACCTATCTTTGGGAACTGGAATTGGAAGCGCATGAACGTTGATCGTCCCGATCGTAGTGAATAGCTCCAATACGTTAGCTACCGTATTACATGCCCCAAGCGAAGGCGAGAGAGACTCGCTCTTTCCGTAGCGTCTATATAAGGCCTACGATTTCCTGTACACAGCTAGCTCTTTAGATAGAATACAATTCGACATACAGGACCTATGAATACGTGGGTGCTATGTCTTCCGTATCCTTCTCAATCCAGCAGGAAGTGTTGGTTTGCTCCTGTAGTGTGATCTTTTTCTGGTACGCTCGCTGAATGGTGTTGTGCTGCATTTTTTTGAATTTTTGTTTGCGTTGGAGTGGATGCTTGGTGACATGCTAGCAAGTTGTAACTGAAGTGTGAGTAATAGGAGTCTTGGAGCCTTTGTTATCTAGTGATAGTTTTGTGTCTTTTGACTTTGTGTGATGTTGTTTGGTTACCCCTCATTGGGGCTGTGTTGGTGATTTGATTTATCGGTGTGATGTGATGGATGGTTACATAGCGTGATGTACTTCAGGCTGCATTAGAAGAGGAACTTGAGTTTGAATTGGATATTGAGTATACGAATGTGACTTTTGGTTTTAGAAGAGTACAGTTGACGTAGCACCTATGGTGATAGATCCTCATGGTCAATATAGTATTTCATTTAAAGAACTAGCTATGTGCAGAAAGATGCAATCTTTAGGTACATATTGAGGCTAGCCCTCTTGTGTAGTGTACGACCGTAGCCTAATGACTTAGGGTCATTGGCCCACGTTGTTACATAGTCATCGTAGTCTCAAAACAGGTGTATATATACCTAGGTAGCCAAGGAAAAAGAATGAAAATAAGATGCTTAGATCGACGCAAGTCCCACTTTCCAGTCATCCCGTTGCAACTCTTGTGACTTGTCGTGGGTCCGGAAATTTAATCACTTGGCCTGGACAATGTACCGTAAAGGAAATTGAGTAATACGCTGCCACGTGATTCAAGAAACGGTTGCAGCAATCGCAGAGAGAGCTACTGACGACGATATAAAGATCTTTGTAATATTCTGACTTTATAGGAGGTGAATCGTCTCTCTTGGCCCAATTCGTACACCTGTAGCCAGATGGTAGCTTCGCAACATAGTTGTGGATCCAATAGGCTATAATCTGTTTCTCGGCATGACATGCGTTGTAATTACCCGGGTTTCCTCGGTCGTTTTGACTTCTTCGTAACTCGTAACCTATAGTTTGACACATTTCCTTGACTTTTTCGGTCCATTCTTTGTTCGAGATGAATGCATTTGAACTTTCCGTTTCGGATTGCTTACACTGCCAACCGCTGACGGCGTTGATCATTTGAGCTTTCGAAGCATCAAAATTCACTGTTCGTCGTGTTGGCGGTGGTGATTTAATTGGTACATATAAACGAGCTAGATGAGAACTTGTAAGACAATGATGTCAAAATAACATCGGGCTAAAGAGATGAACATGCCTACTGTCTTTTCCCCCGATTTTACTTCATACTTCCCCAAATGAAAGCTATGGACCCGCTCGTACAAATCGATGGTGTAGTGCAAGCTTTGCAATTTATTTGAATGATATTCAAACCAAATTGATTGTTCGCGTGAGTCCTGGGTAGGTTCTTCCAGAACTTTGACTTGTTGACAAGAAGCTACTGCATCAGAACAATTCTCACATAGCGTCGATGCAGAAATGATGTTCTCTTCTGTGAGATCGTTGGTAGCAGTTCCAACTGAGGAGGTCGCCTTGTGGTGATCTTGATTTTGGACATCATGCTGTGCTGCAAGCTTTTCGGAAATTTCAGGGGAATCAAGTATATATGAACCCAGCTCTAACGCTGCTTCTATGATTGTTGCGAGTATATCATTTCGGCGCTCGATGGCCAAGTCTTCATCACCAACTTTCGACTGCCCTCTGTATGCAGTCTTTTCGAGAATACTCTTGACTTTGCTCAAGGTACTTTCGAACCAGGAAGTATCAGGGGTGATATCCAGCGAGCGATAGCGAGCCAGCTTAGGAACCGGATTATGCATTATTTCGTTCCAGATTTCTTTGAGTGTCTTTTCTATGACTGGTGTCTCGAGTGTAGCTTCGGAAAATGCTTTGGTCACGCCAACGATGTCGTTGGGTATAACTTTTGAATCGCTTGCGCTTTTAGTACCATTGTTCTCGTGAGACTGAGTGGCGGGTTCATCTTTGACAAGGGTTTCATCTGCTTCATTTGGATTTAGTTCTTAACGACAATGATGTTATTAGGTTCAGCCTGACTGTTTCGAGACTTAGCGTCTTCTTAGGCCTTTCGGAGCTTCTTCAATGCAGTAGCCTCCTTCCTTAATTCCCATGGTTGCTTTGATCTCTTACTTTCTAAATCCGGTAGCCTTAAAGTATCCGTCATCTCTATTTGATCAATAAACCTGGCATTGCGATTTGTGTGTAGAAGCGTTGTTTATTCTTTCTTTTGACGCGTGGTCGATGAATTATATTTATGTGGTATTTGAGATCAAAGAGAAAGTGAAATATATGTATATTGTCGAAGGTGCTACCTTCGCGTTCATTGCCCCTCATTTCAGTTGGTAGTCTGACTCAGCCTCACAGCATTGTAGATGGTCACACAGCATGAACTATCATATTGTGTGGGCGATTTTGCAGTCAGCCTTGTGTTTGCCTGGGCCAAAAGTGCCTAATTGAGTGCCTTGGCGTCTATGATTGACCGAACGTCTTCCATAAAACTTGGAAGAAAATTATGAGATGTTCAAGCCAACTCATTTTATTGGCTGACGTCGTAACGCACATCCTAGAACGTAAGGCTCTTCAACAGTCTCAGCACATATTGTGCTTCATCACCTATCCAATGATCATGATAACTCAATAGGTTTTCCAGTTATTGCAACACTCAACCAACTTCTGGGTCTTCTCCGTATCGAATATATCCTCAGGATGTGTACGAGATTCCACTTGAAAGTGATCGGGAAGTTCAAAGTGCTTTTTGACCTTCTCAATGAATTCCATACAATCTTTGCAGATCTTTCGACTGACGACTATAAGGGCACCTCGTGGGGCTGAAGCCTTGATCTCTCGATAGGGAAGCGCATTTGGTAGTTTCATGTTCACTTGATATCCTGCGAATGTATTTTGGTGAAGATACCAAGCAATCAATTGCTTTTCTGCATGACATGCATGATACCTACCGGGAAACCCATTATCCAGATCTTCTCGATGAGGGAGTTTATGGTTGATGATTTTGCAAAGATCTTCTACTTGTAATGTCCAGGTCAAGTTCGATATAATATCGTTGTTTTGAAAAGGTTGATCCCAGCCACTAGCTGCGGTACATCTATGAAGACCGTTCATATTGAGCCGAGCTTACAAGCAATGTGTCAGCACGAGTTGAAATACACCGTTGGAGAAGCTTCAGTTTCTGAGTTACAAAGTCACTGACCTATTGTTGTTTTCTCTCTTGGTATAGGATAGCTTTGCACATCTTGTGGTACGAGCTGACATAACTCAACGCGGTGGCCGGTCGAGTTTTGATGATATCGAAACCAGCGTGAGTGATCTGGGTTGGTGTATTTGGGCTTGCTTTTGTCTTGCAAATCCCTGAGACTTGTTTTTTCAAGTGAAGAGATCAACAAATCAATACTATCGGTAGATGTGCTGAAAGAACTATCAGTGGACTCCGGTGTCTTGACATATATTCCGGCAAGAACGTGAGGAGTGCGGGCGACGGAGTGGTCATTAGCGTCGGTATATGAAACCTTCTTCTTTTTGCTCTTATCGGGTGATCTACTCAAGCGTTCACTGGCGTCAATCTCTGTACTGTTAGATCCACAGCCTTTACAATCCACATCTCTCTGTCTCGTAATAATGGCGCATAATTCTTGATATCTTCTTTCTTGGTTCTCTTCATTTTCACGGTGCCTTCTCTCCTGGTTCACTTCGCTCCGTTCCATCATTTGCTTGAACATATTCATCGCCAAATCAAAAGAATCAGGTTCGGTCTGGGTTCCAACCTCTGTAAATGTACCCGCAATCTCAGTAGCAATTTTCTCCTCGACTCTAATGACACACTCGACTTTTTGCTTGCTGCTTTGATCCTTTTCACCCAAACTCTCAACGGCGGCCTCGCTAAGCTGTTCCTTTACCATATCCAGATCTTTGACAAGTTCTATAACCTCAATATCACTTTTAGCGGTGATTTCTGGTCTTGCTTTCTCAATAGCTGCCTGCAAACTTCCATCAGACAATCTCATAATTGGCCCTTGTCCGATGGGTATTGTTATGATCGTCTTCAACCCATTTCCAGTCCTTCTCGATCTCGCTGCCCGCAAAGTCCGTCCTCGTCGAGACTTTTGCTTCAAAGGAACAGCTGAATCAGCTTGCGGCATGTTGGAGCCATTCTTTCGAGCCATTGTTGGTTGGAGAATTCTGGGGATTCAAGTGAACTCAGACGTAGTTTCAATGTGGACGATAAGTTTGTCTTTGCATTTGCTCCTGGCGTGGTCGTTTGACCTGAGTCAGCTTTTTTTCTGCATGGTCGCATGACATGATATTCACGTGCGAAACACGTGCAAATTTTTCAACTATATTGAAACAGAAATTTGAGCCAACATCTCTTCTCGTTAGAAACAACAGTTGATCTCGTCGGTATTAACATGCCGCAAGTCTTGATCCCGTTGAAAGTATTAGCTTTTTTGATGCGGTAATCATCAAAAGCTAGTCCAGATCTGTGTACAACAGTTGAAAATCGGAACGACGGAGATGAGTGAATATCAGTACACGTGTGGCGCATCACTTCGTATAATAGGTATGGCATTATTGGGTATAATAACTTCTCGGGGAGTCTCTTCCCTCAACACCGTCAATAACTACCGATCGAATACCTAATCTTTATTTCGATTGTTCGACTTCCCGCGGTATTTTCTTGCATTGTGCTTCATCTTCATAAAAAGTAGCATTGGCTCATTGGTTCCGACTTGACTAAAAACGCTGTGTACTCAGTCCCAGCTTCCTATCCATGTATAGCTTCACTAACAGTCTCAGGTATTCCAAAGATTTCTCAAGTCAAGCCTGCAATATGTCCCAACCGCCGGACTCCAAAGAGCAGCCTCTTCGTCACTTCTTTGGCTATTCAAAGTCGCTTGTAGGTCCCGCAATCCCATTCAATATGCCAATTGAAGTGAATCCAATTCAGAGCGGCATAACTTTGGTTATTCTAGGATGGATGTAAGTAGTGCAATATCGATTTTGGCAAGTTCTAAAGGACTAATAAGTAATGGCCAGCGTTTCTGAGTTTGAGTTCATTCAAAAACTTATATACAACAATGCGGGCTTTACCATGTCAAGAGGTCTTGACTTGGGAGATGCTACGGAGAGAGTGAATGTGAAGAATGTCCCTTCCTAAATTATTGACTGCATTTTTAACATGCCTGGCCTCTTTTTTTTCCTCTTGCCAATGATCCGGATGCTCCATACGTCCCTGATCTTGACCGATCATCATTTCAAGATTTTCCTGGTCGTTATCATACAGTCGCTGATTATCACGAAAAGTATCCTTCTGAAAAACTTACCCCACTCACAGTATGTAAAGCTCTACTTCCACTCATCCGCAGAGATATTGCTACTCCATCCCATCATCTCTTTCATCGCAACAAACGTTGAATCCGTTCTTGCTGCTGCCGAGAAATCAGCAGCCATTTATGGGGCAGGCAAGTCACTTGGATTACTCGATGGTGTCTCAACAGCTATCAAAGACGCGTCACATATAGCTGGATATCGAACAACCAACGGAAGAGCTGCAAACGACGAGCTCTTTCCAATATCAGAAAACTCTGATTGGCCAATCCAAGAATTAGAAGGGTGTGGAGTGATTATCTTTGGTAAAACGAACATGTACGAATATGGCACTGATACTACAGGCCTGGATCCCTACTGGGGAACTTCTCGGAATCCACATAACAGAAATTGTTACACAGGAGGCTCTCCATCTGGTTCAGCTTAAGCTGTAGCAGCCGGATTGGTACCCTTCGCTTTTGGAGCTGATGCAGGAGGAAGCATTCGTATCCCTGCTGCTTTTTGCGGGATTTTTGGATTGAAACCTACGTATGGTCGCCTAGAAGATCCATCAAGTACCATTGTCGTCACTGGCCCTTTGGCATATTCCATGATGGATCTAGATGCCATGTATCGAGTTCTTGCACAACCGGATCCATCTAACTCAATTTGCTAATCCTTTGCGCCTCCAGGCAAAATTCTTACAGCGAGTTTGCAACCAAAGGTTATAGGCATTTATAAGCCGTGGTCTGAGCGGTCCGATGCTTCAGTTCTTGAAGTCTGCCAAAAAGCCATAGATTACTATGAGAACCAACTAGGTTATGAAGTGGTCGATATCGAACTCCCATACATACCCGAAGGGCAAAAGGGCCATGTATCCACCATCATGGCCGAACTAGCTATTCGTGCGCGTTCCGATCATCTTCCAGATCAAAAATCTACCTCAACTTCATGGCTTGCCGATCTCAATCCAGCCAAAAAAAAGGCTCTTGGAGTTAGCTCACAAATGACTGCTCATGACTATCTCCTCGCACAACGAATGCGTAATATCTTCATGCAAAATCTTGCGTTTCTGTTCAAGAAGTGTCCAGGATTACTTATTGTGACTCCAACGTGCCCTATGCCAGGATGAGATATTAAGTCTAAAAGAGATCTTAGATGTGGTTCTACCAATGGCAATCTTACCTTTCGTAGTGTGGATTATGTGTGGATTGCCAATCTGTGTGGAAATCCTGCGATTAGTGTTCCTGTTGAATACGTTGATCCTGTTGAGACGGCCGGTAAAGGGAAGGTTCCGATCGGTCTTATGGCAATGGGTGATTGGGGATTGGAAGATCAATTGTTGGGATGGGGTAGGGAAGCTGAGATCTATCTGAATCATGTTTATGAAGGTGGCAGAAAGAGACATAACGGTGAAGGCTGGGTTGATGTCTTTAATCTTGCTAGCAGCCAGATGGATACCATCTCGTAACTCTAGGATGTGAGCATTAGATATGAGGATATCTGTTTAGGTTTATGACTTTATTATAAATGATAGAGGGTAGAACCGGGAGTCTCGGAATTGGCCATCTAGCTTTCTCTTATCAAAGCTTAGTTAAACTTTATTTCCTGTGTCGAAAATGATCGTATGTTTACGAAGTAGTATTTCTTTACGATCAAGAATGGAGTACCTGACTAACGGGTACACTTACTCCATTAATATTAGCGTGACCTAACACTATCTCGTATCTGAGCAGCAAAGACCCCCTGTCCTCCAGATAAGCATGCATCAACTCCACTAATTCTAGAATCAGTAGCTGTCGACAAATCATCGTCGTCAGCCTGCCCACCCCTCATGATATCTTGATCTAGGATGAAGACGTCAAGAAGTATACAAATAGTCGCCATGTAGCTCGTAGAGTTAAATTTCATAATCTCTTCCCGCGCCTTTGCTCTCAATCTCTTGTCCTGTGGTATCTTGTATGATTATTCAATATGCGTCTTCTCAATCTCATCACGACTGTGTGTCTGAGTTCTGCTGCTGCGGCTTTGAGAACTTCAGATACCTCTTCTCAGCTCCGTAAAAGATCTCTAAATGGCACTCATGACAAACCAATCACACCAAAAGTATTCATTGTGGACATGGTAAGCAGGAGACGAAAGTTTGTGTATCAGCCCATTGACTTGGAATATAGTTTTCAGATGAAGGAGAAGCATGGTATGGAATCAAAGAATTTGATGTTCTGGCTAGAAACATCACTGTGCCTGGTATAAGTCCACTTTTCCCAGAGGTACATTGCACATTAGACGGAGAAATTTGTCAAGTTATAACTGGAGAAGGAGGTAAGAAATTGATATCCTGTTCGGCAAAGAATATTTTCCTCGAGTCTAGCTAAAAATTCCAGAAATTAATGCTGCCGTGACAATCAATTCTATTGCATATTCACCCCTGTTCGACTTGAGCCAGACCTACTTCCTCATTGCGGGTATTGCAGGTGTGTCTCCTAAGGTAGCCACTATTGGTGTAAGTATCAATGATGTTTTCGCTAAAGTTTTATGCTAATATAACTAAGGCTGTAACATTCTCCCGTTACGCTGTATCTGTAGCTCTTCAATACGAAATGGATGCCAGAGAAATTCCTTCTAATTGGACCACTGGATACTGGCCCCAAGGAGCTTATTCACCAACAGAAACAGTGGCTGAAATCTACGGAACTGAAGTTTTTGAAGTCAATGAACCACTACGACAGATCGCTATGGAATTTGCCCGAACGGCTGTCCTTAATGACACCGCCGATGCAATGAGCTACCGAGCTCTATACGGTGCCACAGAAGCATATGCTCTCGGCGCTCAACCACCTTCAGTTGTGGCTTGTGATACTGCAACCTCAGATGTCTACTTCACGGGAGAGCTACTCGGCGATGCTTTTGAAAATACTACTTCGCTGTGGACAAATGGGAGCGGTATTTACTGCACTACGCAACAAGAAGATAACGCCACTCTAGAAGCCCTTCTTCGAGCTGCCACTGACAGTCTTGTCGATTTCTCCCGTATCATTATCATGCGTACTGCATCTGACTTTGATCGTCCTCATGCCAATCAAACTATCCTGGATAATCTTTTCGAACAAAACCAGGGTTACGATCCATCTATCCAAAATATCTATTTGGCTGGTGTCAAGGTGATTGAGGGCATTTTGAATGGATGGAATAGCACATTTGCAGGGGGTATTGAAGCTACTAACTATGTGGGAGACATACTTGGTACGCTAGGTGGTGAACCAGATTTTGGACCAGGCTCAGTCTTTCCACAAAAGAAGATGAAGCAAAGGAGGAGTGCAAGGCGCCACTAAGCGCGACTTGGTAGGATTTTGCATGAACAAGTCATGAGAAGAAAATGTACTAGTAATATATGGAAGTAGTCAAGGAGGTTTAATGGATATAACAATAGTCTCTCTGACCTCTAGCAGCTCAATTTATTATTGCAAGCTGCTCCACTGGCGACAAGCCGTTCCAAGTCAGTCTGCACCGGTGACTGTAGACTAGCACCATAAGACACATGATCAACATCTAATGATCTGGTCCGAACTTCCTTAAAATTCAATTATGGGAGATTGCGAATCTCTGTCTTCGCCTGCATCAAAGTGCATCTAAGAAAGCCATTTTGCTCGTAAAGCTATTCAACCAGAATGACTTCCCGCCGAATAAACAGGTACTCTGAAATAGCAGGTGGCTCAAACGATCCCAAGGAAATTAACAGAAAGATAACTTTCAACACATGACCGTTGAAGTCACCTGTCAAGCATTACTTCTATACTGATAAACAAATCCTCTGAAAGAACCTTCTTTCGCCTCGAAGACAGAAGTGAATGCGCAGAATTTCCATGCGGTATCCATTATAACACAGATAGTTCCCCCGCCTTAAAACACAGCATACATCTCCCCCGTTCCATTTCCTGCAAAACAACTAGCCCGTCACACCTAAATATTCCCCACCCGTTCGTCCAAGTAATCATGATGTAACCTCGATAGCCATTCCATACATGTACTACCTCAGTATAAGCCGAGGCACTTGCACGACCATCATCACAGTATACAGTAGCAAACACCGCATCATTAAAACGAAACGCGATCACGATACACCACATGCATCACCGACGAACCACGAAGGATTTCCCCCAAAACTACCCAGGTAATCATGCATCAACGTTTTTGTATTCCCTCTCCTCCACAGAATCACAACAGGAAACTAATTACCTATTCCAGGAACGATGATAATATCCCGATATATTTTAGGGTTAACGGAATGATTCTTCGCATCCATTATTGATATCGACGGAGAAAACTTCCGTAACATATGTCTCTGCCCGCTTGATTGCATAATCTGGATTTTGATCAAATCTCAAAGTTGAGCTCACGAATATATTTCACTGCGTGATGTGAAACCGTATTTTGTGATACTCTGTACATAATCAATCGATTCTTCGAGCCGTTCGAGGGGTAGTTCCTTGCGTTGCCACAATCGAAAATCGTTGGCTTGATGTACAGTATCGGTATGCTGTGACGTGCGCAATGCGAAGGATTGCTTAGGATCAGTATTTCCCTTGTTCTTTTTGTAAAGAAGTTGTGCGGTATACAGATGGGAAGTCATTTGAGAAAATAGAACACTACCTTCCGAATATTGAAAAAAAAAAAATTTATCTGCCCGTTACGAGTTTATTCAAATCGAGTGTGTGTCTCATTCCACTACTCCAATTCTTGTAGTATAAAATGTGCTCGGCGTGCAGAATACATTAAGTCGGGTACCCTACTTTCAGGCCACCCCCCTTTTGGGCCACTTTTTATACCAAAAATGGAATTTTTAACTCTTTTATTTATAAATAGAATTTATTGAAAATTTGTATATATATAATTCAGATCGTTTTGAATTTAATCTGAAATTTTTAGATTTTTAGGATTTTTCTGTATTGAAATCTAGAGCTTCAAAATATCGATTTTTAAATTTGTATAGGAATCACATACAAATTTGAAACTTTTATAAAATCTTTAATAACTTTTTAATAAAAATTATTAAAAATAAACTATAAAATTTTTATATAAATTTATAATATATTTATTTCAAAGGATTCAGAAAATTTTTTTTTCCTATAAATAAGTATTTAAGAGAATACCCTCAAAATTATAAAGATTATTTATACTACTCTAAACTCATTATATACTATATCTCTATATCTATTAATTTTTTTTTAATTTTTTTTATTATTTCTATATAGATTTAAATTCAAAACTTTTAAAAAGATATATAGTTTTTCTTCTAATAATTGTTATTAAAAAGTTATTAAAGTTTTTATAAAAGTTTTAAATTTATATGTAATTCTTATACAAATTAAAAAATCAATATTGTAAAGTTTTAAATCTCAATATAGAAAATTCCTAAAAATTTCAAAATTTCAGAATAAGTTTAAAATAGCTTAAATTATATATAACGTAACGTATGGGGAACTCGGACATATGGGGAACTCGGACACTTTTAGCCCATCACCAACTTGAAACCGCAATAACTTTTATTATGCATACCCAATCACCTTCTACATCTGCTCAAATTGAAGAGAAGCTTCAAAAGGCTATAATTTCACTTCAATTGAAAGAATTTAAATCAATTAGAAAGGCTGCAGAGCATTTTGAAGTCCCTAAGTCTACCCTAGCTGATAGGCTGGCTGGGAAGAAAACACGTTCCCAAACCCACGAAATGGCTCAAATTCTTTCAAACGCAGAGGAAAATACTCTTGTACGATGGATTTCACAACTTACCATCACTGGATTCCCTGCTACACCTATGTTGGTGAAGGAAATGGCCGACGAAATTCGTCTTCGACGCGTTCGGGTCGCGTCATCTCGAAATCCTACCTCGACAGAAATTCCACCTATAGGCCACGAATGGATCTATAGATTCCAAAAACGACATCCAGAACTTAAAACATGCTATTCACGTCAATTAGAGTCTAATCGGGCTAAAGAAGCAACTCCGGAGAATATTCAGGCTTGGTTTGACGCGTTTCGCACGCGTCTCATTGAGCGAAAGTATGAATTAGATGATATGTATAATATGGATGAAACCGGATTTGGAGTTGGAAGTACTCAAAGTACGCGCATTATAGTCGATTCTACTCAGAAATCGAATTGGAAAGTTACAGCTGGCAAGCAAGAATGGATAACTGCATTTGAATGTGTCAATGCAGCTGGAAATGCTCTATCACCTATGGTCATTTTCAAGGCTCAGAATACGAATTCTGCATGGATTCCAAAGGACACACCTCAAAGCTGGCAGTTCTCTACTAGTACAAATGGATGGACCTCAAATAGCCATGGATTAGAATGGTTAAAAAGGGTTTTCGAACCAGAATCCAAGAAAGTGTCAGGTGACCGACCTCGACTTTTGATCATGGATGGCCATTCAAGCCATATTACAGGTAGCTTATTGCTTTCTGTATAGATAATGATATTGATTTACTTATATTACCTCCTCATTGCTCTCACTTGCTTCAGCCACTTGATATTGCGGTGTATGGGCCAATGAAACGATATCATGCTTTAGAGGTCGATCGATATTCTCGAGCTGGTGTAAAGCGAATCCAAAGAGCTGAATGGGTAGAACTCTTTCAAAATATTAGAAAAAAAGCATTGAATTCTTCTAATATTAAAGCTGGCTGGAGAGGAGCTGGTTTAGTACCTTTTGCCCCACGAAAAGTACTCGATTCATTACCATTTAACTCCTCCCAGCAACCTTCTACTCCACAAATGAGAACCCCCAATCAAGACCTAGACTTGTCTATACTCAGGAGTTCTCCTCCAGATGGAACAGAACTAAGGCAAGCAAATCAGATCTTTAATACAGCTCTAGCAAGCAGTGGTTCTCCTGCATCGCCAACTCGTCGATATGCCAAGAGAATGACTGGGCTTGTAGAATCTCAAAATGCTGAGATAGCCCTACTTCGGAAACAGCTCTCTGATGCTCAGGAGGTAATTGAGACTCGAAAGAAAAGAACTAAAGGCAAAAGAGTCAAATTACAAGGTCAATTTGTCTTTAGTACTAAGGAAGTATTGAAAATGGTACGTGAGGCGGAGGAAAAACCGAAGGAGAAAAAGCCACGAGGACGGCCACGCAAACGCCCAATTGAAGAATCAGAAGAAGAGATTGAAGAAGAAGAGCTAGAGAATAGTTCAAGTGATTCGGAATTGGAATTGGAGGATTGTGTGGCTCGTAGAACAAGATCGCGTGTAGAATAATTGAAAAAGTGTCCGAGTTCCCCATATGTCCGAGTTCCCCATACGTTACGTTATTCAAATTTTTATTAAATTAGATTATATATTGATAGAGATATTAATAAACTAAAAAAGTGATTTTTGATGTAAAAAAGTGGTTCAAAATAGAGGTGGCCTGAAAGTAAAATGGACGACTTAGTAAGCTATTTTGAAACCGATTGATTGAATGAACAAGCGATAAGGATTCAGGAACAGCTTTGGTATCTGCATTAGGGTCTGGGGGCTTTCGGGGGCGAACATATTGTGATACTTGAGAGAACGCGTGGGAACAGGGAAATATTCCGGGTCGTGGCCCGGAGTATGTACCGATGATACAAGATGTACAAGTTGAAGAATGATTGTGATAAGGAATATATTTAGATATTTTCTGATACTTTGTCCTTGCCATCGATAATTTGTTTTCATGTCAATGTAATGCTGTCCACAATCTATATCTATATCTATGATGACGAAGAAAAAGATGATGATAATATGAATTCGTGCAGAATATATGATATGTCTATATTACAGAAACGACATAGTGTACAAATGCTATCGTAACTCAACAGCCACAGCAGCAGGAATTATACATGTCTTCGAAAATCCAGAAATGGCATCTAGCCATGATTTCAATTCTTCTCTAGGACCAAATTCTGCCACAAGTCGAGAGGGCTCATCCATAATTGCCTGAGCAATTTCGGTAGTATTATTTAAAGCGTCTTGGATAATTGCGCAGCGAGTTTGGGAAAACATTCCATTCACTAGTTCGGAAAAGACCTTAATTGACTCAGGGATTCCAAAATGTAAGAGGAGTGCGATAATAGGGAAGATAGCGAAGAAGCCTAGAATTTTGCGTGTAGAACATTTCCGTGGCAATGTGGATACCATATGTGCTAGAACAAGAAGCGCACAGAGACAGGATAGCACAGCTAAAGCTGAAGAAGGAAGGAAGTGTATGTATATGGTTGAGAGTCCAAAGGTAGACACGAGAGTGAAGGTACAAGCATGGCCTCCATTGCACTGTGATAGACATTAGTAATGAAGACGATTGTTATGAAGAAAGAATGTATGCTGGATGTAGTACAATACTTACAAGGATTATGACAGCAGCCCATAAAAGTGCCTTGAAGATACTGTAAATCGAGAGACTAAGAATCCCGGGACTTTGTTGCTGTGAAACCAGGAGGATAACAGTTAGGAAGCAAACTACCCAGCAGCATGTTCCTTCCAGGTCTAAAAACAGTTGATGCACGGAAGATACCTCATCACGGTCACTAGAGGACGAGCTTAGACGTGAATAGATGGTCGTTTGGCAGATGAGAAATATGAGACCCAGACCGATAGTGATAGGGTTATATGCCGAGGGGAGAAAGAGAACACTAGTTGAAATGGCTACAAGAATATAAAATATTAAATTGCAGCCATAATTGGTTGAATATTCTAATTCCTCGGATTTGGAGTTGCTAGGAAGGACATGATGGTCGGCATCATTATTTTGAGTGACAAAGTAGAGTGCTGGAGTAAGGAATGGCTGCAGGAAGTTTTAGAGGTTGAGTAATAGGTCGAAGGACAATGGGGGACAAACCAGTACCCAATTCACTTCAACAAGTGATGCACAGACACTAGATGTAACGATAAAGAAGGCAAGACTTGTTGGTTCTTCCTCGACGCCACCTCCTTGGGCATAAGGTGTTTTCTTTCGGGAAATGAACGAATAGACTTTGATACCAGCCCAAAGCACACACCAACATAGCCACTCAGAAAAGAGATTCAAAACTTGTGGGGTATCATCGAAAGCAAATGGATCATGAGACATTCTAGAAGGATAAAAGGAAGAACTGATTGAGGCTGGGATATAAGGATTGTGGAGAAATGAATAAAACAAGGGTATTGAGCGAGGCAACCCAAAAAGAGAATATCTATGTAGAAACAGCCAGTACCATACTAACAAAGCGACTGAACCACCAGAGTACAACTCTAATTTTCCAAGGAGGCATGCTGTGGTTTTATGAGGACATGCCAAGAATAGTGACAGCCTCTCCGCAGACCCCTCGTTGAATGGGAGTCGAAGGATTTACGCGCTTGAGGGCTTAGGAAGTGTATGTTTCTATAATTGGATGGTAAGCTTGCTACAAAACCAGTCTTTCTGAGTAAAAACCAAACGACGAAGGAGATGAAGGGGGCGAGGGGGATAACATATAATGTCAAACTGCTCTAAGTCTTGAGGCTACGATAATCCTACAGTAATTTCTTGAACTTGAAGTTACTTGGCGATGACCAACGAACAAACCAACAAACATGTTAGAATATCCTAGGATTCAAGGATACAATCAAAGCAAAGATACGAGTATGAAAGAAACAATACGAGGAGAAACGGAAAGAACAACAGGATTTATGCAGCTCTGTTGGTATCTCGTTGGTGTCATTGGTGTATTGGCTAGATATTTCTCCAGTAAACAGCCCTCGATCAAAGCAAATCCGATACTTATCTAGGTAGTATATGAAGACATCAAAGACCTACCTAGGTATCTGGTTGGCAGGTAGATACTTAAGTACGATGTAAGATTACATCGAGGGTGCCTACTAGTTGAGAGTCACGATTGGAAGAAGATGCTGGGGGCTTGGCAAATTGATTTGGTTACATCACGTGAACATATTTTGAGGCCAGCGGCAGGCCAATTATGTTTCGTTTTAGATCATTCCTCTTTACAATTCACACACACACCGCACCCAACAAACGGAAGAGTCGAGAAGGCTTGTTGATTTTCGCATACTCTTTCCTTACCGATATGTGTGTTCTAGCACAGTAACATCAAATTATTCAAGCCCCCATCCTAGACTGACTTCTACCAGCCACTACAATGAGAAACCAACATCTAGTGTCGTTGGTATCATTCGATCTTCGACAAATCCGTTGAGCTTTGCAGTGAAAACCGATGATGTTGCAAAATCCATTCATTGTAGGAGTGGGGGAGACCGATCAATTAATATGAGCTGTAGGAATTGTCCATCTCATCCACGGTGCCTTCTCACAAAGCCTCGACCCCAAAATCTCCTTCATAAACCTCCCCGTCTTTCACCTGTTGAGCCTTCGTGGGCCCTTCGTGGGAATCAATTGATGTTCTTATCTCACACATGGTAAATGAGTAGGAGACGAAGGAAGTGGCGTGATCCCACGACGTTTCAAGGGTTCAAACTGGTACAAATCGGTACACATTGGAATCATTATCAAATCTTCCACGCATTTGAGTAACGAATGCTATGCTTGCACGTAGTACTACATGTTTTTTGTGTCTTGCATTATGATAGGGATTCGAAGTCGAAATACCAACAAATCATCATGTACATGTACAATGTATAGTTCATTGTTGGCAGTGTAAAAAAAAACAATTGAAATCTACTTTGGTGTTGCTATGCAAGCTGAGGTATACGATGGCCCCCTGCAGTGCAGTCATCCTTTAGCTGCGCCTTACCTCAAGGTGAGATTCTTACTTTAATTGGTAGCTTCCATTGACACGAAAGTCTTACATACCGCAATAATTCTAGAAATTCAATGTCACACTGTCAAGGGATTAAACCTGTGTTTGAGGACTGAATGTAATCTCGACGTTATCAAGTCAAGGTAACCTAAGCTTGACACAGAGGCTTGTGTATTTCCCAGCTTCACGGGAAGGCTGAGTGCCAATCGCTAGAAAAATGCTGGAAAACTCTATCAGTCTCGATTATCACACATATAGGACTGACAGAATCCTTCGTGATGGCTTGTTCTGCAAAATTGCTTTCAGTCATATTCATCTCGTGAATCCTGCTTTCTAATCTTTGAATCGGCCGTCATCACCTCCCTGTGGCCACAGCTTCTTCCTAATATCTCACCCTCTAAAATTTTGATGAATATACAACTCTGAGCACTTAAAGATGGCGAGTTCCTTACGACTTTCGAGGCGACAACAATGTCCTAGCTCATTATTCTCTTTCTGGGATGGACAATTGACTGGCTCGATGTCTGCGATATTGGTTATTTTGCTATGCTTGGTGCAGCCATCGTGGCAACAGAAAGATCCTCTGAACGATTTTTGTAGGAGATGGGGACATCAAACGACTGTCATTGATCGACAATTATTTATCGATGGTGGAATGCTCGATTGGAATCCATTGTCGCAGAATCCAGCTAATTACTCTAGTAAGTTATTATCAGCAAAAAGACATTTTGGCTCATGAATTACATATCTGATGGTACGATAGACTCTTGGCTTTTATATAATGATCTCGACACAAGTCCTGCGGGGTCAGGAATGCCTCAGTTACACGCCAATCTTTCGAAGAATGCATCGATACCGAATGTGAGTGGAGGTGTACTTTGGGGGGATGCGGTCAACAAGAGATTCTATCTTTTTGGCGGCGACAACTTCGGCAGTTCACCAAGTTTACCCAATCTTTATTCATACGACCTGCTGTATAATCAATGGGAAAGTTTTGGTTCGCCTAACGGTGTTACGAGCGTTTCGTATGGCATGGGAGTTGGTATCTCCGAGCTAGGGCAAGGTTATATACTTGGTGGATGGCAAAGCAATGCTTCAATTCCGGGATGGACTGGACCGCCTCTCGCGACAAGCGGCTTGATCAAGTATGATTATCAGAGTGGAACATGGACAAACAATACTGGGCCAGATCAGATTGGAAGAGCAGAGGGTGCCATGGTGTATCTACCGGCGAGCCGCACTGGGGTTCTTGTCTATTTTGGAGGTATACAAACGCCATACAACAACGAAACAGTAGTATCATTACCGATGAACCAGATTCATATTTACGACATCCAAAGCTCTATATGGTACACTCAAAACGCAACTGGAGATATTCCTGGAGACAGGAGGAGGTTTTGCGCAGGTGCTACTTGGGCGCCTGACCAGTCATCATACAACATGTAAGTATTATATCGCGACGGTTTTTATGGTAATTTACTGATATTTTAAGCTATATCTATGGAGGTGCAGGCTTTGGAGCGAATTCTTCAGGATACGATGATCTCTATATCCTCAGTCTTCCTTCCTTCACATGGATCAAGTGGTGGGAAAACGCTCCAAGTTCTGCGAGACCACATAATATGTTGAGCTGTAACGTGGTCAATGGAGCTCAGATGCTTATCGTGGGTGGATCGTTTCCAAAAGATCAATCTATTTGCGATAGTCCACCTTCTTGGGGAACGCATAATGTCAATCTCAACGAACCAGCCCCAGGTCAGGCTTCATTCAATCCATGGAACACCTATCAACCGGATCTTACCTCATACGCCGTACCTTCAGCTATAATTTCTGTTGTTGGTGGATCGTACGTATTGATAGTCCGAAAGCTGAGATAAAATGCTGACAATGACATAGTCCTACAGGTGGCGCAACCATGCAAGCTCCTGCAAGTGGTTTTCGAAACGGCGATCTGAATGTATACTTTTCGCAAAAGGCATCTGCCGTGAATCGAACACCCACTAGAGCAATTACTACTGCAACTGCTTCTTCAACGTCCAACCCTTCTTCCAAAAGCAAGTTGGCCCCTAGTGCAATTGCTGGAATTGTTGTAGGAGTAGTCATTATAATTATTAGCCTTTTCGCTGCATGCCTCTGCATTTTTCGTATCCGTAAAAGTCGCGCTCACGTACCAGATGTCTCTGCGCCAGTTGTACCTGCATATAACTCTGGGAACACAACCAAAATGTACCCACAACGACCTGATCGTAGTTACGATCCTCGAAATCCTCACATTGCGCAACAACGAAGTACTTCAGCATACCAAGTACTTCCTTCACATGCTCCTGATGCAGTAGAGCTATCCGGGACCAACTCGAGTTTAGGAAACTATACAACAGTTAATGCCGATGGTCATTCGGTACATAATCCAAATCCAGATGGTGTACCCCCATACACAAATACCTGGCACCACCCTAATTCACCCCCTCAGGATCGGAAGAGTTTTAGTCATACATCTCAACATAATCAATTTTCACCAGTGCCAACGGAATTGGACGGCGAAAGCGCTATATTTTCTGCATCTCCCACGCCAACATATTCAGCATTAGGAAGAATGACCTCGAAAAAGATAACCCCAATACACGAGACGTATTATTCTTCTTGACGATATATAATCTTGCTTTCTTCCGTCTCAGCTTTACATCACCCTTCTTTAGCGAGCGTGTGATATGTCTGTATATATACATGAGTTTTGGCGTTTTCAAACGAGGATTTGTTGAGGGGGTATATTATTTATTACTTATTATTACGAACGCCCAAGTTAACGTTCGTCTATTTTCTGGATGTTACATATCGATTTGCCAATTCAGTTGGATGGATTTAGTTGGAATAAAGCTACGATATTTTGGAGATTTAATTGTGTTCCTGCTCTGTGCTCCTGTTCTCTAAGCCACATCGCAAATTGACTCCCCAAAGTTGGGATAGTCATTTATCTTCATGATTTCGCCTTACTATAACATAACTTTGATCAGCGCTTAGAAATTTTTTCTTTCGATCTAGATCTAGATCTCAAGGATTCTGCGCTTGAGTTGAGGCCGACCCCCCACGTTTGGCACTTGTGTGATTTTCAAAGAAGTAAATATCATCCTGATCCAATGCCACGATAAAGGTTTTGAAGATTCAACCTCGCCGTTGAATGACATGTTTTTCGATGAAATATGATGATGTTGGGCGTTCTGTTTATGCGCGAGATGAAATCCTGTGTTGCACTGTTGCAATGTACGGCCAATTTCTGATGTACGTAGGTATTACTTGGTATACAATATGTAGTACTAATGGAGACTGTCCTCCTTTCAAAATGCTCCTCAATTTGCAACTCCGTTCTCTGATTTCCTAGGAGTGAGGAACTTAGAAGCTTGCGCCAAAATTACATTTCTGACCATCTATTACCTTGTTTGTGCGTAGCTTCAGCTTCGCAGAACCCATTTTCATACCAGTTTATCGCGAAATTATTTTACAATGTCTTACACAATCATTGTTCTCTGCATCGTAGCTCTCGAAATCCTCCGAAGAATCTGCATTTCAGTTTATACTGCATTTTTCACCCCGCTTTCTAAAGTCCCCGGTCCCTTGCGCCTCAAATTATGCGGAAGTATATGGTTATATCATACCCTGCGGGGAGAAACGATGAACATCGCCCCGAAGCTTTTCAAGAAATATGGTGATGTTGTGAGGATTGGTAAACCTTCCTTCCCAAAGTTCCTATAGCGTTGGTCTCAATAACGAATAGGTCCAAACGAGATAATGGTCTCATCCAAATCCGCCATTCAGAAAATCGTAGTCGATGACGATTTCAGGAAAAGTCCGCTCTATACTCTAACTCAGGAAGATCCGCATGTGAGCAATTTATTCACAGAGACGAATACTAGGGTTTATAAACAGAAGGTGTGTATCCTCATCCCCCCATTTCATATCTTAATTCCATCCAGGATCTATAGTATAGAAGCTAAAGACATACATCAGAGGAGACCTTTATCCGCCGGATTTTCCATCTCTTTCTTAAACGCAATGGAACCACTCATGCAATCGTGTGTTGACTTCATGGTTGAGGTATTAGAATCGAGATGTATTACGGATATTGCAAGTGAAGATGGGAGGGCTGTAGTTGACATGTCTTCTATGCTTGGGAATCTCACAATGGACGTAATGTCTGCTACTCTCTTTGGCGGATCCTTCGGTCTCGTCATCAATGAAGATCCACATATGAAGAACTTATTCCTTGATCGTCTACGTAGGGTATACATTGATGTTGTCCTACCATTCGTCAAATACATCCCGTTCATACCAAGTCCTGTGAAGGAAATGGATCGCATGATTGATGGAATTATCAAAACGAGACGGGAAGAAATGAGAAAAGATAGAAAAGTGGAGGAAGGAGAGAAGTCAAAAGAGAAGAAGGATTTGTTACAAATCTTCTTGGATGCGAATGAGAGTGATCCGAAGGGATTTACCGACAAACATCTAATGGAGGAAATGAGGTTATTCATGTATGCCCCCTTTCATTCCACAGACAGAAACATCTAACCACCTCACAGGATCGCCGGCAGCGACACAACAGGCACAACTTGCACCTTTACACTTCTTCTTCTCCTTAACAATCCCTCTAAACTACAACTTCTTACACAAGAGATACTCTCTGTGATCCCATCCAAAAACGATACCATCACTTTTGCAAATACGCAAGAATTGCCATATCTAAATGCTGCGATCAATGAGAGTATGAGACTCATGCCGATGGTTGTTTCGGGGTTGCCTCGATATACTAGTGAGACGAATTGGATTGATGGGTTTGAGATTCCTGCGAACGTATGTCTTTAATCCCTTTCCTTCCCTCTGTTTCCTCAAACATCTTCAGTACCCCCAGAACTTAGTCATAACAGTGAAAGATAAAATGAGGAATCAATAATTCTAACATAAAAAACCCAACAAGGTAACAACCTACGCCTTCCCCAACATCCTTCAAATCGACCCTCGCATCTGGCCCGACGCCAATTCCTATATTCCCGAGCGCTGGCTCGCCAATTACAAAGATGTACCCGTGGATAAAAAAGCCTTCCTGCCGTTCTCAGGCGGAGTAAGAAATTGTATTGGACAGCAGTGAGTTTTCCTTTCTCTATCATCCCACCTTGGGATTCCTATCAATCAGTGCAAAGAAATACTAACAGAAAACCTTCTAATCTAATAGATTCGCACTCCGCGAAATCCGCCTCATTCTCGCGACGGTGATTCGAAGATTCGAAGTTGATTTGATACCAGGGCAAAGTCATGAATTGAGGGTTCATGCGGTGCCGTATTTTAGGGAGGGGAGGTATTTGATGGGGGTGAGGGTTAGGAGGGAGTAGATGGGTAGATGGTGGGAGATGGGCTGGACTGGGATGGGATGGGATGGTTGTTGTGGGGTTTTGTGGATTTGGATGGTTGGGTGGAGTTCTGGGGTTTGAGTAATGTTAGGCAGTGTGACGGATTACAAATTGGATTTGTATTTTGGTGGAGAGGGTACTGGGAGGCAGGTGGTTGGAGTTATTAGTTTACTTCATTGATGAATACTAGATTGCTTGTACAAATTCGTTGATTAAGAATCTATCGTGGCAAGGGATATTGACTAAATTTCACCACGAGAGATGTGGGTGTGGTGTTGTTAACACTAACCCATGCCTACAGCCGCTAGCTAACTGGCTAGCTCGAGGCTCGCCAGATCATCAATCGGTAGGTAGTCGAGCACTGCCAAACGCAACCTGCAATAATCAAATCTGCCGCGAAGATTTGAGATTCAAGAACACAAAGGAAGATTGAGAAATTGTTTGTTTGTTGGCTGTCATATAAGTCAGACATCCTCTGCTATTCTCGGCCCGACATCAAGTCTTGGTTGGCATTCTAACTAGAGATAAGACACGGACCGGTCCATAACCCTAGAAGCTTAAATGCACCTAGTATATCAAGACTGCGATCGACAAAGCTTATATCCCTTATATGTATGTCGCCAATCGACGATCCTTAAGCAGGGCTGAGATCTACCGGAATTGTCTGGTAGAGATACAGTTTCGATGGGTGATCTTCATTCTATGGCGGTGAGAATGTACGTGTATGATATTGTATTCATCCTGTCTCGAGCCTATGTGCTGGAATCGGGAATCTCATGGTTTTACGGCTGGAGCAGGATGGACTCGAAAGTAGTATGTGTAGAACGCATAGCGTCTGCGTACTGGAATGAAATTTGAAACTTATTGTGTAGACGAGGTAACCCAATTGGGATGGGAGATCAAGGGCTATGTTTATGAGACTTGGCTTGATTGAGACTATATGTTGACGTGAGTATGTATTCGACGATATCCCGAGGATTTTAGCTAGAGCTTTATACAAAAAGTGTGGTTTCTGTTCAATTCACCATTCTCTCGATTCGAGTCTAAAGTTATACATATCGGTTTCCCATTATTACAATCATCCTCCACAAAATGGCTTACTACGATGAAAAAATCCCATACGAAGACAACCTACATACTACTCAAAACCAGCATGGAAATTCATTTTCCAGCTACAATACCACCTCCACAATAGTCTCTGACAACGAGATTCCTTTTCAAGCACAAGAATCCAGTCATCAAGGTCCACCACCCGATTACTCACATCCACAACTTCCCCGACCAATTGCAGTACCACAAATCGTAGCTGGAATCGGAAAGCCATTTGCTCGAATCTACGCACCCGCCCTCTCTGACTACAACCTCACCTCTCAAGAATTTGTAGACTTTATCGATAATCTAAATATCGTCGCTAGCGAAAACCCGCCTGTACAAATTACCGATCTAGTAGGTGATGCACTCAACACGATATCCTACCACTGGGCCCAACTCACCGAAAGCGGTGTGCAAATCCCCACACATCTAGGGAGCGCAGCCGTAACCAAGAGTAGAACAGATACTTACATGCAGAATGCCAATACGAAGTTATTTGCTCCGCGAGGACTGAAGGCTTCGATTGCTACTATGGAGGCTATGGCTGCTGTGTTACAGTTACCGCCTGATACGTTGAGATTGGTTGCAGTAACTGATGAGGATACGTCTGCTGCAGTTTTGGAAAGAAGGATGAGTGCAGTAAGACCATATGTAATGGAAACAACATTTGATGTTCCCCCCGCTACACAAACGAATGAAATAGCGCAGATGAGCGCGGCGCAAGTAGAGAGACAGATCTTTCGGAATGAGTATCGAGCTCGGAGGGAAGGGGATAAGATGACCGCGAAAAGCGACAAGCGTGAAAATAAAGCACAGAGAAAGATTGAGAAGGTAGAGAGGGAAATGAGAAGGTTGGATTTGGGAATCGAGAGATCGCAGAGAGAATTGGGGGATTTGAGAGCCAGAGAACCGGATAAGAAAGCGGATAAGACGGAGCGGAAATTGGGCAAGGAGAGGAGGAAGTTGGAAGATGCGAGGGGGAAGTTAGGGTATACGAGAGGTGAGACGGATGAGAGTGTGAGTGATGGAGGGAGAGAAGGTAGGAGAGAAAGTGAGGATAGTAGGTTGAAAGATAGAAAGGCTTATAAGGAGGTGAGACGATCCATGAAGATCTTGTGGATTCTGGTTGAGAACCTATGAGAGCCTTCTTAAGTTGAAGGAGATTCTTTTGTATATAAAGCTGCTAGCTTTGGGAGAGCTCATGTTCGATTCTCATTGTCAAGCCTATTAACGAGCTGACAGTTGTCGCTATAAGGATTGCAATGTATTGATAGACTTAATGTTCTCTCAGACCACCTCAGATGTTAAATGAGTTAAATGGTTGAATAGAAGACTTTTTATTATTGAAAGCAATCCATTGAGCATTAGAGACCATTCGAATGTTCTGGTTGTCGAGGTTATGTTGAGAACTTTAAAGTCTTTTTATAATTAACCTTGACTTTAGATTATAGTCCAGGCTATTGGAAACTCTAAAACCCTTGATAACTTGATAAGTAAGCATAAATCGATTAATATCAATACAATCAACAACCTAAAACCTAACCCGCTATTCTCCTGATTACCTAGTTGGTGCAATAAAAATATTGTCTGAATTAACATTTGCTTCTTTCAAATACTGGGAGCTGATTATACTACAGGTGAGGTGATACATACTAGAGCTAGTGATCGGAACTCGGTGTGAAATACTCTAACCAATCAACAAGCTCTTCGTCGCGTCTCCTGAATTGTTGTACAACTCCGTCTCTCATTTCATGTTAACCAGAGAAATTATTTTGAGAGAATAGCAATTGAAGTATCCTATGCAGCAATCTTCAAAATGGCGCCCAACGCAACAGCTCTGCCTCTTCCTTTTCACCCTTATTATCCTTTAGATCTCGAGATTCCTCATTACCTTGCCAATCAATGGGATACATTAACATTGGTCTCAATCTTTGCGGCAGGATGCACTGCCATTTTCTCCAGTACTTATCTGCTGGTGATGAGAGTCAGACCACGGATCTCAACAGCTGATTTATTGACTGTTCTCTGGTTTGTTTTATGTATATCGACTTATAAGCTGCCCACCTGCCATGAAATACAGCTAACCCAAGTTCCCAGGTGGTTGCATTCACCTCTTCTTCGAAGGATACTATGCCTACAACTTTCGACGTATGCCACTGATGCAAGACCTCTTCGGCCAACTCTGGAAAGAATATTCACTATCTGATTCGCGATACCAAACACAAGATGCGTTCGTTCTCTGCATGGAAACCATTACTGCAGTCTGCTGGGGCCCTTCATCATTTATCCTCGCGGCCATGATTGCAACGGATCATTCGCTCCGATACCCTTTGCAGGCAATCATATCGTTGGGTCAATTGTATGGAGACGTATTGTATTATGCGACGTGTTTATTCGATTTCTATATATTGGGGTTGGAGTATTCGAGACCAGAACCTGCGATTTTCTGGGGATATTTTGTTTTTATGAATTCTTTTTGGATTGTGATACCTTGTGGTAAGTTTTCGACCGGCGAGTGATATGGTAAAGAGTGACGTCTGACTGCTTGTAGTACTTCTGCTCAATAGTGTAAAGGTAACCGGTAGAGCATTCTCGGCGTTGAAGAAGATGGAAAAGACATTGAAGAGCAAAGCAAACGGCAATGGTTCTTTGAAGAAGATGATATAATCGGAAGCATATAACCGAGGCGATTTACCTCGACATATAATATAATGATTACAGGATCACTTGTTGATATAATAGTTGGATTACTCGACTGTTAGATCACTCAACTATTAGATCACTCAACTGTTGGTCCAATGGATTGCATGATTTGCTTTTCTCAACCTTCTGTATGTATTCACTTCGCAATGCAATCAACCGGGAACCCCACCATGGACGGGATTACAAATACAACTCCTTCCATTTCGGGAAGAACAATCTAATATCTAATATCACAATATAAAAACTCCAGAACTCCCTCAATTTTCTTTCCTTTCTTGATATTTTCCATCCTTGACTCCGTATTTCCTTTCCAATCGACCCGATCGCAATTGAAAATGTCTCCCTACAAAACTCCCGCCCAGAATCCCCCAGCGGGAACTGCATTATCCAAAGATCCGCCCACCCTATTTTCTCCACTCACCATCCGCGATGTCACGTTTCAGAACCGCATCTGGGTAGCGCCTATGTGCATGTACAGCGCAAACGACGGACACCTTACCGATTTCCATCTGGTACATTTGGGCGCCTTTGCTTATCGTGGAGCCTCTCTCACCATTATTGAAGCTACTGCTGTTCGCCCCGAGGGTCGTATTTCTCCCGGTGACGCAGGCTTGTGGGATGATGCACAGATAGAGGGATTTAAACAGGTGGCAGATTTTGCTCATGGTCAAGGACAGAAAATCGGAATTCAATTGGCTCATGCGGGGAGAAAGGCGAGTACGTTGCCTCCTTGGATGTGTCCGAGAGGGAAGAGTGCTGTTGCGGAAGAAAAGGATGGAGGATGGCCTAAGAATGTGAAGGGAATGAGTGCGTTGAAGTGGGGTGAAGGATATGTGGAGCCTAATGAAATGTCACTTGAGGATATTCAAGATGTCATTGACGGATTCCGTGATGCGGCTAAGAGAGCTGTGGTAGCCGGAATTGATGTGATTGAAATTCATGGTGCTCATGGATACTTGTTACATTCCTCTTTGAGTCCATTTACAAACAAACGAACCGATCAATATGGAGGAAGTTGGGAGAACAGGACTAGATTGCTGATTGAGACGATCAAGGCTGTGAGAAGTGTCATTCCAGAGGGAATGCCTTTGTTGCTCAGAATCAGTGCTACAGAGTGGTCGGAAGATGTTGAGAGCTGGGATGTTCCAGATACTATTAAATTGGCAAAGTTGCTTCCAGCACTTGGTGTTGATTTACTCGATGTTAGTTCGGCGGGTAATTCACCCACTCAAAAGATCGGAATGCATACCAATTACCAGATTTCTATTGCTGGGGAGATCCGTGCAGCGTTGTTTAAAGAAGGGATCAAAGATTTGAAGATTGGTTGTGTGGGTATGATCACAGAAGCTGAAGCCGCAAAATCTCATTTGGAAGATGAACCTACTACATATCCAAATGCGGGAGAAACAGTAGATGTTAAAGATGAACAGGGAAAGATCGCAAAGGCCGATATCGTCTTGGTTGCTAGACAGTTTATGAGAGAACCTGAGTGGGTTTTTAGAGTCGCTTCTAGATTAGGCGTTGAGGTTCAATGGCCTGTTCAGTACTTGAGAGCAGGTTTTTTGAAGGGCTCTGTTATTTAATGCAGGATAGATGGGTGGTGCTTATAGATATAAAGTCCGATGATATATATAGATTGCTCTTATAGAAATTCTATCTTAGTCTATACAAAGTCTATAGTCTATGGATATAAGATCTTTTTTCTCCTGCCCATGTTTACACTTCAAAGTTGATAGTCAATATCGAATCTCTCTAGTCTCAATACTAATTCCGCTGTGTCGTCGACAGTGTGTCCAATAGTCTGGACTATTAGACACCCCGATTCCACAGCTCACAGCCCCATCATCTTCTCCACCTTAAACCACACAATTAATCTTCTCCCCCTTCAAATACCCCTCAAAAATCTCCGCAATAGCCTTAACACACTTCTCTTGACTATCCCTCCCAAACCAAGCCACATGAGGACTAACAATCAAATTCCTCACTCTCTCTTCTCCCTCCTTTCTAACCAACGGACTCCCACCCTTCTCCGCCGGTTCCCTCTCAAAAACATCCGTCGCCGCTCCCAAAATCTCCCCACTATCCAACGCTCTCGCTAAATCCGCTTCATTAACTACTCCACCGCGCGCTACATTAATGAGAATCGCATCGCGACGCATCAACGATAGTTCAGGTGAGGAAATGAGATTTTGGGTTGAGGGGGAGAGGGGACAGGAGAGAATTATGGTGGTGCATTGAGTGAGGATGGTGGAGAAAGCAGTGCGGCCGACGCGGGCTTGGGATTGCGGGAGGGATTTGCGCTCCGAGATGAGGACTTTCATGCCGAGGGCGGTGCAGAGGTTGGAGATTGCGAGGCCTGGGGTTGGGTTAGTTTTTTTTCTCTCTTTCTCTTCTTTCATCTATATAATCTTCAACGGTACGGGATTCCTAGTCCAGAAGTCAAGGTGTCCGCAATGAAGCGATAGGAGAAGTCCTCAAATCCACGAGTCCCCCCAAAATTTCCCCAGAAACAAAAAGAATAAAATAAACCAATAACCAAAAAAAAAAAAAAAAAAAAACCACCCACCAATCTTCCCACCCCCCACAATCCCCACCACCTCCCTCTTACAACTCCTCGCGCCACCCCCCTCCCAAGTATTCATACCCAGAATCCCCGTTCCCACCCTCCCCCATTCCTCCCCCCTCATCGTCCACTCATGCAAACTCACCACATCCCTCTTGACCGCAAAATAAAGCGCCATCGCGTGTTCCGCTACCGTCTCCGTATTCGTGTCGGGCATGTTGGAGACTTGGATATTGTTTTCTGCGCAGTAGGCCAGATCGACGTGGTTGGTGCCGACGGAGGTGATGATTATGAGTTTTAGCTGGGAGGGGGGGAGGAGGGAGAGAGTGGTGCGGGTGAGGGGGCAGAGGGAGGTGAGGAGGATGGTTGCGGGGAGAATGCGGGGGGCGATGAGGGGAAGGGGCGTGTGCGGGTAGGGGGTGTAGGTGTGTGGGGAGGGGAAGAAGTCAAGGGGGAGGGGGTGGTAGTTGGAGTCTAGGTAGATGATGGTTTCGCCTGTTGGGGGAGGGGGGATGGACATTTTGGAGGAGGGGGGCTGGGCTGGGTTGGCTGTGATATTGCGGGAATGAGGAGGCTTGTGGAGCGGAGGATGTTGATGGAAAGATTTTTTTAGGATGTGGGGTGGAAAATGCGGGGCGTGAGGAGGAGATAAGAAATAGGTAGTAGGTGTAGATGAGGAATCAAAGAGGTTTTTAAAAGATAGGATAAAGATATTGATGCACATGCAGTTCGCTAGCAGGCACACATATCCTACCATAAAACAAGCCAAAACCTTCACCAATACCCTCAATATACTTGGCGCAACTCCTGTGAACAGTATCGATCATTTGGATAGTCCCATCCACCGCCCAATTTTATTCTGCATAGTAAAAGGTTTCAAAAGATAGAACCGCACGCAAGAGTTCATATACGTTGAAATTATCATCAATCTCAGTATTCAGTCAATGTTACATCTAAATGTAACCTACTACATATAAACCCAAACCCAGAGAACCCCAACAATACAGCGCCTAACTACATAGAAATTCAATACTCAACATTTGCCCTTTGCCATAATAACCGAGTATAAACACTCTAACTTCTTCGCAAAGATAAGACTCTCGCTTGCAATATAATGATGTAATTCTTAAACCATTTCCATGAGCTGCTTGCTCGCTTAGCATCACATCATCTTCATTGTCCTCTAATAGCCTCTAACCGCTATGTAGGAAAACAAAAGAGACTAGAATTGATTGACCTGTTAAATTCTAGGATAGATCAATTATACATGAAATTATAAGGAATGGTGATCTTCAATAAATCCTCAAATAATCTCTAATTAGAGTGCTATTTCATCGTATAATTTTCTGAATTGATATAGAACGATTAGATTGTTGAAGAGCTTCGCTAATGATTCATTCCGGTGTGTTTTTCTTCTCCCATAAACAGGCCCTTCGCCTTTTACGAGACCTGATGCCTTGACTGACTCATGCTCATCCCAACGACAATCAAGACCATGACAGTAATATATCGTTTCTAATATTTTACACCTCTTTTCAGGTGTGAACTTTGGCTTCATTTCTAGATCACATGGGCAGATAATCAGTCTACTTCATATACAAACGACGAGCATACTACTTAAAACCCCCATTTCGATTCACTTTAAATCACATCCAATCCTCACATTACCTCCTTTCATATCACGAAACCCTCGTTCCCAAATTCCCCGTACTCAAAAATCCATTATTCCCCATAGCGCCCCTCCATCCTATACTCAACACGCCAAATATCAATCTTCCATCTACAATTTCGCTTTCCTTTGCCCCTTCTACACTATCCACAACTTCCCCATCATCCCCAGGAACTTTTTCTTCAACCAAAAAGCAAACCTGTCGAATATCTCCTGGTGCTAATACCGGTCTCTCCAATTCCACATCTCCTCCGTTTTCCTTTTCAGAATCAGAAAGTAAAATCTCCCAATTCAAGCTTGTAGCATTGAATCCTTTGGTAGTGGCCAAATGAACTAAAGTCAATGTAATAGGGTTATCTTCTGTGATATTTTCTAATTGGGCTTCCAATGCATATTTCTTGGATGAAGAAGTATTCGAAGATGTAGATTTTGGAAAGGGTAATGATCCGATTTTGGTACGGACCACAAGACATCCTTTACAGATGAATTGATATAATTTACGGAATGTGCGAGTACGTGGAGGAGAGGATGGAGATGATTCGGTATAAGTTACTGTGACAGCCAAAACGTGTGAGCCTTCTTCTTTCAGATCGAAATGAAGGACCTTCTGTAATGAACTCTGAGATGTAATTTCTGCTTCCGTAGTTTCTTCCCCTGAGGTGGTAGAGACTTGTGGGGAAGATTCAGGACCGGAAAGAGGGAGCAATATAGGAGTTGGTGTGGAAGGAATCTTCATTTCCGCAGTGAGAGTGATATTTGATATTATTTTGGTGGTATTGAGCGAGGTTGCGATATCCGGAGAGGTGTGGGTTTGAGCGGGTTGAGAGATAGGAGGAGGGAGCTCATTATTAGCACAAAGAGTACAACTGAATGTCTCCCCTACATATGCTGATCCAAAAGCTGGAGGAAGTGTGAGGAGAGGAGAGAGAATAAAGTTCGAAGGGGTGGGAGATGGATATGAGAGAGAGGCTGATGGGGCGGGAAGGCTGAGATTTGGAGGTGGTGAAGGAGATGGTGTGGGTAGTGGATGTTGAATTGAAAGCGATGGACGAGAAAGTCTATTGTAGCACTTAGTCTTTAACACAACTTTCACAATCGAGCAGATGGAAGTAGGAGAGAATCAAATATAACATGCCTTAAAACCTTCAAACTGACAGAATGTGGTTCTTTCCCTCCGTCCAACGTCGAGGTAGTCCGTTGATGCGACATATTTAAGGTTATATACGTGTCTCGTGCTTATTCCATGGAAATCATCGATCAATGCCTATTCATACCGCAGCGAATATAACCGTCACACGCTTTATTGCTGTCTGTCGTAAGAATCTCCGTTGTCAATTGTAAACTGTGAAGTCCAAATCATACAAGGTCTGGAATCGAATAAGGCTGAATGTCCATACAGATGTTCGATTATTTACTGCCATCTTCACCGCCTTCTTATCGCTGGTTCCTTACCTTATCGATACGCCGCGGCTAAAGTTTCACTTCCTTTCACGGGTTATCACATTTTTTCCTCAAATTTCCCCTCAAAAATCACAAATATCAATTCTCAAATCCCATCAAACCAATATTACTCTATAAATCCCTGAATTCAAAATGGGCGACGCCGGTCCTTCGACAGAGGAGACTTTTCAAGAGCCTACTCAAGGAATTCCATTAGCTCGCTCCACAGGACTTATGCTAATCCTCGATACTCCCAAAGGTAATGAATGATGGTAGGTATCGATACCATATCTACGACACTCCCACCTCACACTTTACATAAACAACCATTTACACCAAATCGCAGCCTTATTCTTCAAAATCAAGTATCACTAATTCCTACTCCAATAGGCCGAGGAGTATTTGCCTCTAGAGACATTCCAGCCCGTAGCGTGCTAGAAGTATGTCCTGTATTAGTTTTAGATCCCAGTGAGAATGAAAATCACATAAAAAAGACGGAATTGTATCATTATACGTAGTAAGTTGACCTGATTACACTTTTGCTTGTTAATACGAATCTACTACGTAGGTTCATTTGTGAACAAGTCTTGCTGATAAAGATGGTTTCTAGTAACTGGCCATATAAACCCAAGAGTTCAAATGAGGGCTCAAATGGCACGACAAAACCACCTACCACCACCCAAGCCGTGATACTTGGGCTAGGTAGTATGTTTAATCATTCAACATTACATCAAAATGTTGGATGGGAAAGAGATGTTCATAATCTTCTTATAACCTATACTGCACTAAGGGATATCAAAGAAGGAGAAGAATTATGCATCTCATACGGATCAAGGTTGACATTCAAGGACACTGAGGCAGATGCGCTGAATGAAGTTGAGGACGAGAATGAATTATTAAGTAGAATTGAGTTGATTGATTGACTATTGCTTTCCCATTTTCAATGCGTAATGCTACCTATAATTGAGAACCTTTTCAATGTTCTGTTTGGAGAGACATGACCCTTCTGGGCCTGAATTCTCTCAATCTACTCCAAAAGATGTAAGGACAAACAGGTATCCATAATTTTTAACATTCAAGACCTAGAGCAATTTAAGATTCTCATAGACACAAAAATTAAGAGAAAGCATTTAATATCCAGGTGGAGGTGGAACGGCGCTATAACCATTATTACTTCCTGGTGGTGGACCTGATGGTGGGGGAGGAGCCTAAATTCTCAAGGTTAGTTTCTCTCAAACTATAATTTGACTGCCCCTTCCCGTCGAGAAGGAGAGTCTTGCAAGCCTAACTTCTAAAAGAAGAACTCGGTTAGGAATATATGAAGTGAGGAAATAATATACATACCGATCCACCGGGTGGTGGAGGTGGGGGTGCCTCGTTAGGAGGTGGAGGAGGGCCTGAACCTGGAGCACCTTGTTGTTGCTGTTGATATTGGGCCATGGCTGCCATGTACTGCTGATAATATTGAACATATGCCTCATACCCACCATATTGAGCATAAGGATCAGCACTTGCACCATAGTATTGAGCAGCTTGAGCTCCATAATCTGCAGGGGTAGAAGGACTGGCTGCATTAGGAGTGTTGGGAGCTGGTGATTTGTTGTAGTTATTGTATCCACCACCGCCACCATACGAGTTAGATCTGTCTGGGGCGCGATCACCATAGCCTCGCTCTCCTGAATAACCGGTTTGGCCGCCATAACCACGTTGTTGAGGTGGGCGAGCCTTGAACTCTTCATATTGCTCTCGGACATTCTTGAGAAGATCCTCACAGAGCTCTTTGGCTTTTTGTACCTCATTTGGATCTGGGCCACTAGAAAAAAGTTAATCAAGTGCCCTAGCAAACCTGAACTTACAAACTCACGCGACGTGAAGATACATGTCTTCATCACTTTCACGACCTGTGCCATGTTCCATAAAACCAGAACCACGTCCCTTGATTTGAACACGACATCTAGTTTCCTGTTGAATGTGCTTTACGTAAGCTCCACCGTGGCCAACAACTTGAGCACGAAGGTTGAAGCCTTGAATAGGTTCAAAATCAATAGGAATCTTCTCCTCGGGCCATTTGCGCTAAGTCTTTGTTAGCACCTAAAATTTATGCTTTCTGGAACGAAACTTACTCTGCCAAATTCATCTCTCTCAACTTGCTCAGGCTCGCGTCTACGGAATCGACGTTCGTCAACTAAGTTAGGGAGCTCCTGCTTCATTAGTTCTTCGATCTTTTGAACGGCTTGCTCGAGGCCTCGCTTTGTTTGACTTGTAACGTGGAGATACAATGGGGGATTCTAAGCATATTATTAGCTCGCTTTCCTCAATATTTAAGTTCTTGGGTTGACTTACAGCAGCGGTAGCCATGCTTTTATCCGGGTAATAATTTCCTCGCGTGGTGACATCTTGAAAAGTCAATATTAAAATCTCTAGTACAAATGGTGAGTTGTAGGTATTGCGTACCAGCGCCGGTTTCTTCCTTAATCTAAATGTCACGCAGCGGAGGTCAGCAGATGCCAAAAGGGTGTATGTGTATGGTGCTATTCGCGCTTCAGGTAAGCTTGAAAGTCTCCCCATACAATGATGATTTTACTTTAAAAGGGGGTAGGAGAAAGTATAGAGATGATTCATGGCTAGACCTATGAGAAAGCCTGATGTATCAGTGGAGTATAACACAAGGAGTATTTACCATCTTTTGAGTAGAACCTTTAGTCAGTGTATAACGGTTTCGCAAATCGTTGACTTCGATGTCTTTGATATAATCGCCATCTGCGATATACATCTCACCATTTATATTGCTTGCGCTGTTACCTGCTCCGGCTCCTGGAGATGCTGACTTTCCGACTGGACTTTCGGCTGCGCGAATGGGTGGCACATCGGCATGTTGAACACCTTTCTTGGCTTGGATTTGTGCATTGATTTTTGCAGCAGCGGCAGCTATTATATATTCAATTAGCAAGTGTTCATGTAGCATAGTGCTAGAATGGGTATGTACCTGCTGCTGCTGCTGGATCTGCACCGCCTTTCTTTGCGGATTCTGGAGCCGGGCTACGAGAAGAACGACGACCAAGGGGAGACCTGCTTCGTCTTGCCTCTGCCTTTCTCGCAGGTGGTGATCGCGAACGTCTATCGAACCTTGAGGTCCTCTTCGGCTCAGGTTCCTTTTGATCGAAGCGCGAACGCTTTGCTGTGCGACGTTCAGTATCATCCATGTTGATAATTAGTGATGCTTATAAAGGTTGAAGCAAATATTGCTTGTAGTAATGTGAGATGCGATAATGGGTCTCGAATTGTAAACAGATAACTGTCACAATCGATTGTTACAATTACTAGTACCCAGTAAATTTATGAGGCTGAACTTTATTTCGAGTTTTTGTGCTGGTTGACGGTGGTTGTTCGATGACAAGGATTTATCAGTGCACCGACATTAACCCCAAGGCACTAAAATATCTGGGGTCAATACGACAATAATCGGCATTTGCCGTATAGAAACAAATTCAACCTTTTTGTGCGGTATCGGGGCTTGTTTGGACCTAGACCGTCGACTTCCTCTGAGTCAAATTGTTTAATCCTTCTCAGTTTTTTGAGATAGGATTATAATCATTAATAACCTCTTCAAGAAGTATTGGATAAATTCATTTATTCAATATGGCTTCACGCAAAGCTATTCTCTCCCTTTCTGGAGTGAGGGCAGCGATCCCTAAACGCAGCACTTCTATTACCCCTCGACAAATTCAAAGATATCAATCCTCTTCTACTTCAGCTCTAGAATATAAGGCGCTTCACCGTCGCATCTCCCCTCTTCCTACATCCGATGCTCCTCCAGCCTGGTCAGCTCAAGCAGCGGTTTCCAATATTCTTTACGAAACCCCCGCGCCCTCCGCCACTCCAGCAAAACGCCATGTCCTTAACTGTCTCGTACAAAACGAACCTGGTGTTCTCTCCCGCGTTTCCGGTATTCTCGCAGCTCGTGGCTTTAACATTGACTCCTTGGTCGTTTGCTCTACCGAAGTCGAAGATTTGTCTCGCATGACAATTGTTTTGTCCGGTCAAGACGGCGTTGTTGAGCAAGCTCGTCGCCAATTGGAAGATTTGGTTCCAGTTTGGGCTGTTCTCGATTATACTACTTCGCCGCTCGTACAGAGAGAATTACTTCTTGCGAAAATCAATCTTCTCGGTCCAGAATACTTCGAGGAATTGTTGGCGCATCACAGAGAAATCACTGCAAGTGACCCTGAAGCTTTACAAGGTCAAGATGATTGGGCTACAAAGCGATTGGCAGAATTGAAGGATAGTGACGATTTCCACCCCGTCAAATTGGCTCAAAGTCAAGCTTTGAGACATAAGCATGAGCATTTGAAGTCGATTACATATTTCACGCATCAATTTGGAGGCAAGGTTTTGGATATCAGCACACACAGCTGTATTGTCGAGGTGTAAGTTGATAGACATTTCGATTCCCCTGTGTACATGTACTAATTTTACGTTTTCTAGCTCCGCCAAACCAAGTAGAATTGATTCATTCATGAAGTTAATTGCTCCATTCGGAATTCTCGAGTCTGCACGCACAGGTCTTATGGCTCTTCCTCGATCTCCATTATACGGTCCTAACGAACAGGACAACTTAGTGAAGGATGCTGAAGAAATTGTTGATGCAAGCACTTTACCTCCAGGTTAGATTTGATGATATGTGGTTCAATGGATATGGAGTCGGCGTCACAAATTATCTAAAATAATGGAGGATAAGATTTATTTCTGCATGCAATTCTGTGTATCATTTATACATCAATGAAAATTACAATAAACGACGATGTTTCCAAACGTCAAATCAAAATGCGCCTAGTGACCGCAGTTATTATTACTGCTCCCAATCTATGATGTAACTCATACAATCTTGAGCAAGTCGCTCGTCAAAGTCTAACATGAGCACCGATTCCTGAGCCCAAATACCAGATTGTCTCCGTCCATTGACCAAGCCGAAGACCAATTGTGCCCTTGGCATCTAATTTTAGAGTGCCACCTAATGCTCTCTCTACTGCGTCATATCCCACCCCATCAAAAGACCAGTCGACGGGCAATTTAGGCGATTCGCTTGCACCAGGGGGTACTGCGAAAGGATAGTCGTAAACAATCTTGCCAACTGTTTCGGTTTGATTATAAAATGCTTCAGCATCAATAGATTCAATGTAGATTGTTTCATGTCGTAGAGGTGAGAGTAATGTAAACTGTGCTGTTGATGAGAAGAGATGGAAAGTTGCATCATCAATAAAATGGGGTTTCCCATCATCAGGACCCTTATCGTTCCCAGTCCCAGGCGTCGATAATCGAGGTGTAGGCATCGTGACTGCAAACTTGCTAAGTGCCTTTCCGAGTTTTGGTTGGTATGGAATAGATCCTTCATGAGTTTCGAAAGTAAGAGTCGTATTGAAACCAGAAACATATTGCGAAATTAGTTCCCGACCAATTTTGCGCCCCTTTTCACCACCAAATGTCATGGGATCCCAGGTAGCTTCAACAAGTACATTCGTATTATTCCCTCGAGAGACGCTGATATCGCGCACCGTGGCATCACCGATTATTGAGCCGTTATTCAAGATATGGATATTCACGTAAGGAATTCGAGCTGTGTATTCAGTTGGATTAGTGAAGTTGATTTTCGCTTGGAGATTGATTGATGTCCGGCCTGTGTTGAATATCTTCAAGTCGCCAACCTTGAGGTTGAGTTGGTGGAGATCACCGCCCGTAGAGATCGCTGCAATCCCGTCAGCTTCAGTGCAGTTGCGCTGAAATTAGTAGGCCCCTAACGTTTCAAAGGAACAACTCCTTCCGCGGGCAAATCTTTAATAATGAAATCACCTAGCACAGTAGATATTTCAACTTCAACCAAAGCATCAATCTTAAGACTAATAGCCTTCCCACCCAGATAATAATCAGCCACAAGATCTCCAAATACATCCTCGTCTGTGATTTCTAGAGGCGCATTTTTGATATGTGATTCGATCTTCAAAGAAGCATCGCCTTTATCAGTGACTCGTTTTGATCGAGCTTCCTGCCATTTTTGTAGGTTTAGCACACCTAACTTATCTCCCTTGTAGAATACATCGGCTTTCGCACGAACTTTCGAAACTTCAAGGCTAAAATTCATTTCCTTAGGCAAAGCTGCTAATACCATTATATCCCCAGAAATTCTTGGATTTGACTCGGGTGTTCCAGGCTCCGCAAAAGGTCCAGGTAGGCTGAAATCTGTGTTTGTGAGAGAAAAGTTCTTGATCAATTGATCGAATGTATGACCTGGGAAAGGTACTGGTACTGTAACGCTCGATATTATTTGAGTGATCCAATCGGGAGTCTCTGGAGATGGTGCATTTGAGCCTCGAACAAAAATGGTAGTATCATTGCCGTGAATGTAATCACTGAGGAGCAGATCCAATGGTGAGGAATGTGAATTGGGGCAGGTTTGCAAAAGGCTTTCAGGTAGATCCCGAACGATACCTGCGACGTCAAGTGTAACATCTGAATATGGCTCAATCATGATGTTATCAGTAGAGGCATCAGCGAGTTGAATATGTGGTTCGTCGGCAGCGCAATTCGAAACTAGTATATCGAATCGCATCGGAGGAATACTCAACCTTATTGGGTAGCTATTGACCAAGGATAGCGATACTTCAGCAGCCATTCCACGATGGCCATCTTTGGAGAGAGGGATCTCCTTGAAGTTGAGACGAGTTATGTTATACTTGGGAATGGCTGGAATATCATTGCCTATGGTCAGTTAGCAACTTGATCTTAAAGTGCAAGTTTTACATTGAGAAAGAATCTAGGAAGTGGTGACTGCGCTCGCGGACTAATGTTTGGATACACCTATAAACTATAGATCGTGTGTATATTGCCCGAAATCCAGCCACGAACTTCCTTCAACCGATACTTTTCTCCCCAAAGTACAACGACGCAAAAGAACGATAGAGAGATTGACCTTCAAAAATCATTGACTCGGATATACTCTGAGATCCGAGCGGAAGTAACCCTGACTTCAATGTGACATCCGCCTTGCCTAATACCCGCAACTGTCCCAAACGACCGTCTAACCAGTCATTCGCAACCTGTCTTAATCCGTCGACGCTTCCTGCTTTAAGATCGGTAACAAAGTCGATTGGTGTGACAACACCATTCCGAATATTTACCACCACCTTAGGCACAACAGCGGTTCCAATGAGAAGATTATCATATTCTGGAAGATAGACCTCGAGGTTCGATTCCTGACTTTCAACCTCTTTCGCGATCCATGTACCAAATCTTCCAATATTCCTAACAGCATTGTTTGCGACCCTTGAGGCATCCATCTTAAAATTCACTTGTACGCGAGCTTTCACTCCATTGGCGGTGAAGCTGTCTATCGATAGGTTCGTAGGCTCGATAACAAGAGATTCTTTGGCATATCTTTCCACGATTGCAGGCGCGAAAAATGCACATATCAGAATGACGATACCAGCCAAAAACAACATGGCGACAGCGAAAATCGTTGGCCATCGTAAACCTTCATTGGCAGGCTTGCCAGAGTCTCGATTATGGATAGAACGTAGAGACTCTGCAGCTGGCGATAGAATTCGACCATCCTCATCTTCGGGCTCTTCGCCATCGTATCGAGGAGTATCATCAGAGTGCGCTAATAAGGGTGATGATTCGTGTGAGTCCCCAGGATTGTCTGAATTGTGTGACTTGACTGAGCGTTGAGAATGCTTCGACGATGGTCGTTGCTCTTGGCTGAGCAGGAGTGGAGACCCCGCACTGTCCGACATGATGAAGATAAGGATAATTGATCAAGATGGGTGCTAGTATGTATCACTCGACGCACCGCGCGAGGATGGATCTAATGATATCAACAAAGTGATATTTTGTTTGATATCTTGAAAGATGATGAAAGTAATGATAGAGGTGTCTTGGATATTGAAAGGCTGAGCGGGTGTCGTTAAGTCTTGTATAGGTTCCTGGGGAGTTGTAAGCAGCCGCCACACCGTGCGTTAGCTTAGAACGCCCTATATTAATTGATTGGGCCAACGTAGTAGTATATTTATACATGCATTGTGCCTTCGTACCTGAAAAATTATGAATTGATGCCAACAACCTTGTCAATGTCTCAGCCTCGACTGTACAGGATACAGCATATCTTCATCCTATCTTTATATTTCACCAACAAGCAAGAACACGACACACTCGTCCTACATTGTATGGATAACATAGCTGGACCAGCGTTCTGCCCGATATCCTTATTAGCCATGTCTAGGAGCGAGTTTCTAGAAGATAACCTTATTGTATCAACAAGTGTGTGATCATTATAGGGCATCCTCAATTTCGGGTCAACCCTCTCACATGAAATCTTATAGGATGAAGTACCTGGTGTGGTAGTTACAGTACATGACCAAAATACTGATGCTACGTTCACTACTATGATATCTGATGCAAGTGCAGAGTCCTCAGTATCATACAATAATGAAGATCTACTCGTCCTTGGCGTTGTATTGCAGTTGAAGTCTGATTGTCGTGAGACTACACGGTCTAAGTGTAACACAATTGTTCAATACGGGGATATCCTGAATGACACTCGGTTTCTGGTAGTTTCCAGAGCGCTCCTTCGAGGAGATCAACTAATGAATACCAAATCATGAAAGATGTTCAGAGGCTCCACGGCGTTGTCATGATATTCTCTGCAGTTTTGTTTGCAACTGTCATAGAATAGTCTTGCCTTTTTTGCTGGTCTCATGGAAGATTTTATCTTCAAGTTCTTCAAGTTCTAGAATTGTTTCCTCAGATGACCCCCAAACTATTACTCCTTGAACACTTCCCGATTCCAGCTTTCCATTCACACACATTGAATGACGAATGGTTTAATGTCAACGATAGTCACTACGAAGACTCATGGTTTATAATTTATTGATTTGTGACTCTTCAGAGCACTCAAGTATACTTAAACAGATACAAGCTAACATATGTCTACTTTCTTCGCTCTCCCCGTATAAAAACATACTGCAATTGATCAAATCCACATAGCACCAAAACAAAACTTCAAAGCTTACTTCATTGTGTCTGCTGTCTCCTCCATCACAATAGTGTTTCTCTCACCGATCAACATCTGCCTCGATTTATCACGCTTAAACTTGCAGCAGGCATTAAACCAATTAAGGACTGTCCCAACATTCCGTGGAATCCGTTCACTAGGATCTAAATCTATTTGAGAATCAATTATTTAGGCTGACCAAGTACATTAGAGATATGGAATATACTGCAAATCACAATACTCTCATTCATAATTCCAAGGTCCATATGCGATCTTACGACTCAAGAGGACCCGAGTATCCTGGAAGGGCATTAATTCCAGGGTGGCGTCGACAAGCTCAATTAGAATTCCTTCTCCGAATCATCAAATCTTACAATTTAGAGCTTAAGCGCTACAAATTCAGTGGCGATGCAGAGGTCTTGGATATCGAAAATGATATTTACGAGAATATAAAGTTGTTAGGAAATGATGGATATTTACCTACAGATATTGTCGAGTTGGCGGAACGCCTTCAACGTGATGCTCAGCCGACAAGAGGTGTTTTTCGGCTGTTTCAATTCGCCTATCAGGTAGTTACGGGCTCGGATTTCAACATAAGTTTCTACCACAATAGGATTGACGATAGAATAGCCGCACGAAACCGCATCAACGGGTTAGACAGCAAGGTTTTGAATGAACGTAAGAAAGTCAGATATAATGCTCTCGTCGATATGAAGAATGACTGTCAGCCAGATCGTGGCCAAACCGACAACGCAAACAGCTTGAAAGAACTACTTGATTGGAAAGAGACCTGAAAAATTCTCAGTGCAAGGAACCGCTGCCCTCGGATCCTGCAACAAGTAGAAAAGAAGCCGAAGAACTCCGCAAGCGATTGCAAGCTTACAAACGGGAAGATGCAGAGAAACTCAAAGCGAAATCAGGTACGATCTATGGAAGTGACACGGAATACTGATAACTATATACATAGCGCAAAGTTGTTCGATATTAAGTATCTGATGTTAGGTGATCGTTGGGTATTAATGAAACTCGAGATTGATATATTTTAGATGGCGGATGACTGGGATTCAACTTTTGCGTGACTTTGATAGTCGCGGATAGCACTCAACTTTGAAGACTGATTAGCTCCGTTTTGGCTGGGAGTAGTAGACGGGGGTCTAGACAGTAGAGGCTAGGGACCTAATAGATTAATAGAGAAGGGGTAAAGTACTAAGTGAGACGAGGATAGATAGCTGCCATACATGATTGTCTTGAGCGAAGTCCTTTCACAAGCCAGGGAAACCCAGGATGTCCGGTTCATATCGTGATATATAACAAACAAGATTCAAATTGCACAACGAGTCGTCAAATTCGCCCAAGAAGTCAAAGAAATAATTTGCTAGAAGAACTTACAATTATGCGCATTGTACTAAGTTCGATCATCTTCGTGAACATCGCGTTGTAAGGTCGCTTTAGCGAAGGGGCTGGGATGGATCACGGGGAGTGGGGTAGATTCCAACGCTTTCCGCATCCATTCAATGTAAACATAAAACTGCAATACCTACTGTGACAACATAATGATCTTGACGCCATGTTACCAAGAAGTAGAACAACGTTCAATTTAAGGTCTCTCCTTTCGAACATCACCCCTCGTACAGGATGTACCTACAAATCTCCCTTTCCAACCCCGCCATCGTATCACCGAACAATTTCTTCTTCACCAATTAAATCCCAACCCTTTGCCATCGGGTAACAACTTCATGGACATTCCGGTCGAACATATAGAATAGAAGAAATCTTATTCGAGAGGTTGAAACCCATGCTATGTGTGTATCGAGCAAGGTAATACAGATACTCACCCCTCATTATGTTCCATCATTCAAAGAACCACAAAGCTTATTCATATATTCAGCGCAGAAGGGAAGAAATTCATCATCAAAAACTGTCTCAAGGGAGATTTTGAATATCGACAAAATTTTCAGGCTCCTTTAACTTCATACCCCAATTTACGGACAATTATAGATACCATTCCAGAGCTTGAACTGTTTGTTTATCGTTTTCTCATGGATAATCTTCTTCAGTTTTGTCCGAGAAATTTGTCTGAAGAGACTAGGAAGGGTATTTTGAAAAGTGCTCTGATTGGATTAGCTGAAATGCATGATAGATTCATCATTCATGGAGGTATGGAGATTTTTTATGATGTCCATCGTAAGAGTAATGGCGTGGCGTGAAGATCATCAATTAACATCATAACTCGACAGATATCAAACCTTACAACATCCTCATCGACTATGAATAAACATCCGAAAAGAATCTCCGCATTCAAAGCGTCCGCATCTCCGACCTAGAAGATTCTATTCTTCTCTCTCCCGGAAAAAGAATCATCGGCGGTAAAATCGGCAATCAATTTTGGCGCAGTCTCGGATCTTGGTGTAGAGCAAAGCAGAGCATCTCTTCCGACATCTTTTCTATTGGTATAGTCGCCATGTACATTGTGGATCAGTAGATGGTATTTTTATGATGGTTTGAAAGATGAGGATTTAGTCGATAGCGAGGCGTGGAATCAGATTTTAATGAGGCATGTTTCGTTTCTCTGGGATACAGATGATTATCTGGCACTTCTGGATCATATAGGAGAGGATAATCTGTTTTTTAATCGTGTCATCGATATAGTTAACGAGTTTAAGGGTCCAATGACACCGGTCCGTAAACTATCTTATCTTGATCCCGAATTTAGAGACTTGATTGTGATGATGGCGAGATTGGATCCCGCGAGTAGGCTCAGGGCAAGGGAGGCTCTGGAACATCCGTTCTTTGGTGATGCCAGTCCATATTAGTAGATAGCTGGCGACGAGCTAGGAGTCAGTCTCGGTACAGGGTTCAAGATAAAATCATGAAATTCCGTACGAGGGCGAAACAATACTATATAGGTACTATATGATTGATTAATTTGTAATAGATCTTGCTCAAGAGTTCCATAGTTACCGATCTGGTAGTTTGAAATCTATTATCAAATCCAATGTTAAAGTTTCTAGTCGTCTTGAAGAGTCAAGGTGATAGGTTTGGCCAGTCGAACCAACTCAGCCATCACTACATTTAGCTCAAGATACCTATCATCTAAAGAAGTATCATAACCCAAAGGAGACCTTAACACCATTGCTACTCTCCATCTGCAATTTATGCTGTTCCACAAATCTTTCCTCAGGATCACAATTCACCAAACTCTTAAATCTTTTTGCAAACCTCGCCAAAATATAAACACATTCATTGAGCACCATTCGCTGCGCAGGACAAACTCAATCCCCCTCAGAGAATGGAATATATGCCCGAAGTTGCGCTTTTCCAAGACTTTCCCATCGCTCTGGTCTATACTCATCAGCTTCTGCGCCCCATATATCTTTATCTAGATGCATAGATCTAAATATGTAATTGACTTCGGTTCCACGAATGACTAATATTAGATCTTTTCCATTCGGTCCTCCGCCGGTACGTAAGATGCGATCCTCGCCGCATGATCGTATACTTCTTCCAGAAGGTGCAAGTATCCGTAGACCTTTTAAATATTGAATTAGCAACATCATCAAAGAGGCAATATTCTGATGACTGAACTCACTTTCATCCACAATAGCGTTTGCATATCTCATCTGCTTCAACGAATCATAGATTAGAGGTCCATCATAGTTCGATATTTCATTTTGAAGCCGGTTCCACACTTCAGGGTTTCTTGCCAGGTTGAAGAAGATGTGTCTAACAGCAATAGCAGTTTGATCTCGCGCGGGGAGAAAAATATTCAGCAATTACGAACAAAGATAAATGTGGTCTTGTGCCGTTTTTAATAGCTCGTCCAAGAGAACAAGTCGTCGGTTTGGGCTTGGGGAATTAGTAGAAATAGAAGTTTTTTCTGTCTTTTCTGTCTTTTCTGCTTTTCTATCGCTCTTTCGATTTTTTGGTCGATGAATGTGTAAACCTCGTCACGAGCCTTCCTCCAGGACCTGTCTAGGCTTTGCAGAAGCAAACTTTCCCAAAGCGACCCGCAACCCGATTCCTTGCAAGACTGTGTCAAAAGCTGCGAGGAACTTCTCGGTGTCAATTTGTCCTTTCTCTGACTTTAGGATATTGATAGAATCACCAAAGATCAGTGCCGTGGAGGTATCAAGAAACTATATGTGTCAGCTGGATTGACTAACTTTATATTCTAGGAACATCATACAAGCCGTTTTAACCGAGGTAGCAAGTCCACAGTAGTACCATCATGCGGTATCATAGCAAGCAGAGTATCCATATGCTCTTCTAGAATGTCCAGAATCGGTATTTGTGCCCTTGCAAAGATGGGTTTCGAAGCAAGATGAGCTTGTTTCCATGATGAACCATCTGTATTAAAAATTCCTCGTCCTAAGAAGCATTCTGTAGCATGCAGACTAGAAGGCTCTACTATGAATTTCTTTTGTGACTTAACAAGAATGGTGTGTATGTTTTCTGCATCTATTGTATAGATGGCCTTCTGGCCCCAGCTGTTGACTTCGAAGGCCTTGCCATACTTGTCAAACAAGGATTGGAAGAAGGCAAAGTTGTTTCCATTTGAGATACTCTCCACTATGCCCACGAACAAACCAATGCCCCAAACAGGATCTTTATGTGAGTAGTGACGTGGTCGGGAACAGTCACGCTTCTGTAGAATCTCTTCCTCTCTTCTGCCCTGAACCAGCTTGCTGATAAGATGAAGAGCGATGATAGAAACTACAATGCATGAAAGAGTACTACGGTTGAGTTCCATAATTTGTGTTGAAGATTGGCTCATGATTAGTTGTTGCAATTAAGCAGACAAATCAGTGAGTATTCAACTTTTAGGTCAAAACCGAAATAAAACGAGTCAAGTCTGGAGAGTGAGCTGAGAGAATCAGATGAATTTTTTTTAGCACTCCTAAGAATTAATATAGCTGCGATGTACCTAGATATAGTAGCAGCCCCGTGGAGTCTTGCCTCCCAGTCTCTTTCTCTACTCGCCGTCCTCGGTTAGTCATTACACCAACCCAACTGTTTGGTAAATGAGTCTTTCAGGATTAAATCACTCAAGATTACTGATTATGCATCCTGTGCTTTTCATGAAGAAATGTGAAAAGATTGGTAGGAAAGTATGAATGTGTTGACAAGTTGGTGACGTACTTCATTTGGAAAAGTCCAATGATTGACCTGACTGCACCAACACCCCCCCATCATTGATTACGTTGCAACATTACTGCAACATCTCTGCAAGGGATCTAATTTCAAAAATGGAGTACGTACTACGAAACAATCATCGCGGTCTTTATTTGCATCATATTTTACACTGATATACATATCAAAAAATCTGGCTACCCATTTTCAGGTATACCAATCCTAAATAAATCCGGCATAATGGCACTTAGCTGCCTCTCATCTGGTTGCCATCTTCCTCTTATATCTCTCCACACCTCTGTTGCCCTCGCCTGACTAGAACATGTCGCGAAAGCCTTGAGCACATTCGTTACGATCCAAGTCGACATGTAAATACCTTCTACACCTTGGTCGAGGGCTTTCAAATATGCTTTCCACACACTTTCTAATCTGGCACCCGTCCACTTTGTATATCTAGTGCCACCATGAATACAGAATCCCTTGAAAAGGGAGAGAAAAAGTGCACCATGCAAGGGAACGTTGAAAAGGCCCATTTCTTCTAAAAACTTAGCCGCTTTGTCTAGCTCGCCTTCTGTAACTGCAAAATGATTGACTAGTAACCTATACGTTTGAATATCTGGACAGACGATGGAGCTCTGTTGGGCTTTCGCTCGGCCTTCTGGATCATGCTTGAATTCCAACGCCATTCGTAACAACGCGCGCTTGACTTCTCTGCGATTTTTGAAATGCCTGTGCCATTCCTGTGTGCCCGAACGCTCCGCATGCATGATTTTCATTCGCTCATAGATATTTAGCGCAGCACTGGGCTCATATGAATTGATAAGAGCTGAGATCATTGCATTAAGAACAACGGTATCAACAATTTCTCCAGCGTTGACCAAAGATTGATACGCTGCTCGCGCTCCATCACCGTCGCCTTTTAGACCACAAGCAAATATCATGCTGACATAATGAAATCGGTTGTACTCAAGGCCCCTGGCTATCATTTCTTTGTAAATCATTTCGCCAAGAGTGAATTTGCCGGCTTTGCATGCGACATCATAAAGAACATTGAATGTTGCATAATTGCCCCTGACACCTGCGATGTGCTCCATTTCCCTCCACAGTTTCAGAGCACTTTCGACCTCTACATCGGTGGCTTTGGCAACGTATTTGGAAGCAAAAGAAATGGCACTTGTCCATTCCGAAACACTTAAAGGAATAGCTGTTGATTTCATATCGTCGACGACGGAGAAGTACCTGAGCATAGAGTGCTCGTCCTTCCTTTCTACGATACTCAAGTGGCGAAGTAACATGTGTCTTAAATTGGTTTCTAAATAAGGAATTCGAGGTTCTGGTAGTTCACGGTAGATTTGATATACATCTTCCGCCTCATGGGAGTAGAAATTCTTCAGTGCGAATTCCAGCTGTTTGAGCTTTTCTTTCGTTTCGTCATCGGCCGGCCATGCCTCATGAGTGGGTGGCCATTCATCTTCTTCTTCTTCATCCGAAACTGGTAAATGGGGAGCGTAACCTGGCTGGTGAAGGTCTGGAGATTCCATTACGGGTAATTGATGTGTATACGAAGTTCCATGGTACTGATCCACAAGCTCCATGAGCTCTTGTCGAGTCTGATTTGCCTCATTCGCAATCTTCTTTTCGTCCACGACGGATTGTGTATTATATGTATAATTTCGTCCCCGCGTATTGAGTTTGGTCGACCGGAGATCCTTCGTAGATATGTTAGGTCTGTGAGAAGTGAAAAAAGTTGCCGGTTGTAAAGGCTTTGGGGTGTGTTTGTGGCAATGGCCTGCACTGGCAAGTGAGGAAATAAACCATGCTTCTAGTCCGACTGTACTTGAGATCATTTGTATAGGTTTCCTGAGATGATTTCGTCGGGAAGGCTTCGTGGGAGCCTTTGAAATGTCAATTGGATATAAAAAGGAAAGAGCTTGTCGAGGGGCTGCTAGCTTCGAGATGAGGGTGCTGCTCGTCGAGGAGGAGATACAAGAGGAGGACATGAGCCGGCTGACATTTTGAGTTTTTGTCAACGTCTCTGAAAAGTCATTGGAGCCAGACCAGCCCTCCAGTCCTTATCTGCCGTTGTGGTTGACTCAGGAGCTTGTGGGGGGTTGAGGATTGATAATATGTTGAAAACTTTAGGACTTATCGCCAAAATTTTGGAAATTTTGGCGGAGATTGCCGCCCGGCTTCAAAAACCTATCAATATTTGCGACCCAGAACACCACGACCCCCGCAATATTGTTCATAGATTACTTTGAGACTGTAAGTTTGATATTTTGATTAAGTGAAACAGGTCCTAACATTCCGAAGTTCTGCGAGTATGAGGGGCCTCAATTTAAAGCCATCGCGTGTTTACCAAACGGCATCTGCATTACTCGCATCTGAAAGCATTTCCCAAGCACCACCATGGTATAAGACAATCGGCTCAGTACCCCCTTCGGAAATCCTTACACGGACGCAACCTGTTCAACACCGAGGAAGCAATGGCAGACCTAGAACGAAAAAAGCTAGCAAGCTGTTCAAACCACAAACTATTGTATACGAGGAAGATCGAATAAGACAAGAATTCTTCCGTGATCATCCATGGGAGTTAGCAAGACCCCGAGTTGTGTTGGAGGACGATGGACGTGATGGGCAAAGATGTGATTGGAGTAGGATAGCACAGCCAGGAAGACCTTTGACCGGTGAAAGGTAAAATTGATTCTCAGGATATTGCGGCGTTTGGTTAACATTTCGACAGTGTGGTACAGAGGCAGCTTTGGCTGATACACAACACGCAAATGTCTAATAGTGAGGCTTACGATATAGCACGGAAGGAATTCTATGCGCTCCGTCAGGAAGAGGAGATCGAACGGAGGATCGCGAAAGAAGAGGCAGAATACGTCGGTGCATACTTTCATAAAGGTGCTTTGGAGGTTGGAATGGAGCTGGAAGATAAGAGTTACGAGGACTGGAAGGCATGGGCTACCAAAGAAGTCGAGGCTGCGAACTTACAGCAACAAGGAGCATACACTGGTGTTGGCACCGAAAGTGAGGATGCTGCTCTTTTGGGTGATGCAGAGGCTGTTGAAGAGCCAGCAACAGCTGCCGCATGAAAATGCTCAATCTTACCAGAGGCATGTACAACAGCATTACAAGGGCAAAATTGGCGTTAATGAGCATGAGAATTAATCGGGTGATGTTGGACTATAGTTTTCATGGATTTGTCAAAGATCATTGATAGATGCGGTAGGGCTAGTAGGTCACTGATCTTCCTTTCTGTGGTGATTGTCTAGGCCAGTTGTACTGTTCAGGATTGAGATTCCTCAACTTAGAGGAATAGCATGACACTGATGATATTTTGGCGTTCTGCTAGTGTACCAAGAAACCCCTCCATTCCACCCTTTTCTGACCATTTTCCCCATTTATCTGTTTAGCAAGGTCTTCCCATTGTACGAGAAATCGATCATAAATACCTAGCCATAACAAAACTTTACCACTTAAACTCAATGTCTTTACCCTTGCCCAGCTTTCCACGTAGATCGTTTGCATCTTCCAAATTGGAGCCACTCCCAGAAATTTCAACAGGAAGCTTGCCATGACCACAAGAACAGCAGTAGCAGGACCATTTGTTATGATGATATCTGGATATTGCTGGTGTATTGTACTGGTCATTGAAATTTTGTGTAGTGCCTTGAGACATCCCAGCATACACGAGAAGGACGATATGGGCGCAGTGTAAAGTGGTTGATGTATCTCCCTCGCTCTTGGAACAACTATGAGATCCCAGACCCCGGTGGTAGCATCATATTCGCCAGATTTGGTACACGGCGAAGAAGGTCGAAGCTTCGATTGAATACGCTCCTCGCAATCTTGAGCCTTGGTGGAAGAGAAGTTGTCTCCCGCAGATAGAATATATGTCCGGTGTTTGTATCTTGCCGCATCTGTATCGCGAAGAAGAGATACCATCTCTGCAGTATGACCACCAGAACCAAGGACTACCACCATATGAGAAGGCTCATCTTTACTTTTGACCGGAGGTCGTCGAGAATCTGGAGAGAACAGATAGAGAAGACGAAGCTACAGTGTTTCAAATCAGTGCATCATTCTAGAATATTGGTATTGGACTTGATCTTACAAAGGCAGTGGTGATAATAATCAATGTTGCTGCGGTAATCAGAGACAAGGCTGAAAGGTAGATCATGGTTGAAGCCCATGCGAGGCTGAAGGAGCTAAAAGTAGATGTTTCTGGTTCCTTCAAGGGGAGGACACGAAATAGTCTGGAATGTGTATATGTGAGTGAATGGTGTAGATTGAATATATAATAAGATTACAAATTGAATAACTAAACGAATGGGCTGATTTGATATACGGCTCTCATATCATAAACTAACCATGATATGATGTGAACTTGATCAGATCAATTTTGAATTATCATCATCATCATTCATTATCGTTTACCTATCTAATACGGTAAGGTAAGCAGTATTGTTGTCTCTTTCCCTTCCATCGATCAATACTGCACCGAACCGAATCGGTTATTCCTATTGTGTATAAAGGCCGAAGCTAAAAGTTTCGAGTAATCGTCTAGACTTGAACTTTATAAAATCACGCTCAACAACGCGACGCGATATTTAACCCCCCTTGGGCATAATCTTCAACAATTAACCATGCAACTACGGCTTCACAAATTTCACAACTTTCAAATCATCAAGACAACTCACACTTTCATCAACTCACAAACTACCAATCAAATTCTCACCATCAAAGATGTTTTTCAGCAAACGTTTAGTCTGTTTTTACTGTGGACAAAAGTCAAATCTTGCATGGAATTCTCAAATCTCATATTTTGAATGTGAAACCTGTGAAGCCACCAATTATTTGGATAAGAATGGCAATATTACAGATCCACCGTCGGCAGTCACTGGATCAAATTTGAATTTTCAGGATACCCAAGCAAACATCACTCAATCATCTATATTCTGCGAACGATGCTTGCGGAATCAACAATACCACTACGATGTTATGAGGCAGCTCAATGTCGAGCTTGACCCTAAACATCCAAATTACCAGGCTTCCGAAGAGAAGATCCGTGTTATTAAGAAAGATCTTGACAAGCGTTATCCAATGGTTTGCGGAAATTGCGCACCAAAGGCTCAAGAACAACGAGATAGAGCAGACAAATTCGCAAAATCTGACTGGCTTGGGAGGTTGAACGCTCTCAGCGAACGAATCAGAAGCCAAAAGACGTGGAGGGATACCTTTCAAAATGTCATTTATCAAACCCTCCTTTACCCAACTGTTTCAAAAATCTGGTACCTTGTTGTTATCGGACAGATCCTCGCTCTTGTTCTAGGCCTCTTTAATGTTACAGATATTCTGACCAAGACCTTGAACTTAATCCCCTTTTTAACGGACAACCTAACGCTCAACATCATCTCTTTCTTGGCATCTAAGAGATGCTTTGGATGGAGCATACTTCACAACTTTTTGTCATGCGGCATGAACCCATTCTTCTCACGATGGTATCCAAGAGGAAATCCTAAACGTATCGTTGGTTTCTTCGACTGGTATGGATACCAAGTACTTTTGCAACTGGTCTTGCGAGTCATTTTATGCTCCACCTTTGAAAATGGACTTTTTGCATACCTTTCATCCCACCTAACGACGATAGTCAATATTTGCACCATCTTCTTCAACTCTCTCATTGCATACGGATCACGTTTTTATCTTGGTCCTAAAAAAATTGCGCTCTGGAAATCAACCCCAGGCCCAATATACACACCATCAGCATTCCAGACCTCAGAAAAGTCCGGCAATGCATTGTCAGATGTTCTTGATGAAATCATGGCCTCAACACCAAATGACCATCATCAAACACCTTCACCGCCAACACAACACTCTCAACGAAGCAGCCAGTACAATCAAGAACAGTCATATCAACACGATCGTCAAAGTTACACATCTGGTTTTCGCGAAAATACCTCCGCAAACACCTATGCTCGAAACTATAATCGACGTCAAGAGATTCCAAGACAAACAGATCTTCTTTTGAAAACTACAACCTCTGGCTTGAATCCAGTCGAGTTCAATCATTACCTAGCAACTGGTGAGTTGCCAGACTGGAAACTGCAAGAAAGCGAGGAGATGGATTGGGACCCTACCGTTACTCGTGTAAACCATGAGTTCAATATTCGTCATCGTGCTCTGGACACGACATCGAACTATGAGACCCCCGTACAACCCTTCGGTCAATCACTATCCTCTTCTCAATCCCTCGCTCCGTTTAACGGTCCGTCTCCATTTTATGGCAAACTACCAGCAGCTCCCATTAGTCCAGCTCATCGACTTCGCAATCCACCAAACAGACCAAGACTTGAAGCGCCATCTGCCCAGAGGAAGGAAAATTTCTTCAACAGCATGACCCAAAGGCAAGCCTTTGGCCAGACGAACAACAATCACCATGAGATTCAGTTTGCGAATCCAAAGCTTCATGTCCCAGAACCTAAAGCTTACCAATTGGATGATGGTTTTGAAGAGGCTTTTGGTAAATTTTCTCTCAAGGAAAGTGAGGATATGCCCACTCAAGAAATCGGGAAGATGAGCTTAGGGAAGGCTCTAGGGTTGAGCTTATTGCTCGGTGGATTGGCAGTGGGCGCAGGAGCTTATTATAACTCCAATTCCTCATCTCAAGACGAGGTTTCCTCGTCACTTGAAGCAATGACAATTGAAAACACCTCCACTATGTAGGTGGGGAACTTCCTCCATGGGTTCTCCCATGGGGCACGTAAGGACCGTGAGGTTGTCATTGATTCACTTGACTTGGAACATCTTATCTTGCAGTGGGGACTCGGGGATCGGGATTGGATCGGGATTCTTAATGGACCTGGGTTGGAGTTTTATTGTATAGATTGACTTGGAATTTGGCTTTGGAACTGGCTTGGAAATTAGCATGGTGGCTTGATAACTTGTATTGAAAGACTTCACGGATTATGAATTATGATTAAGATACCCTGTATAGATAGCCAACTTGTTAGAGATAGAACAATAACTCGATTAATGCTTTGGATTCGAATGCTGAAAATGTGTATGCAACACCATTGATACTTATGCAGCATTCTTACCTTTGTTCTTCCCAGTTCTAACGTCAACAGACAGTCTGGGTGCCAAATGTGCAGCGGGAGATTGAAGATGCTAATAGCCTCCGGAATCTGCATCTCTTGGTATAATTCGAGCCTGGTCTAAAGTACGTATAAAATGAGGTTTTGCAGATCTTCAACATCAACTTTTCCAACCCAACAAGTGTGTGAACAGAGATGGCGATATCACCAACCTCCCTCTTAGGTGCGATTCCATTGCGGTCATTGTGAGGCCGCTGTTTGTTCTAGATGAGCTAGAACTTTTAAGGGTTCAGCATGTCGGGTTTTTGGTCTTTTGGACATGAGTGTGCAATCTTTAACTCAAAAGACGAAGAGCAGTTTTCATCTACCACAGACTTTAAGTCACTGTTAAACTATCGGTACGGTACATCAATCATCTTCAGATTCACTGAAGATCTTTCGACTTCCGTAGCCACCAATAGGCGTCCGATATACGGATACACAAAGTCGATCAATTTCAACGGTGCCACCTCACTGCTCAAGAAACTCGAGCTTCAACAATATTGCTTCAAAACTTCTCTACATAGAATCAAACGAAACTGTAGAATCAACAGCGCACAGGACAAATTCCTCCCTAAAGAATGGCGTGAGGCCCCAAATAAGAAAAGTCACGAACTTACAGTATGGGGAGAATGGTTAGATTGAGTGGTTAAGACATGAGAATTACCGACCAAAGAATTGGGAACACTTAGCACAGAATTGCTTCTTAACTCAAACCCCAAGCTTTCTTTTAGAAGGAACGATTCAGTTTGACACTTTTCAATTTCCAGACCATCTCGATCGATACGACGATACCGCCGATCCCGATGTTTCAACACAGACAATATTATAGACAATCGACACAGCTTTCTGCAACCCTAAATCTAATGCAAGTAATCAATCCTCCTCGTCCTATTCATCACTAATAATTTATAAGCTTTGATATTTAGCACCATCTTACCTGTTGTATCCTTACAGGAATAAGCTTCACACAGATACAAAGCCTAGAATGTGTCTCAAATCATCCGCGATTTCTAACTGGCACCCGCTGACACCGGGCACTCCGCTATTGTGAATCAGCTCAATATCAAATGCAACCGCCACTTTTCAAATCAATAGGAATTTCCAGCTTGATTCTCGAGAGAAAACTTTATGAAGGTTGGGAGAGGAGGCTTGAGCAGGAAAAAGGAAAGGTAGAACGCGGATGACAGTATTGCAGATGTCTAGAACCTCGTGGAGCCTCCACAAAATATCCGGACTGAGACAAGTCCACTTTTAGAGATGAGTGAGAAGGGTTACTCAGAAAGTTTGACGGTTGTTGCGGAGAATGATACCTACTGCAAGCTTGGTATCATCTCCCCACGCTTTAGGAAAATAGCCACAAAGATGTCCCAGGTGTTCCTATATTTGCGGAAACATGGGAATTGAAGGAAGAGGCTCTGCACTCTCGAATATACCTCATATACTTTTGTAGACGAGAAGAACCATTACATTTCTTTCACCGGTAAGCTCTTCCGCTGCCCGCGAGAATTCTATCGCCAATAAGACCCTTCTCGTCAGTGACGCTACCATTGACAGCAACTCTTTTGTCACCAGAAAGTCTTGTTTTCTCAAATACCGGTTAATATTGAAAAATCAAGTAATGAATATGAAAACCTTTCTAACCACCACTTTGAACAACCAGACTGTAATACTGACAACACGACTCTCAAGTGAAACATTTCGAACATAACGACTGGTTTTGCCGAGTTCAGAGTCAAACAAGAAGTATGAGGGATTAGGTATTCAGCGGACTTAACTTTGGGGCTAAACTCTGAGATTCCACAGGCATTTTCGGGGAAATGGATTTTGAGCACCAAATCAACGAAATGCTAGGCCCCTTCAACCGCGGAACTCGACGTCAAGATTTATATGCATATGCTGCCTTAGGCATTAGTCGGCATTCGAGGAACTGACAGCAGCATTTGCACACTATGCTCGGCTCTTGTCAATATCTTCGAACACATTACCGTTATATTTTTGCACTTTCAAAGAAATGTGGTGCCTTCAAGGAGGGGAACTTGACCCGGAGCAATGATTCGGTTTCGATGAGACTACGGTATCATCTATGTCACACTTTCCATAGAATCGTGGGCTAATGACTTAGTTGAATGCTTAGCGAACGTAGGTTTTGTCGAAGAAGCGCGATTGCTTGTCATGTGTTTGAATGCAGTCATATTAAAGACTATCGGTCGCCATTTTCATCATCTAGTATCAAACATTGCGGAGGCCTACCTTAGTTGAATACAATCCGGCTGTCTCTTCGTCATTTTGGCAGTCTCTTTATGTGCCGGAGAAAGTTGCCTGTTCGGCAAGGGTATGTGGGACAGACAGAGCTAACTACCTAGTAAGGTATCGATGACATGTACTCTCATACCTTGAAATTATAAGGACAAAGCTTCTACTCGTGATCCTATCTCTAACAGAACCACGAGTGCCGTCTTTCTCCTAAGCTGGAGTTGGGAGTAGCTATGCAACTCACATCCCCCCCTCAATCTGACGCATGTAACAAATGCCAAACATTTCTGTGATAAGTCTACGAGGGCGTGTTTGAATTGAGGGCCAGGGTCCGTGCATATGTGTAAATAATGAGGGCCCTCATCAAAAACAAAAACACTCCCTCGTAGACGCTGAATAATGGTCTTTTGAAGAAGCATTTATTAAAGTTCCAATGGTATGAATAATTTTTCCTGATGGGACAGATGGTGATTGGTGTCTTGGCAAAAATTGAGTTTCGTCAAAGCTCTTTGGGGATTTTCTGGAGTCCCCAAGTAGCCCTGAGGGTATCTATCTATCAGCCACACTAAATTTGGAAATGATCTTTCCTGGTGAGTAAGGAATGGGTTTTGGTATGGCAGACCCTCTACATATCGATATTTGCAAGTTTGGAATGCGAGTAAAGGCTTCTCGACATAGAGTAGGATTCAAACAGAGATCATGGTGGCGGGACTCGAGGTGTGTGGGGTGTTTGACGCTGAATGGGGATATTCCGTATGGATGGTCATATTCTGACTGGCAAAAAGCTAGCTGTCGTGGCTGTACTCTGTATACCCCATGGACTTGTCTCTCGTCCCCCGTTACGCTTTTGGGATCAAGCGTCGAGGAGATCATCCAGCGAGTATTTATCGATCTGCAATAATGGATTAGACTTGTTATGGCTCGGTTAGCTGTTTTTCTGGGTAACTGTAGATTGGATACCCTCGAGACCATGTACCTGTTACAGAAAGGACTTGGGTATGTCAAGGGCCTAGATAGTCGGCAAATTTGTCAATTATTCACTCACTAACAGGTGCGATCTGGTAGTCATATACTACTTCCCACCACTTATTACCTAGTAGTTAATAGTAATAAGTCTTCCAGCATTATTACCTGTTATCAAACCACAGGGCACACCACAGGGCAAACCAGAGGGCACACGAGCACACGAGCACACCACTTTCGCAGCAACATATCGGTATCTAACACAAACTTGAGCAAAAGGATCATGTGTGCATGATCTCTACAGCAGACTGTTATTTGGGGGTATCGGCGGTCTCCAGTAAAATGCAATAACCCTGTAGAGACATGCCTTCAAATGCATTGTATCCATAGCTAGTAATGAAGATGCAGGTGCGGATGTAACGGGGAGTTCCAATTTAACTCCTGATTTGCATTTGCCGCTTAATTTCTATGCACAGTGGAGTGGAATAAAAATGCACACTTCACTAACAGCCACGTCAATTAGCTACCTACCTGGTATGTCCTTTGAAGAAAATAAACCACAATTATGTCCTCGTATATATCTATATTTGCTTCTGAATCAATTAATGTGCAGAGCAGGATGTACTTCGTGTGAATATCTTTTATTAGTTGACCTAAATCTTACCTTGCCTGGCTTAAGTTAGACTCATCGGACATTAATAACTTCCTTGGAATTGGCTTACCCAGCTAGACAGACAGACTACGATGCTAGTCACGACTAGGTAGATAAATCACCAAAAATCATCTTTTTTCTCTGGAACGATCAATTTTAGTTGCAATTTACAATTTGAGTTATGAATCTACCAAATCTAGCTCTCGCACAATGCTCATTACTTTAATTCTCCCCAGATTTTAAGGTATTCGGTATTTCCTTCTATTCTTATCAAATCGAACGAACTTGCCTGCCTCCTCCCTCCCTCTTCCATACAAAACCAGATACACATCCACCATACATCCTTTCCTCTTAACCTCACACGACACCACGACTTTCAGCAGAACATCTACCTACCACTCTCCAAACATCCCAAGAGCACCTTAACCGATCCATTCACAGCATGTTCATGAAGAAATTTACTCGTGGTCAATAGCGGCCAAGCTCCAAAGGATAATTTTCACTTGTCAAGAGGATTCCCTTTTTCCAAGTACCAACATACGTCAGAGATCCCTACCTGAAGGATATACTTAGCTCCCTCAAAAAGCAAATATTGTCAAACGACGATCCGTACTCACACCACTTTATAACACTACGACCCTCAATAACATGGCTGATGAATTAGTCGCAAAAATCTCCCGACGTTCGACAAGAATTTTCGCGACAGAACAAGAAGTTATGCAGTCAGGAAACGCAAGTGCCGTAGGCATCACAATGGTCCCTCACGAGGCCAGGTACAGCAGCAGTCAAGATGAGAAAGACAGGGAAAAGGAAAAGGACAAGAAGCATAGAGAGGCTCGAAGCACATCCCACCAAACCCCTCTCAAAAGTGCCGATGTTGGAAAGGATCTTGGTACATTGTTCCCTGCCAAAATCGAAACAATTGCAACACAAGGTAATTGGACTAAACTCATATATATTCATTCTTGTATCTCGGATCATTAGCTAACATGAAGATTGAATAGCAACCAAATCCGTTGACACTACCAAAGCTTTGGCCAAGGAGAAGCAAAAGGATAAAGAGAAGGAGAAGGAGAAGCATGATCTTAACTTTGGTGTCATTGCTCCAAATGCAATTTATCGTAGCAGCTTCCCCCAACAAGAGGACTTTGAGTATCTAGGAACTCTCGGGTTGAAATCTATCGTGTGAGTAATTGCATGACCGAGTTTGATGGCTAGTACTAAGTTCTGAAGCACGCTCGTAAAGAAAGACTTCCCTCCCGAATTTCTCGCATTCATGGAGGCTCATGGCATACGTCATTATGTAATCGAAATGCAAGGAACCAAAAAGGTCGACATTCCCGAGCATATCATGAACCAAATCATGAGAATCTCTCTTGACAAGGAAAATCATCCTTTGTTGATCCATTGCAACCATGGCAAGGTAATCGAGTCTGATCCCTTTTCTGATCGAATTCAAGCTGACCAAAGGTCATAGCATCGCACCGGTTGTGCTGCTGCCATTATTCGTCACGTCTCTGGCTGGAGTGTTGAGTCTATCGTTGAAGAATACAAGGCTTTCGCCGCACCAAAGGCTCGTGATGTCGATATCAAATACATCACTGAGTATCACGTTTCAAGACTCAGTGGTCTCGATCGTAATCAGTCAGTTCAACCAACTGCCCCCAAATCCTTCAAGAAAGCTCGTCCTTTCGCTCTTGCGGTCTTGCTTATCTGGATCTACATGAACTTGATGAGATTTTGGGATCACTAGCTGGATACATGCCAACCAATTCTCTATGGTGTTTGGGTACATTGGGTGGGACTGGTATCTTTTGGGATAGGGCATTAGAAAGACATCGGTTATGCAGTGCGCGTTAAGACCGATGCGATTCGGAGTTTAAAGGGTGGTATTGGATTACGGCCACCGCGCCTCACTTACATACTCAAGTTAGAGTACAGCATTCTTATAATATACTTCCTTGTAATATGTATAAACTTCTAATTCATACCTGACTATACTCTTCATACAAACAACTCTCCAGAAATTCCACGAGAAAGCATAGATTCCAAATCCAATGACCTTGCTGTTGACAATTGACCGCAGAGTGCCATCCCCGCTACTGCCGTTGCTATTTTTCTTTTGATTACCTTTTGAACCCTTTACCCTACATACACAATATGATACAATGCCTTGACCGTTGCTATTCATACACTCAAAGAGTTTTATCCTCATTCTCCCTCTTGCCAAAAGCATATGTGATTCCACCACCCACCAAATTCAAACCTGCAACACCCATTGCAGCACCTCGGACCATACCTCTCGCTCCAAATTTACTTCCAATTCTGGCATACATATTCTTTCCCGATGCTTTCCTTCGGTTTGCTAAGATGAGATAGAGACCAGACCAGGCAGCTGTCAGGCCGGCGGAGTCAATGGCATACCCGGAGAGGTTGAGGTAGGTACTGAAGAGGAAGACGGGGGTGAAGGCTAGGGGAAGAGGTTGGAGAGGGCGAGCATGTAGAGCGGTAGTGAAGGTTGCGAGGAGGACGGGGGGAAGAGGTGAGCCTAGAGTGAGAGATGGGTTAGATTCCTTCTATTCTTGAGGGAACAGGAAATGAATTGGTTATTTGGCAAGCTTTCATGTAAGGGAAAGGGTGTATTCAAATCCGTGGAGGGGTCAATTGAGGGGAATGAAACTCACGGCCCCAATCTTGTGCGTAAGAAATTGTAGTCTTTTTGGCATTTTCAACTGCCTTGTCTTGGTCGGACATCTTCTTTGATTGATAAATTAAGTCGGTATATGAAAAGTATGAAAAGAAAGCTTCAAGTAGATTACAAGATACCGTACTGTGATGTATATTTACATTGATTTGTACATGCGAGCCATCTATACGGGTTCTATGACGATGGTACACAAATAGCTATCACGTGCCTGTATCGTCCCAAAATTCCGGTGTAGAGTACAGTACAGTCCATGCATTAGCGCACGATAGCGAAGAGAAACATTGACAAGCACTTTAGCATCGTGGCCATAACAAACTGCGACACCATCAAGATATAATAATTATTAGCATTTGCGAAGTCTCAAGCTTGATGATAATTGGGACATTGACACGAAAAGACACACTGTTTGATCTGCGATCCTTACAATTCAACAAATAACGGCGCAATGCCGGCTACCACTTCTGGCGCTGATACAAAGGCCAACGGAACCGCAAAATCGCGGGAACACAACCAAGGGAATCAAGACCGCAAATATACAACTGAGCAAAAGGCTGCGGTCATAAGGGTCAGAAGATGTGCGCCCACAGCATTTTACGATATTTTGGGGCTAGAAGAAGTTAAAACGACAGTGACAGAGTCGGAAATTAAAAAGGCCTATAGGAAACTGAGTTTGTTGACTCATCCGGATAAGAATGGGCACGAACACGCAGATGAAGCTTTTAAGATGGTCAGTAGGGCATTCGGGGTTTTGAGCGATAAGGACAAGAAAGCGCAATACGATAGATATGGCGGGGATCCAGATAGTAGATTCGGTGCCGGAGCACCGCAGTCGAATCCCTTCTCAGGATTTTCACAGAGAAGTGCTGGAGGAGGGGCTGCTGCCAGACCTGGTGGGAGATCTATGTGGGAAGAGGAAATCAGTCCGGAAGAGATGTTCACGAGATTTTTTGGAGGAGGAGGTTTTGGTATGATTCCCCAGTCTGGTAAAGTTGATTGGAACTAACAGCTTCTTAGGTGGTGGTGGAATGTTCAATGATCAGCCAGGATTTGTCTTCAACCTGGGTGGTGGACCTGGTATTAGAGTACATCAATTCGGGGGTCCAAGACCAAGGAGGAGGCCGAGAGACCCAAATGCACCGCCAGAAGCACCAGCTTCGTTGACTCAGACCCTTATAAACCTATTACCACTCATACTTCTCTTCGGTCTGCCTATATTGTCGTCACTGTTTTCTGGAGGTGGTTCTAGTGGTCCTTCTATGCGATTCGACAATCCTACGCCGCCGCATACCGTCCACCGAGTCAGCTCAAGAATGAACGTTGACTATTACGTAAACCCTGCTGAGATCAAGGGTTTTAGTGCACATCAGTTCGCACAAATTGACCGAGAAGCGGAGGTTCAATATGTCTCACGATTAAAGGTTGGCTGCGAACAAGAAGTGCAGCAACGAAATCACTTACTTCAGGAAGCACAAGGCTGGTTTAGTAGCGATGTGGATAAGATTCAACGGGCTAGGGACATGCCAATGTCGAGCTGCAAGAAGTTGGAAAGTATGGGTATCAGGAATTAATACTGAATTTGACGTGTACACGTTTATGTAGCGTATTTGCTTTGTAGCAAGGTGTTTGGGCTGGGAACATTATGCAAAAGACTGGATGAATGACTTTATGTGAGGGTCTTTCGTTACAGGTATAATAGAGGACGATTTTCAATATAATACACTGGCCGCAGTCATCTTGGTCAATTTTTGATCACTATCTCGAGACAGCGATATATCACTCTTCACTCGAAACACTCATACGTATATAGAAGGTTTAATTTGCTTTCGAATCCTCTTCTACCTTGTACAATTCCATATTGTTCCTCGGCTCTCTTGTTGTCCATGGAAATGGAATAACATTTCAGCCATATCAGACTAGACTAATATTCCAATTCGTATCGAATCTATGGATGTATCATTTCGGGGTCTCCATACCTACCTAGTAGTAATTTATATACAAGAAAAACATGCAGTTAGGATAAATGTCATTTGTGATTCACGAATAGTCTGGAAAAGATTCTATTGTGAAACTCATAATTGCTTTGCCATTGAATGACAGGTAAAGGCGTGTACGGCATACGACGAAGTACAGTATGAAAAAGTACAGAGGTAGAAGCTTCGAGAGTAACGTAAAATACCCTTGCAAGGGTTCCTCGATTATCAAGCCTGGAGGCTAATCGTAGCACTAACTGATAAAGCCATCCACTCCACAAGGATTACTATCTTTAGCCATAAGAGCATCTTCGATACATCATATACTCATCTTTCCAACACAACATTATCAACATTACAATTTGGTAATATGGCAGATCAACCTCCTCAACCACCCAGTGGGCCAGATGCTCCAGATAAGGAGAAGATGGAGCAGGTAAGAAACCTCTTTTTATATGCTAATATACTTACCAAAGTTCGCCATGGCTAATTTTTGTAACCTTCCCATAGATCCGACGCCGCCGCATGGAGAAGTTAGCTGGTTCCGCATCTTCGAGTTCTGAAAAGATTTCTGGCGCCGGCGCAGAAGCTTCAACATCTCTTCCTACTTCGCAACCACCTGTACCAAAAGATAATGCTTCATCGGCTCAACCAGTTGCTAAATCAGCTATCGATATTAAACCTACGAGCGTCACTCCTACACCAGCTGCTAATCCTTTCGCGAAAGTGGGCGCGCAAGCAAGCTCTACTGAGAAACCATTGTCTGTAAGAACTGATCCTTCTCAAAACGTTCTAGGCAAACGATCCAGAACTGAATCAGACATGCAGACACCTCCTCGCCCAACTCCACCCACTCGCAAAGCTAATCTCGCCGAAGAGTCTTTAGAAGACTACGAAAATCGAATTCTTGCTCATGTCTTTCGAATTACTCTAGATCCCAACCAGCGAACAGATGCCTCGAATCATAAACTAATATTTCTACCTGAATTGAGAAAAGAGCTCGAGGAGGAACATGCGGAGATTAGGCTGTCGGCTGATAAACTTGATGGTGCTCTTATGGAAGCCTGCTCTACCATCCCCCATAGTAAACCTATATTCGAATATCTATTGCCATGTTGGAAACGAATCATAAAAGCTTCAAAGGGGCTGCGGGGTTATGCAGGGCAGAAAGACGCGATTCTCAAGGAAGCTAAACGCTTATGTATGAGCAATTGCATCTTTGCTGCCGAAATGCCGGACATTTTTCAGTTTGTTTTTTGGACCTAGGACGCTTACATCTAGCTAATATTTCCCAGACGAGAGATCAATCTGACTACAGATGTCCTCACCCCTTACTTCTTATTGGAGCCTGGTGAAGATAAAGGCATCTGCCCCGACTTTCTCGAAGAAGCTGTAGCTCGCTTTGCGGAGGATGATATGGCAAAGTCTATGATTGTCAAAGCATTTGTAGGCATGAGTAGTAAACTCTCGAATATGACTATGAATGACGTTTACAAGCCCTACGTTCATGTAAGAGTTATAGAGCCGAAAAATCAGCTTTTGGAACTGATGTTACTCGTAGGCTTTCAAATTACTTACGCAATTCAACCCGATCACCACAGCTATTGCCGAATCCCCGCTATTCCAAATGGCTGTCTCAGCGAATACCATTGAAAAGTACACACTACTTGGTCCTTTCTTCAGGATATCACCTTTACAACAGGAAGTGACCAGGGAATACTTTAATGCGCCCAAGACGATAGATAGACGACATATTGCCACATCTCAAGATGCGTTACGATTGACCTTGCAAACCCATCAAAAAGATTTACTTGATATTATCAACCACTTTGTTCGAGCAAGTCCAATAGCTAAAAGCAAAACCTTGGATTGGTTTGCCTACATTGTAAATCAAAATCACAAGCGTCGGGCACTTCAGGTGGACCCAAAAGAAGTATCTTCTGATGGTTTTATGCATAATGTCACTGTTGTTTTAGATGGTCTTTGCGAGCCATTCATGGATACCACATTCTCGAAGATCTCGAAGATTGATATCGATTATCTACGACGTGCGCCTCGTGTAGATATCAAGGACGAGACCAAACTGAACGCTGATGAGAAGGCTTCCGAAACGTATTATGAGGCAACTGTTGAAGGCACTTCTAATTTCATCTCTGAAGTCTTCTTTCTGACGCTGGCTGCTCATCATTATGGTAGTGAAGCTCTTAATGCCACACATAAGAGTCTGGAGAAGGATATCAAGTATATTCAAAAGCAATTGACTGCCATTGAAGCAGAACGTGTAAAAGTGGCACGGGTAAGTCAAACAATCAAGGTCTGGGTTTCCTTACGTTCACATCACTAATTAAATCCAGGATCCTCGGGCTGTTGTTGTACTTGATATGAGAATCAAGAGAATCAATGAGGTCTTAGAAAATGCGATGTCGAAGAGAATGGCCATTGAAGGTGTTCTGTCTGACAAACCTATGCAAGCAAAATCTTTGATTTTCATGAGATACGTTACTGTCTGGCTTTTGAGAATCGCTACGGAGTCCAATTATACTCCTAGCCAAACCATTAAGTATGATTATAAATCTTCTAGAGATTTCTTTCATGGGTAACTGACACAAATTAGGTTACCATTACCATCGACACCCCCTACCGCTTTTGATTATCTTCCAGAATACGTTTTAGAGGATATCATTACCAATTTTAATTTTATCATTAGGTTAGTCTCTCCATTCTTTCACTCTTGGGAAATGACTAAATTTGTTGTAGATTCATTCCTGATGTTATGATTTCAGCTGTTGGCGATGAGATCATTGCACTCAGTATTACTTTCTTGACAAATTCCGAGTATATCAAGAACCCATACTTGAAAGCAAAACTCGTATCTTTACTTTTTGCTGGTACATGGCCAGTGTATCATCGCACCAAAGGTGTATTGGGTGATGTTTTAATGGGATCGAAATTCGCTAATGACCACTTGCTTCACGCATTACTGAAGTTCTACATTGGTAAGTTTATGATTCAAATGATGTTCTTCAATCGTACTAATTGTTCTTAGAATGTGAATCTACTGGAGCACACACTCAATTTTACGACAAATTTAATATTCGATACGAGATCTTTCAAGTCATCAAATGTGTATGGCCGAATGATATTTACCGACAGCGTTTATCACAAGAGAGCAAGTATGTATAGCCTGATAATATGATGATTTGAAAATGTACTAATATAACTCAGGACTAATACGGACTTTTTCTTGCGATTCGTCAACCTTCTACTGAATGATGCCACTTTTGTTCTTGATGAGGCTCTTACAAAGTTTCCAAAGATTCATGACCTTCAGGTTGAACTCAGAAAAGAGGCAGAACAATCAACAATGACTGCCGAGGAGCGAGAGCAGAAAGAAACTGCATTACGCGAGGCGGAAGGTCAAGCGCAATCCTACATGCAATTGACCAATGAGACTCTCGCTATGATGAAGTTGTTCTCTTCCACCTTGAGTGCCTCCTTCACCATGAAGGAAATTGTTAATCGTGTAGCAGCAATGCTGAATTATACACTTGATACCATCACTGGGAGTAAATCAACCAACTTGAAGGTTGAGAACCTGGAAAAGTACCAATTCAGACCAAGAGCTTTCCTTAGCGATTTCGTGGAAATCTATATTAATCTCGGAGTTCATGAACCATTTGTGGAAGCTGTGGCTAGAGATGGTCGCTCATACAAACCAGAGAATTTTGATAGCGCTTCTCGAATTTTGACACGTTACGGACTCAAATCAGCGGAAGATCTCAACGCCTGGGAACGTCTCAAGACTCGATTTAAGATTGCCAAAGAGATTGAGGATCAAGATGAACAAGATTTGGGAGAAATACCGGATGAATTCTTGGATCCAATTTCAGCAGATCTCATGGAAGATCCAGTTATGCTACCTACTAGCAAAGAGGTTGTTGATAGGGGCACGATCAGTGCTTTATTATTGGGTGATCAAAGAGATCCATATAATCGGGATCCGTTGAAAATTGAGGATGTGATTCCAGTTCCGGAATTGGCAGAAAAGATCAGGCTCTGGAAAGAAGAGATCAAGGACAGAAAAAGAGCCGAGCGAGCTGCTGCCGCTGCGGCGGATGCAGCTCCTCAAGATCCGATGGATCTCTCAGCATAGTGCCACTGCATCTTTGTCAATATAATGTAAAGCGATGGGAAAAGGAGAACTGCAATACACAATGGGCATAAATTGGGGTTATATTTTCTATTGTAATTCTGCCCATCTGGGAAGGCGTATTGAGTTTGGGAAAGGATCTTGGAGAGGAAATCCATACAAAGAATGAGGCAAAGATTAAGGAAGGAATAAATAAATGATTGCGTTGTTAACCGATTATTATGGTTATAAATGCGAAGAAATGATTGAATTGGGGATGGTCCTAAAGCGGAGTTTGCACTCATGAATGTATAGAGGATGAATCTTACTACCTAGTTCGTATAGAATGTGGGTCAGCGAATGAAATACAGCATTTACGTAGGAATAGAATGAACACACTTTCGAGATATGAGATGTTAGATGCATGATATAGGATATAAGACAGTGGCGTGAGTGAAGCTGAGCTGGGGTATTGGTTCCATGTGAAGTAAAGTTTACCTAATTGGTGTAGTAGAGCTGTGATAGGGTACATGAGGTAGAAACTAACGTTGGGGCTTATGATAATTAGAAATTTTTTGGTTTAATACCGTAATATGAATAAGTGAAATGTTGAATGCTGAATGCTCAATGTAAGTTTGAAGAATTTGCAGGAGTAACCCCTTTTTAGCTCGCGTATTCTTTTTGGGGATTAGGTGTGTGGGGTTCGGGGTAGGAATTCTTCTTCTTTTCTTTTTGTGTTTTGGTGGGGATTCATGGGGAGGGATGGGGATGGGGAGAGATTGATGGAGAGATGGAGATACGTTGGGGATAAGTTCGGGATATTGATGAAGTTGAGAGGATTTATTTGAGTTCGGTATGAGTTGAGTATGAGTTTCGTTTGGATGTGTTTAGTTTGAATTTGTCATTCGGAGAGAGTAGCTGGTGAGGAGAGGAGAAAAGGTTAGTGAGGAGGGACGACTGGTGAGGAGAGAAGAGGAGAAGATTGATGGGAGAACAACTTTGACAAGATAGGTTTTTATTTGAGAGGAGTTCTTTTTTATATCTGATTTGGAAAATTACTCTCATGCCCCTTGAACATTATTTAATTACATTCATATTCTAAAAATCATATTTGTTTTATTTTTATTCTTATATCCTTTGGATTCTATGTAAATTCTCGAATAGAATCTGTCTTGAGTGTATAGATTTTGGCCTGTATTAACGTGAAATATATTTTATATATATGAAATTAGAAGGAGAAGGAGTGGTTAAAATTGTATGAACCAGGGTTGAATGAATGACCTTGAGTCATTCATAGCCTATATCAAAGGAGCTAGTCTCCCAGCAAGGTCTATTTAAAGCCTGCTTCTTCCTTTGATTAGCTAGCTCTTTAGACAGAATACAAATTGACATTCAGAGCCTACAATATGAATTCTACGTCATCCGTATCCTTCTCAAACCAATAAGAATCCTATCCTCTTTTTATAGAATTTACTCTCAAGTGGTTAGGATCTACTCTCCTGCTATAAAATCTATTCCTTCTTTGTTATAGAATCTAGTCTATAATGATTAGAATCTACTCTGCTACTGTACAGTCCATTCTTTCTTTTCATTAGAGAATTTAGTTTAAAATGGTTGAATATGACCAAAATAAATATAATCTATTACGAGTAAGATATAAGGGGTATAAAAGTAAATTACCTCTCAATTTTAGAATATTAGAGTAATAAAATCACTTTGAAGGTTATAAGAGTAATTTACCGTTATTTTTATTACTATATATCTAATGATTCTTCTCGAGGAAGATAAATCCAACGCGTGTAAATGTGATGATAAAGGCTGTTCAGAATGGCTAAGCGATAAAAGTAAAAAGGAATTACAAAAGAAAGGAAAGGAAATCCAATACTATATACCTTCCAAAATAGTCATGAGGAAATGAGAAAAGAAAGAGAGAGGAAGAAATTAGAAGATATTATAGGTGAAAAAAAATTAAAAAAATTCAACGTTACATCATGAATAGTTCCTGATTAATCTAAGATGTACAAGAGAGTATAAGGAATGAAAGAAAGGAAAATAAATACAATGCAAACGAGTAGTCTAACCTGGGTATCCAATATTGAAATGGAGAAGTGATCTCTTGATGTCGTATCTGGGGAGAATCGAGGTGTACGGCGAATATGGGAATAGTTAAGAGAGGTTTGATGAGTTATGAAGACTGTGCTGAGGTTCATGAAGTAGTGGTACGCATATTTCTACCATGCAGTCTGACAGACAGTTAGACGGGGTAGACGAGAGGAGAAACAAGCGAGGAGCTTAGCGCTGAGGCGAAGGATGCGGAGCTCTAGGTGCCGGTGGTGACTGCGACGATCTACCCCAACTCGGTGAACGTTTCCTCCTATTTTCCGCAGCCATAGTACGATCCTGCTCATCCAAAATGTCCATTTGGATATTAACCTCGTGGAATCGAAGGCGAAGATTAGCGTGTCTCTGCTTCAATGCTATGGTTGCGTCGCAGTTGGGATCCATGCCAGCTTCGAAATTTGCAGCGATCAATGCTTCGATAAGGTCCATGCGATCTCTGATTCGGAGCTTCTCGGCATCGCATTCGTCGGCGTTCATCTCAGAGATGGGGATCTCAGAGGCTGCATCGTAGACTGGGTCGGAGAAGCCGTCGAAACTGGGCATTTTGGATGGTGGGTTGAGTGTCTGGGGATCGGGGTTTCTAGGTGGATGATGGGCGTTTGAGAATGAGGTTTGGATAGAATTGAAAGTTTCGAAATGTTTGGAGCCGATTATTCGGGGTAGACGTTTAGATTGAGATATTCAAGGAGAAGATCGCAGGAATTTTCAAAGTAAGCTTTGAAGTGAGAGATTCCGGTTAGTGTTGATTCAGTTGGACTTATAGAACTAGATGATCGATATCGATACTTATCAAGAAAAGATCTCTCCGAAGGGGGTATCAGAAACTATTTATGCTCTTTTAGACATAGTCATCCTCCCTCGATGACTACCATATCTATCGCATATTCTGGAGTCATAATAGTATAGATATATGAGTGGAAATATATCTCGTTGAAAAAATAGGTTTCTATGTGGTATATGGGGATTTTTGACGGATTTGAAGGGTGCCATGTGGTAAAAGGGGTAGCTCGCGTGGAGAACTCGTGGGGAACTCGTGGGTGTGGGGTATATGAAGGGGTAGGGCTATGATTCTTCGGAGGTGACGGGCTTTTGTTAGAGTTATTTTGGGAAGCGGGTATTGAGATTGGGTCATATAAGTAGATGGAGTCATAAGTATGAGAATTGAAGGTGTGATGTTTGTGTTTTGATGTTATTTTCTACTGAGAGAAAATGTTATGGAATCATGAGGATACATTCAGCAAGGTAGTGCTCAAATTGTGAATGTATCATGCTGTGAAGTTGATTCACCGGTGAGAGCCGATTTGATACTCTGAATGTTCTTCATGTTAACCATTCCCAATTTCAATACTATGGAAAAGATTATTCACAGTGTAGCTGCAAGAGTCAAAGATACATCCAATACTCTATAAAGATGTCTCTATCCCTCAATCTCCATCCCCAAGTCCTACAGCAATACAAATCTACAACCAGAAATACAAAATCCAATCACCTAACCAACCAAAGCACCTCCACCGCAACAAAACAAAACAAGATGATCCCCTTTTCCCGTCCCCCCACCACCCACATCCCATCCACCTCTCTCCCCCACACAGTCCAACCCTTCCCCATCTTCCAGCGCTTCTGCGACTCCAACATCTACAGCAGCAAGCAACTCCGCACTCTCTGGACCAGCGCTCAACAATCCCAAAACATGAATGAAATGAACCGTGTGGCGGTATGGATCCAACATCATTATACCATTCTCAATCAATACCGAGTTCGGATTTTAGAATATACGATTAGAGAACATGGTGTAGATGAGGGAGTGAGAAATCAGTTGAGAAGAAATCTTTGGGAGGAATATGAGAGGATGGGGACGACGATGGTGGAGGCTGAGAGGTTTTTGAGAAGGTGCGGGAGGTTTGGTACGGTTTAGTTTTGGGGGTTGAGGATCGAGGGTGTGGAATGGGGGATAGGAAGGGTGGTTTTGGAGAGATATAGATACAGAGAATCAATAGACTTGGTTAGTAGTGAAGCACACATGTTGTGTTGAGCATCTCTACAAACATAGGCATAGGGAATAATAACATCAAGATATCAATATTACCCACACTATCTTCACACTTGTGATCACCAATATCATATATTAAGATTATAGACTCGAACTCAATAAGTCTAGCTTCAGTGATAACTTCTTGGAGTATATAACGATAGTAAAGTGTTCATATCTAAGCTATAATCTACACCAGCAATCCTGAGCAAGATATCATTGGTCCAGTGCTTTAAGCGAGCGAATCAAATTCTCCCGCCGTCACTACAGCATTAGAGTCAAAGGCAACAGAGTCAATCTTATATGAGAAATCGGGTAACTCGTCCTTTTCTCTTTTGTTCTCTGTACACCCCGATCCTTTATCGGCTTTCCGAAATTCCATGAAGAAAAGTACATTATAATGTATTCTCCTCCAAGAAAATCCACAATTGTGAGCTCACTCAAGTTTTCAAAGAAGGATCAACGTTATAGAGAAAGGCTATGTCTTTGCGCTGAGATCCTATAGTAACTATACTCTATTCGCAGTATCTTTATTTATCTTCTCGCTAGAAGTATATTTCGGCCCTTGGACACAAATTGTTGGAATCATTCAAAACAAAAGCGGTGGGAATACTATAACTCAAGTAATCACTCCAAGGGGGCTAAGTTATCACTCACCCACTCACGAAAAAGCATGGAAATGAGCATACAGTGAACGAGATAGATAAAGATACTTACAATCTACGATTAAAATCTCTCGTGACAGCTATTCAGCATAGCAAGCCGTCAAGGCCCCATCAAAAGTAATGTAATCTTATATAAAACGACGGAGAAGCAACGATATCCATGTCGAGGAATCTTAGTCACTCTAATATATAACATTATTGATAACTCAAAAGTCCAAGAAAAATGAGAATAAAAAGATCCTTTTTCTATGTTTAACAAAAGATGTGTATCACCAATTCACTAGCATGATTCGAGTCTATTTATATCCTAAGCTATTACAACAGAGTCATCTGAGCAATACCTATATATCGAGTCACATCAAGAGCTTCCAAGTCATGAACACAATAATCTTTCCCCAAATTCCTAACAGCCACGCATAAAGAAACACGCATTTTCCTTGGAAGATTCGACACCACATTCTCAGTTCGTCGAATTCCATATCATTATCATATGAATAAATCCTCTATATAAAATGCTCTGGCGACCTCACAGACGTCCAAATCCAGTACCGTGAACATCATTAAAAAAATCACATGTATATCAAACAAGCCGATATGAAACAATGACCTCCTTAGACTGGAAGAAGTATGTTGAATATAAAAATCTCGCTCGCAAGTTGCTATTGATTTTTCTCCACCATGAACACTATACCCATACCACCCCCAAAACCCCCACAAACCCAAAAATAGACCAAACCAACTAATACCCAAACCCACTCCAAAAAACCTCCCTTCAAAAATCCATTCTAGTCCTAAAGAAAGTAAACCCCACCTCGCAAACCTTCACTAATAACGCAATCCTCAAACTATCACATCCATCCATCGGTCCCCCCTTCCGCAATCTCCCTCCTAATCATCAGCAACATGATTCAACTTCTCCTCAACGTCCGATATCTCTTTCTCCAACTTCTCCAATTTCCTCTCCAATTTCTTCCCCCGATCATCCTTCACCTTCTTAGCAAACGCCACTGCCCTTTCTCTCGCTCTCTTCCTACTCTCTTCCTCCCTACCACTCAATTCTGCTTTCGCCATTTTCTGATGAGTTTTTTTCGCCACGTACCTCGTCTCTTCTTCTGTAAACTTCTTTTGATATCGTGCCTCTTCCTCCGCTTTTCTTGCTTGTTTATCAGCTATCTTCCGTTGCATATCTCGATCTCTTGCCGCTTTCTCTCTCTTTTTCCTTGTTTCGAATGCGTTCTTTTCCTCTTCAATTCGCTCCTCTTCCTTCCTCTCTTTTTCTAATTTTGCCAACCTCTCCCTTTCCTTAAAAGCCGCTGCCGCTCTAATACTCTGCTCTTTTCTCTTCTTTTCCTGTAAAATCCTTCTCTGCTTCTCCTCTTCAGCCTTTTCCCTCTTCTTTGCCTCCTTCTCACTTCTGATTCTTTCCTTCTCAGCTTTTTGCTGCATCAAAAATTGGTTCCTTTCCAATTCCTCTCTCTTCCCATTCTCCCTTCTCTCAGCGACCTTCCTAGTCATCTCCATTCCTTCCTCCTGCCGCGTCTTCCGAGCATTTGCCTCTTCTTCCAATTCTTTCAACGTGTCATCTACCCCATCAAACCTAAGCTTCAACGAAGGATTCCTACATGCATCTGGAGAGGCAACCATATCTAATCCCCGCCTGTAGTTTGCAATCCTCGATAGCATATCATCAGGATCAATTTCTCCATCACCCCATTCTTGACGTGTATGTGCTAAATTGTCTTCCAGATGTTGCATATGTGAACTTATCCTCTCAAACACGTCATGCGGCAGATGGTGAGTAGATGTACGAGGGCCAGTAGAGCGATGTTCTTCCCTAATTTTGCTGCCACCGTCGGATAATCTAGCGCCATGCGAATCCGACTCGACATCAATTGGCCCAAGATGAATTGATTCAGGCCTAGATCTTGACGAAATAAAGGATGCAGAACTAGGTGGGCGAGGCGCGACTGCATGGTGGACCGAGACAGGTCTCCTACTAGCTCGACTACCAGCTCGACTACCAGCTGCAGATCTTATCGACATGACTATATTTTATAAACAGGTAATATTGTTGAATGCAAGTGTAAAGGAATCCGAGATTACCGACTGTAGGACTGAGATTCGAAGTTTCGCGGAATAGGGGTAGAATTTTTCTCTTCTGAAAACAACAAATAATGGAATAGAGGTGACAGGACAGGATGCGATACGATGTGCCGCGATGCAGTTCAAATCGACGTGAAATAAAGCCCAGGGATGTGAGGCCAAGCAAAGCAATGGAAAGCGTAGAGAGTATGAGAAAAAGAATGCAAGAGGTGCAAAGCAAGCCAGTCCAACGTTTCCGCAAGCTAAGTTTGATTCTAAAAACTATTTTATATGGTCATCAACATCAACATTAATATCAAATCGCGAAAGTGTCAATGTGTGTACTAAAGCAAAGAAACACACAACAAGAGAAGTGCACACTCCGCACTAAATATTCACTCTCCACCTCCACTCACACCTACCAACTCATATAATAATAATGCGGCATAATCATTAATACCAGTGACTTGACCATGATTTCTAACCATCCTCATCCTAGCTCAACGAGTCACATCACAAACGGTGAGCGAGCGAATGAGTGAGTCTTGACAAGATCAATTACTCACGCAGGGTTGTAATTTCGATTTGTAGATCAGGTGGAAAGATATGAACTGATACTGTATGACTGAAAAACAAAAAAGCTCTAGGGTGATATAAACCACATAACATAAGAACAATGTTTATAAAAAGAATCCCCCGACTTTTATACGATATTTAAAAGGTATCCAAAATCGACCTCAAACGACACCTGATGAGTTATTAGGACAACTAACATTCCAAAACTTTTTGGACATGATATGAAATAATAGTGCAACCAGAAAAGACAATCATTTCTGATCCTACACTTATGAGAGTAACGCCTACTGACCTACCCCATCAACCCAACATCACAATGCACGCTACATCTTCCTCAGATACCCAAATACCAACACAAACTTCGAAGATCCATCTTTCCATCATCCATCTATCTACACCACAGCCTCCAGTAGCTTAGTATCGCGATAGATAGATAAATAAATAAAATCCCACGCCAGCCAGCCAGCCAGACAGAAAGACAGACAGACAGAACCAAGCTCAAAACTCAAATCCAAGAGAAACAATAGAATCTCACTAGAGACGATCAAGGAATGACTCAATTGTTGTATTGAATTATGGAACAACCAAAAAACAGTCTACTCCCATATGGATTTTTACGTCCTCACTTTCGATTAATAGTCCTCTTCCTCAGGATTATTAGATCGTAATCTTCAGAACACATAGACCAATCCTCCCGTTCTTGCTTCCACGTTTATGAACTTTCTTTTGGCATCTTCCTATTGAAGCCATGCATTTTTTCCACTCGGGATATATCATACTCACTTCTGGACAAGAATATCGGGAAAAAACAAAAGCAAAACAAAACATACCTAATGTCAACGTATACACTTCAGTCGCAAATAAACCATATAGATTGCATCATAATCAGCATACCCGGAAGAAATCTTGTTTATTTTGAATCCTCTCTATGTAAAATTGACTTTTATTCAATTCAGTCATTGTCGTGCCATAATTGCAAACCCATGCTCCATATGCTATGCTATGCTATGCCATACTATGCTGTCCGATTTCTTACAAAAAATATAAAATCAAGTGCTCCGGATTGATCTCTCCATATTTTAGAAAGACTTGGGTATCATTTTTGACTAAAAAAGAAGAGTTGTTGCAATGATGACGAAAGCAGTCATCAAAGAAGAGTATTTATTAATCTGGTTCCCACTCGAAGTTTGAGTGGCAGTAGCAGTCACAGATGATGACGCCGACACAGTTGTCCCAGGAGACTGAGCGCTAGGTGAGGCTGATGCTCCCGGGAGTAAAGGATTCAAGGTTCCTGTTTGAACAGCAGAAACTAGGGAGTGTGTGTTAGATAAAAATTCAGAAGCAGAAGTGGTAACTGTGGATCCAGAGCCAGAAAGAACGACGCTGGTAGAATCGACAATGGAAGTGCTAGTTCTATCTACGGGTTCTTGTGCAGTAGGGGTAGGAGTAAGAGTAGAGGTAAGCCCACCAGAAGAAGACGTCGATGTTGCCGAGGATGTAACAGCTTTCTTCTGCGCCAAACCTATAATTATTAGTACATGTAGCAGAAATTGAGGCGTAAAATAAACTTACCAACACGATCTTGATCAACGTCAAACAAGGCATACACGTTCTTAAAGAAGGTATCGCCAATTAACCACGAGTTTGTGTCAACCACAGCCACAGCATAGACATTACTTGTACACACCCCATCCACCGAAGGCCCTACCCAATCTACAGAAGAAACATCATAGGAAACTCCAGAGAAGGTAAAGGAGATAGATGTGGTGGTAGAACAAGGTACTGTCCATGTGTTATTGTCTGTGGTAACAGCATCGGGTACAAGTGCATGAAATGCTATCACATCTGTTGGTTGCCCAAAAATATAAGATGTTCCACTATCGAGGTAGCCCAGTCTCCCGGTAGTACTAAGTTGAGTATTGCCAACTCCCACCTTATCAAGAGGAAGTGCCCAATGATTTGGACCGTTTTTTGCGACACTTGTATAACTTAGATCACCACTATACCGTGAAGTATCTGGAGCACCGAAGTTAATTTCTCCAGTATTCGTACCATCCGAGGCACGGTTCAAGTCCATTCCAAATACATTGGCCTTGAGAGACTTCGAGCTAACAACGGTCTGTAAGAAATTGGGAACCGGACCAGTCTGTTGGGATAGCCCTAGAATGCCGGAGAACGGGAAAGAGTTGAACTGATCACTAGTTTTATTGGCAATACCTAGAGTCAAAGGAAGACTCATGCCAGCAAAATTGATCGTGTCGGTAGCATATGTTCCAGTAACATGACCGGATCCGTACGCAATATCCAAATCCATATTGACCGCTTTGTAAGTCGAAGAATCTGCTGCACCGAAGGAAGCACGAGTCTTGCATGCACTAGAGGTGCAATCGGGACCCATAACCCAACTTGTTCCCGCTCCTGTATCGAGCAACATCAACAGAGGATCATTCTTGCTCCCTAGTTCCACCTGAGCAAAATAAGAGAAATCAGTTCCGGTCTGCAGAATTCCTGCGCTGTTCGTCTGTGAAGGAGTTGCTGCAGTTTGAATCGATAATGATGTGTCGTCATATTTCACAAGATTGGATCCACGCTCTTCGACTTTAGTAGCTTTAAGTCCCGTTCCAGGGTTATATTTGCGAATAAGTCGATCTGTTAGCTCGCGAATCTGAACATCTCTGGGTTTATTGGTCTTATAATAATGAGTTAGCAAAAGCAAATCAAATCGAACCATCTTCAACTTACAGATGGGAGCGTTTGGAAAAGCTTGAGTACAACATTGTTCTCACGACTTTTCCCGCTTCTCTCGGATGTATCTGGGAGAGACTTGTATGATTGGCGCCTCCATTCTGGGACAAAAGGGTAAAATGCTATGGAAAATTGGAAGAGAGCAAATAATGCGAGCAAGACGAAATTGAAGGACCACATGATTGGTAAGAGAATAAAGTATCTTCAGGAAGTGGGGGTCTCAAAGTCAGCCAAGGGCCAAACACACAAGTCGAACTCTCAAGTGATGAATGTCGAATGTAATGCAGAACTTTGAGGAATTAGGTATGTTGTGAAGGTCAATTTCCAACGAGGTATGGCATGTAATCAATTGAGCGTGGTAGATCCGAATGTCTGGAGATCTAGACCGTGAATATTTGGTGAAGAAGAAAAGAGTGTCCTCGAGGGAGAGTTCGAACCAGGTATTGTCTCTTTGGTACGATCAAATGATTTGGATCGTATCATTCACTGACAGGTAAATTTGAGGTGAGCCTGACTGGGAGTACCGGACCCTCTGGATTCTTGTTTGATATTAGATATTATGATTGTCGTGTGATAGTAGATGTGGAAAATTAAAAAACGCCAAGCTGGTCAAAGACAGTGAAGCCGTCAACTGTGCTTGTTACGATTTGAATATGTACGAGAGTGTAGAAGAAGAAAATGAGACCAAAGTCGTGAATGCCAATTGTGAGATTCGTATGGCAGTTTGAAGATAAGAAAAAAGATGTCCCCTCCAAAGAAGTTTGAATATGATCCAATCTTATGAAACACAAAAAGGAAAGCCCGGAGTTGTGAAGATGTGGTGAGATAAGGAAGAGGGAGATGTAGATGTAGATGTAGATGTACGGTAGTAGAGAGGTAGGGGAGGGGAGGAGAGGAGAGGAGAGAGTTTAAAAAGAAAGTATGAAAGTATGGAGGTAGGAAAGAAGAGGTTGCATTGCTTGGGCTTGGCTTGCTTGATTTGCTCTTTTGATTTGCTCTTGACCACTAGGGATCTAGGAGATCAGGAAATCAGGAAATCAGAATAATCAGGAAATCAGGAAATCAGAAAACCTCTAAATCTAACTAGGAATTGAAGAATTGAAGAATTGAGGAATTGAGGAATTGCATATTTCAACGTGGAGGGAGCTCTTGCCTTGCTACTCTCACTAGCGTCTGTTCCTCGTGGGAAACTGTAGGCTAAAGTCCCATTAGGTCAAGCTTACTTATCCAATTGGCGATCATTAATCTCTGCTGCTCCAATTAGTTCCAGCTTTTAACTGATTCAAGACCCTTTCCTGTGCTATTCCCCCTCCCTATGCACTCTTTTGGACACTTTTTAATACGATGTATTTCTTTCAATCAGGGGTCAAAGATCTACTTGCTCAAGACTCAAGAGACTGAGATACTGAGAGGCTAACGATATACTTTATTGTGAGTGGTTGCCAACCGCATCGGTGGCCTTCAAAACTGCATTGACAGTCTAGGGCCTCTCGGCTGAATCAATCCACTTCAACCCACCGAGCCACCCTAGACAGATATCATCCCATGTTGTTGATATTCAGACCTAAGTATGTATGATATCGTCATCATCAGCAAGCACTCCTCTTCTAATGAGGGGGAAAGAGAAGTAACTGGCTAAGAATGACTCTTGGATGTTACGCTTGGAGAAAGAATGAAGTGGTCAAATCGATTGAGTGGGATAGGAGGTCGATGCGATAAGAATTCGCATTCTAGACAGAGTTGACTGTTTACCAATGTACACACCTACCTCCCTGTCTACCTAGGTATTGGCGCCTTTTGCGTTTACGTGTTGCTAAATACAGCCAAAACCACTTCTACCACCACCAGGTATCTTGGTTAGTCATTTCAATGCAACTCTATAGCCAATTTTTGGATACTAATACATAAAAGTCAATTCTATCAAGCCAATCATAATTTCCTGAATAATGGGATTTTTCTAAATTACGACGACTTCTCTGTCTGTGCTGAACGCCACATTCACTATCTTAGAGAACCTTGGAAGACCCATGGACAACTTGAGATGCCACTCGAGATTCGAGACTGTTCTAACTTTTTAATTGGTGATATACCTTTTCCAATTAACGAACCGTCTGAACTCTGAAACATAGACTCTGATCTCTCACGAGTCACTACGAGACTACTTCAATTGTAATCATGACCCTCTCTCGAGCCTCTACGGGCCTTACCGTGAGCGAAGAAGACGTTCCCTTCTTGGCCGCCCAATTGTCTTGTCTCCTTGTCATTTCAATATTTCTTTTTCGTATGTTGGCAAGAACCAACCGAATTAGATATCGCTTCTGCAAAAGCCATGTTCGTGTTGCACCCGTGGCGCAAATCAGTCCGTTCGTGTCTTGGTGGCGCTATGAATTCCCCAGAAATGTTTCAATGCAGGGGCCCCCTATTCTGAAAAATTTGATGAATATGTTAACGGTCTCAATTGTTGGGAAATTCTCGACGTCTTCCAAAATGGGTGCTTTGGTGTTAAGTTGTTTCTAACAAAACAACAATCACAAACAATCAATCACCTTTCTATCCTTTTCCTCGACTAGAAGGTCTGACGTTTAACCGAACGTTGAGAAATCTCCGTACAGGTTTGTTTTGGGTGGACAAACGGCTGGTAAAGAGGCACTTTGCATGAAGATGTCTTACACTGAATTCTTGAAACGTTATGTCTTGATGGAATGAGGCGGAATGTTTTGCCCATATTCCAGGTACCATTCATGCGCAGATTGACTTATTCGTTGACTTTTAGCATCATCCGAGGAATCTTTGAAATCTTCCAAGGCTTGTAAAAATGCGAATCTACACTTCTCTGTTATATTCCCAGATGCCACCAAAGTCCTGAGAAATACCCATAAAGATTCTTCTTTCCATCTTAATGAAATTGCCATTCCAAGAACTTCTTCACATATCAAAGTCTTTCGGTCAATCGTAGACGTCGCCGTTAGAAATGTGGGAGAAGATAGACAGGACAACAGGAAAGACCACCCGGAGGTATCTCCTGGATGCCCCAAACACCATTTCTTTGCATTATATATTATTGTAAGGTAGGTAGTCTCATCACCTTCCACCGATTCCATCAACCACCGCATGTGAGACCATGCGTAGTAATTCCGAGGATGCCTCTCAGCTGCCACCATAACAACTGATGTAAGGTCCCGAGATACATCAAGAGGTGGCGTCTTGGATTGACGAAACTCAAGAAGCCATCTCCTGTGGCTCCATAGTGTCGGTGACTTCGTATGACGATTGAGGTGGGACGTCAAGAGACTGTCAACGAAACGTAGCTCGCTCTTTACTTCCAACCCCAGCTCAAATACAGTCATTTTTCGAATACTTTGTATAAGTCTTTTTCGAGCATTACACGCAGTTAAATGTTCCGGATCTGTGAGAAGAATGATTGAAGTAGCATCCCGGATCTCCTTTGAATGTTTGGGGCCCAAATCTTTGAAGTTGAAGAACACTTTCCGCGCAACAACAAATGCTTGGATGAGTTTGATTTTAGGTATACCAACACTGTTCTCGAGGACTACCGTATTGACATCTTCCGGTAATTGACCTTTCCTAAGAAGCTCAAAGTCTATCAGTTCGTGACCGAGAGCAAAATAAGGATCGAATACTTTCACGATATCGTCGTAGACTTTTTGAGAATCGCCAGCATTTAAAGATGCAATAGTATCTTTATCAAGTGCTCGTGACATGATGTTGAGCTCTGGGGTGGCAGTACAATATGTGAAATCATTCAAATGATACTCATCTGCTCAGAGATTATATAAGTTGCATGAACTGGAAGTTCATGACATTCAGAAGGAATGTTTGTTTGCTGTCGTAGAGAAGAAAGATGCTATGGTAGTCTCAGAAATAGTTTACATTCTCGTGATGACCTCAACATGGTCCGAGCTTCTGAAGCTTCCGTACAAATTACAATGAGTCGAGTATGATAGCCCACCACCGAGCGGACACGACACAGTTCCCACAACTATATTTTCAGGAAGTTCTCGAAGAAAGAGGCAGTCGGATATTCGACTACATAGCTTTGAAAATGCCGTCTCTCCTCTTTACATGTTTTCTTGTCCAGTTACTCATCCACCTCGTCAATACTTTTGGTGCAGATGCGATCAATAATCTAGTAAGCTCTCCAATCCTCAATATCTAACCTTGCCAAGTTGCTTTACAGTTCAATATTCCTCTCGCAAAATCATCTGACCAATCCTAGCTATGGAATCTCTACAATATGTTCCCAACACCAACGTCGCAGTCCGCGGGCGAGCAAAAGAAGTTGAAACGAGAATTCATGAAAGTTCGTCATGAAATGAATGCTACAAGTAGTCAAGACGAATTTGCCAGATGGGCGAAATTGCGCAGACAGCATGACAAGCTATTTGATCAGTTGGAGAAGTCAAGTACGTCTCTAAACCCCCAAACCTACAAACTTCAACAAGTGGCTCAAATCTAACATCTCTCCTACAGAATCCACGCTCGATTCCACCAAATCTACATTCGATTCCTCAATTACCACACTCCGCTGGTTGGGCACGAACGGTCTACGCATGTTATTACAATTCTGGTTTTCTAAGCAAGCCATGTTTTGGTTGCCCAAAGGATGGTTCCCTTATTACGCGGAGTGGTTGTTGAGTTTCCCTAGAGCACCACTGGGAAGTATCAGTATACAAGCATGGACACTTGCATGCGCAGCTGTGATTTTGTTGGTCAGTGATGCTTTGGTTGCAGTGGTTGCGTTGGTTTTGGGAACACAAACTGGTGTAAAGGCGAAGAAGATGGAGGAGCCTATGAAGGCCGGTGGACAAGGCACAGAGAAGCCTGGCAAGAAAGAGTTGTGAGGCTTACAACTCCTGATACGTATTTATATCTTTACGAACGCAATGCTGTACGAATGTTTCTGCATTTTTACGAAACACGAGAATATGATATAAGTGATGTCTCTCAACAATTAAGACGCAAAGATCCTCATAGCTAACGCTGAGATCATGCAACACGAGTGAGATGACTCTTGGCAGAGTACTTGGGGCTCAATCTGGGCATACTTTTTGACTGTGAGAGACCATTGAGAAATAGGTCGCCAAAGCTTCGAAAGTGCCACTACATGTGTATCAAATCAATACTATACCTAATTATTCCCATTGCAATTCGAGAATAGCAAGCGCATACCAGGGAACAGAATCAAATTCTCATGCGCAAGTGCGTTGCTCATACTCCAAACAACTCATGGTTGAGTTTGGCTGTTTTGTATTTGTTAGATTCCCAGAACGAAAATTTCAAAGAATTTATGTATGCCGAATTTATTTCGAGTCCCCATACTAATAGAAACGCTAAAGATATACTAACTATATGCAGCCACCGCCTCTATTATTGTTTCATGGCAGAATACCCTTTGATTGTCTTATCGCGAACGTGTTCTGAAGAAATGAGGAATCGATTCAAACTGCCAAACCTATGATACTTTATACAAGTTGAGCTTCGCACATATATTATGGTGGGAATATCGTTTGGGACGTATGTACAATTTTCTTCTCTTGTCTCTTAGTTATACCATCAAAGACCTGCAATTTGTAGACTCACAGATTCACAAGCTAACTCATCCACAGTATCAAGTCCATCGTAATATTCTTTGGACCATTGCTTCTCCCCAAAGCAATCGCATACTATCGATCGCAGCGCGCAGCTCCTCAAGCCCACGGTCTCACAGTTCGACCGGTTCCTCAAAATATATCTCGCGCTCTCACGATCCTCTTCATAACCTCTCTCGCTTTCCTCATCAAAACCTTCCCTACCTTTACCAATCCCTCACTCTTCACACTCACCCAGTCTCGTCTACAAATCCCAACCGATGTCCTTTTTACCCGTCTCCAGACCTTACGTCCCACTGGTCTTACTCCCGCCGACGAAATCCTCAAAAATGCATTTACCAGTAAAGAATCACGACTCTTATATCTAAAATACGGTCCCGATACCATGACAAACTGTCCCTTCTGCCACCCCGAAGATCCTCCATCCTACCTACTCTACTCCCTCGTGAGCATCGTCATACCACATCTTTTTAATCTCTGCGTTCTGGCCCTCGCAACCAGTACCCTCTTTATCGGCAAAGAAGCAAATATCTGGCGCGGAAAAGCTACCACTCTCGCTGGCGCAATCGCGGTCCTCGATATCTATTTCGTCACACAGTACAAACATACCAATAATGCCACTGCACTCAGACTCGAGGAAATCGATCACTTTTATTGGAATATGCAACTCTATCGCAATATCGCATTAGCAGCATTAGATGGACTTATTGGTTGGCTTCTCTATCTATCTTCCACAAACCGAGCATTCCTCACTCCGCCTACGACGGCGGAAAAAATAGAAGCCACGACGAGGATTATAGACCAGGTGAGAGGGAAATTGAACGGGATAGCATTGATGCGTAATACGACGGTGAGAGATAAAGATTTGAGAGGAAAAGTAAACGAATATTGGGTGAGAGAAGCGAATGTTATGTTAGAGGTACTAGAGACTAGGGAGGTAGTCGATGGTGTTAGAAATGCATTGGAGGGGAGAGTTGATCTGGTTGCGGTACAGAGGGATGCAGATGCCTTTGCGGAGGCTGTTCTGGGGGGTGTAGGCAAGGTGGTTATGTAATTTTATGGTGTTTTTTGTACACATTGATAGATCCTCAATATTGATATAGCTCTGATTTTCATCAATATCAATTTTCTTTTCAAACAAACCTTTGTTCAGTGTGGAGAAGCTAGATGTCATGAGCATGAGTTATAAATTATAATCCAGAAGCTCGTCTATATTCAGACTCCAACTATCCCCCTTTCATTTCAGAACTAGTTAATCAATCTCTCAACGGACAATCCAGAAAATTAGATTTAGATTCTTAAAGCTAACGCACCTGAATGCTCGATCATTTCTAAAGACAACCTCCACCCCCCTCCCAAGAAAGGCTAGATATCGATGAAGATAACACCAATCGTAGTGTACCAATCTATACGCCTCCAACCCCTTCGTGAAAGGAATTATCACCACGCTGAAAATTATACATCACTAGAACAAGACACAACCCTCAGATACGAGCAACCTAATCAAGAAACCCAATATTAAAATTTCTCCCGCACACACGATCGATTGGTGCTAACAAGCCCACCACGAAAGACCCTATATGATATGATACAATATGCTACTTGCCCAAAACGAAATAAAACGCAGATTCCACGAGCAACGCCATGTCAAAGAATCTCATAGCACAAAAAACAAACGGCATGAGAACCATCACAACACCAATATCACACCCCGTGAAACGCCCTCGCAATGTAGCTAATATACACCTCAATCTATTCCACAAATCAAAAGGCCCTAAGTTCCCAATATCCTATTTTGTTGCGAGAGTAGCTGAGCTACTGACGCTTCCACTTCGACTATCTTTCACACTTCCTTCTTCGGCGCTTTTCTCTAGAAAGCCAGTCCAGAGTTCTGATAGAGATTCCTTTTGAGAGGTTGAGGGCTCGGTAAAGAATTCTGTGGATAAAGATGGTGTGCTTGGGGTTCGGTGAAAGGGCGACATCGGTAAGCGTAGACTATTACTCGAAGCGCCTGGTCTGGCTAAACCAGCTTGTTCTTTTTGTTCATCTGTCCAGTTCAATAATGAAGCAATGACTTGTAGGACTTGAAATTTCTTTGGATCTGAACGATCCAATGAGAGGAAATGTAAAAAGTGGTTTGTGACAACTTGTCTACATTTAATTAGTTCGAAATTCGATTTCGTAGTGTGGGAGTGTAACATACCTATCAACATTGTCCTCTACTTTCGACTTTTTGATAAATCTCAACGCTTTCGTGAGGTGATCATTGATCAAAATGGCTTCATGACGAAGTTTTCCAATCAACAAATTCTTTTCCTTGACTTCCTTTTCAAATGGAAGGAGTCGATTCAATTCTGTTTGCAGAGCTTCTTTCGAAGTTTCAGCCTCCACACATCTAGAATCCGACTCCTGAACGATCTTTTTCAAAGATTGAAGTTGCTCATCATAACTTTCGACCATTTCTCGAAGTTCCTGTCTTCGAGTCTCTTGGATCTCCTGCAAAGCTCGTTGTAATCCATCAACCACCTGAGAATGACTATCACGTTCGGCGACGGTGGTTTCGTATGCTTCTTTCTGAGCTGAAAATTGTTCCTCCATATCAGAAACTCTACTCTCCAGGTTCTCTCGTATAGATCTTTCTTCCATAGCCAAAACTTCCCAATCTCCCATGGCTTCCTTTGCAGCATCGGCTTCCTCTTTGAGATGTTTAGCTTGTTGAAGTAAATCTTCCCTTTCATGAACCCAATTCTGCTGTGATAAATTATTACGATTCCGCATGCTCGAAAGTTCTTTGGACGATTCGTTCAGTTCATTCCTCAATTTGGATACCTCGTCCTCCAATCCTTGGATAGTACTTTGAAACGATTCTACTTGTGATTCTAAGTCTTCTATTTTCTCATTGGCCTCCGCCAATTCCTCTTTATCTGCCTTCAATCGCTCCCCCAAAGTCGTTTTGATCGTATTGACGCGTGTGAGTAATGTATGATATTGAGATTCCCAGTTTTCTCTCGAAGATTCAGTCTCCTCTAATTCTGCTCGGACTGTAGAAATTTCCTCCTCGTGTTGACTCTTGAGTGCGGTGATCTCATTTTTGTATTTTGCCTCGACAGATGATAGATTCTCCGAGTATTGGTCCTTGGCTGTTGAATCTTCTTCCGTGTGCTTGCCCTGGATATCCTCGAGGGATTTTCGTAATTGTTCAACTTCAGCGCGCAATGCCTGGCGTTCCGCCGTCATTGCTTCCAGTCGAGCACTCGAGTCCAATTCATCTGATCCATTGCTTTCCGAGGTCCCTTCTTTCTTCCCGGTGCTAGATTGTGTTGGCGCAATGGTATGGCCATTACCCGCGGAGTCAATTTTGCGCCCGTTCGTTTGCGAATCTATGCTTGATGGAAATTGGGCGTCCTTTGGAGTATTCTGTCGAGAATTGTCAGAATGCGCTTATGTTTGCTATATAGTGAGTTGTGAACAGGTGTCACTCGTACCACAGTTGACTGCCCGGATTCCTCTGGATTCCCATCTTCTTCTTCTGCTACGTTTACTGTGAGATCGTTCACTTGATCTTGAATTTGGGGTATTTCTCCATTTGATTTCGATTTGGCATTCTTCTTCTTCTTATTGCTCTTCTTCTTCGCTATTATTATGTCAGTGTTTGTTCTTATAGCGTGAGCTTCCCCACCATAACGGCGATGTACAAGGGCAAACGAACCTGGAGAAGTAACATTGGAAGAATCCGTAGGAGCTGTGGCTGACATGATTTGATAATAGGAACAGATTTGATAATAACAAGAAAACTTTCTCTTTGGGACCAATCGCAATTCAATTATTGTCGAGGCTGTGACCTTTGAACATTATTAGGTAGCGTTCTCCAATTATGGCACAGTATATGTTTAGCCCGAAGTCTTAGAGCTGCGTAATGATACGCTTTAGGGTTGAAGAAGTTACCGTATTCGTCAATATTTCCATCGGTTTTATGTTCTCCCTGTGTTTGTATTGACGAAGGGTCAGACCCCATCTGCATCAATTGCGACACATTCATCATGTTCATCTACTGTTATTCACGTGTAAATGTTTGATGAGAGCCAACATAATAAGTTGGTATTAAAAAGAAGGTATCTGTCCAGTCAAAAGCAAGTGTCACATCTGGAATCTTGGTACATATCTCAAGAAGAAGGGCACAGGCCAAAATACCATTCATCCGAGAGTCTATTAGTCTCTAGGCTCACGGAATGATTTGAGATACTTGCATATAGAATAACTACTACAACCCTAAATCACAGTTCTCCTACTCGTGATAGATCCCCAGTTGCGGGGACGGGAGAGCTATATTCTATAGTCATAGAATTGTTCTCCAGTTACCAATCTTCTTCTTTGATTTGATATTTATATCGCCGACCAAGCTTAGTTCGACGATTATGGTGTTGAAAGGAATGGGCTATTCTAGTCTCTACCCCGCCCATTCTGCCATTCAAGCGAATGGCTACTTGGTATATAAAGCTCTTTAAGGTATCCTCTAATGATCTATGAACTTCAAGCTTGTATCAACTCCTCTTCTTATCCATACTCCTAATAGATGACTTTCAACTTCACTTTTTTACATCATGGGCTCCATTGAATCAGAGGAAATGAAGTCCCGCAACTATATGAAATGGGATGCTTCAGGGTTTGAAGTTATCCCTCCCAATGAACAAGAAGATATACAAGCTATTGCGGACCAGATTAATGCCATTCAACAAGCTCAATTTAATACTCATCGTCATTGCTTTGGAGGTACTACTTCTCAACCCTGGGTCAAAATAGAAATACTAACATCATCAAAGGGAACACATGCAAGAGCTCAAAGACTGGTCAAGGGTGAAATGGTTGTTGGAGGTTTACCTCCACATCTTGCGCAAAGCATGTTCTCTCGTCCAAAGACATATCCAATTGTCATGAGATATGGTACCGAACCTGGTGATCCAGCTCTCGACGATCGTATTCCGCAACCTCGAGGTCTAGGAATGAAGGTTTTCAATGTTCATGGTGAAAGATTTGACGGGAAAGAGTTGAGCACACAGGATATCGAATTCAATAGTACTCCTGCATTAGATCTTGCAGATGCAAAGACGACAAAAGAAATTATTGATCTTAGAATTAAGTACGGAGGAGACAAGGCTGAGTTATACAGGCATTTAGAAGTTCGCAAAGATACGGCATTACAAAAAGCTCGTGATGAAGTCAGGAATACTCACCTCGAGGTATATATTCACACCATCTAGCCACGCTGCATAACTCAATTGCTGACATACATCTAGTCAACACGACAGTATTCGCAAACTGCTTATAGATTCGGTGACTATGTTGTCAGATACTGCCTAGTTCCATCTTCGGAAACGCAAAAGAAGCTCTATGAAGAGACGGTCAAACCAGACGCTCATCCAGATAATATTCTCAGTGAATGGCTCAAAGAATTTCACACAAATCACGACGCAGGATATCTCTTCCGAGTCCAGCTCCTTGAGAATCTCGAAGACCAACCTATAGAATATGCCGGTAAGGTCTAGGATCCCGAAAACTACCCATGGCAAACAGTTGCCACCCTCAAGATCCCTAAGCAAGATAGTTTTATAGCCGCGAGAAAGACGTTTTGGGAAGATCACATGAGATTAGATCCATGGTGTGGACTTAAGAGTTTTCAACCTCTCGGATCATCAAATAGATTAAGGAAAGTTGTCTATCCAGCAAGTAGTTTATTTCGTCGTAAGATGAATGGGAGACAGGAATTGGATGTTAATAACATCGATTCAATCCCAGATGGAGGTTGGGTTATTGGGGTGTTGTGAGCGTTGAATGAATGGTACATGAGCTATGGTTGGGAATATGGATATCATTAATAATGATTACAATATTAACGATTCCTGTCAAACAACCTTTCATAGTCTGTAATGCCAGCTTTTCTTCGTCTAATTCAAGCTATGAGTCCATTCCACTCTCCCTTTGAATCCTCATCGCTTCCATCTGATGATCCACGAATCTCACCCTTCATTCTCAGGCACCAATCGCCATATTACCTAATCACGCTCAAAACGCACAGACCTCCCATCTACCATAAAATCCTTCACCTCGCCTCAACATCTTTTCTTTCCTCTTTACATATAACCACAGCATCCATTGTCAGCCCTACCTGGGCCCATCCAAGTTTACTTGGATAAGTTCAAGTAGGATTGTAGTAGGGACTTTGTTTTCACAAGACCCAAGTACTGAAATGGATCGCTCAGAGAAATGAACGCTTCAAAATCCTGATTATCGTCTATGCTCGATGGACTTTTCAGGTTCGCTTTGTGTCTACATTCTGGGAAGAGGGAGGATGGAGTGTTGGAGGGCGGAGTTAGAGATATGGACGACTGTGGAAGGGGGGAGAGATGGAAAAGAAGGGGGTTTCAGAGGTAGTGTAGGTAGTAGTAACGAATATACCTTTTTATTGAAGAGACATTTAGTTTTGTCATGTTCTTGATATACATTCACATCGCGTTCATCAAGCATTTGGAGAGAACTTGATTCGTGAAGTACACCAAGCCCAGTTAATTCGCTACTTGATATCTCATTGTCAATAACAAATCCAGAGCCAGCCAGTCCAAAGATAATGTCTTAGCTTTCACACATCCTCAAATAGGGTATTTATTCATCGTCTCAACATGAATACACTAGCACCAATCATCCTGAGCCCACAGCAACCCTCTCATCAAAACCTCAAGAATAAGCTAGACCAGTGTCCCATTATCTCCTAACCCATCTCAATCCCACACTCTCCGGATCAAACATTACATGCAACATATGTCTCTCATGATCAACCGCCAAACTACTCTTCCATGCCCTCTCTCTTGCCTGCTTACCAGTCTCTCCGTCATTGGGGATAATCTCAACTCTCCAGTCTTTGAATAATACAGCTAGTACAGCAACTAGCTCTACCTGCGCAAATTTCTTACCAGGATATACTCGTTGACCCCACGCAAAGGGCATGAAATGATGCGACGTATCTGCTTCGATTTTTTCCTTGTCAAAGTCTTGCGTGCTAGGATTTTCAACGGGAGCGGAGGTAAACGATGTACTGATAAACCGGCCAGGATTCCAGGCAAGAGGATCGGAACCCCAGTATTTTGGATGCGCATGAAGAGCGGGTATAGAACAGTGCACAGTACAGTAGTATGGGGTGGAAGAAGATATATTTTCCCATCAACTGCAAGACTTATCTCTTGTGAACCAGTAGTTTTCACGAGTTGAGATAAAGGATGACAAATACGAAGAGTTTCGAACTGCCATTTATGAGTGTACTCACACTTCTAGACGTCAGAAGTGAGGGACTTACAATAACTGCTCTACAGCGCTTCAATTGAAAGTATGTTTCGTATTTCCAGGACTCTACATTCGTATCTGTGCGTAGATGATAGTTTGTCTCCTGAGAAATCCAATCTTGAGTGTCGAGGTGCGCAGCAAGATGGATAAGTAAGCTGGTGAGCGTAATAGCTGTTGTATCCTTACCGGCAAAAGCGCAGACGAATAGATGACTTGAGATCCCTTTCTTCGTAAGTGTCGTCTTTCTTCCTTTATACGATGTTTTGTCAATGGTTGTAATATCTGTGTTCGATTCTTCACCCTCCTCACGAGCTTTCACTAGTCGCGCTACTAGACGTTTTTTCTCAGTTTTTTCCACGTGCAAGATGCTCTTTCTCTTTATCCATCAAATTGAAAATCTAGGAGCGGAAATCATTCATCGCTCTGGCTGCATTTTTAAATGATCGAGGTGTCCACCAAGCTTTTTAGACCTTCTTCTCCAACAACAAAAATTTGGTTGATAGATGACAGAATCGTGGATAGAGACTTCCGATACTGATACGACTTATCATTCTTACGAGCATCCCATTTCTCAACCTTCTGACCTTCAAATGGGTACACTTCGTTGAACATCACAGCTGCAAGAACATTAAGCGTGAAGCTCTTAGTATCTAAATATGTCGATCGAACTGGCTGTTCCGCCTGTTTTGTCCAGTACTCCAACATTCCTTTCGCCTGCGCTGAAGACTGTTGCCAAACTATCTCATTATTCTCCTCCGTAAACGTCACTGTCGTCATCTTTCAATGAGCTTGCCACTCCGTACCATCCACCGTAAACAAATTCCGTCCATTGACATCTAAACCCGCCATCTCCTCCATATACCTCCTAAACTCCGTATTCCTCATCAAAATATCATAGATAATATTAGCATCCGCAACACAAAGTTGTATTACCCCCCCCCCCCCCCCCCCCCCCCGGATGAACAACTAGAAATGCATCCCCGTAATCAACGAAGATTTGCGCTCGCTCATTGGCTTCCCAACCGTGAGAATGATGCGTGTGAAGTTTTCAGATGCAATTCCAAGTCGTTGACAGAGTCGCACGATGGAACTACCATAGAGAAACCAGATGGAGTTCATAGGTGATACATAGCGAACGAGGTGGGAAGGACCTATCAAGTGAGCTATGGCATAATTAGTGGCTCGGGTTTGAGATGACCAGATGAGGAGTCCGAGTGGGAGAGTGTGATGGTTGTGGTAAGTAGCAATATGGTGTAGCTACTTGATATTCCCGGTGACAAGAACGGCTGAAATGCCATTTTCTTTGATAGAAGAATATCGATGGAGAAAGTCGAAGAACTAAGGGGTTATAAGTTTGTCGGAGAGGTAGAATTCGGCAAACAATTCCCATCCACCCCCCAAGACACAGCCCCAAGTATAATCCCCTCGAACAATTTCAGGTTCGTGGTGTCATCACAGTGAATTTCTACAGTGAATTAAAGGTGAGCAATTGAAAATAAACTCATGAATTTGAAGTTCTTGTCCCTGCTATCATCGGCCCACTTTCCATGGTAGAGTAATTGTATGGAGCTCATATAAACAACAGTGGGAGAAAGTACGTAAATATAATATCTATTCTCGCTTGTACGTACTATCTTGGCAAAACTGATCACTAGCGAGGCTCTGTTCTCATCTAATGGACATAGCTTGGCAAGAATCAAGTGGTGTGAATCAGATATTGCGAAGTTGATGATATCTTGAGAACGTCAACCTTTGGCTTTATAGCGTAGAAACACATCTGCAATTGATAAGAAGCCTAGTTTGAGATGGTTTGTGAGGTCCATTCATTCCACCCTGCGAATGCTGCTCTATAAATTAGCTCGTTGCCGCGGGCCTGTAATAGACTTGTCGCCGTCCAGGTTCATACACAACACGTCAGTGACCTTCTACAACTAATCAGTACTCTTCACCTCTCCCAATACACAATATCACCTAAAAGCCGTTTCAAAAATTGTAAAACCGTCGTGCATGATTCATACAAGCCTCTATGCAATGAGTCCGATGTATTATGCGATACTTCATCATCTTACCTCGTTCGCCTCCTCGAAGTGGGGGTAATGTCATTGAGGCAACTTTTGACTCTCACTCTCTTACAGAGATTTGGAGACTCGCATCTAGAGCATGTTATCTGGTGCAATATAAGAGGTGCTACTATATAATTTATTACTTCACTGCTTATACCATACCCTTGAAGCAATACACTTCCATATTTGAATTCAAGTAAGACGCGGTTCGAATGTCCACAATTGCATGGTGCTGGGCAAACCACATCAGATCACCCTGCTAAGGCTTGTTGACGGGAGGATTAAGCGGTAGCTTGAAGTGAGCCGATCAAATGCTAGAGTGATAGTCTTAATAGATCGAATTTTTGTGCATCAATACCTTGAGGGCTCAGTATTCCACACTCCAATTTGTATAGCCCGCCTACATCTACATCTATCCACGAGATCTTCGAGCAAAGCACTTGACTACAACTGTTGAACTATACCGGTTATACGCATGTATTTAGTTCTCTCTTTGCAATTTGCCGTTGCCAATTTTTAATATTGACGTCAGGGACATAGCAGACGTGTTGTGTGCTGCAATACTCCAATCGTGTTGATAGGTAATAACTATCTTCTCCCTCCATCGAATCATAAAAGCTAAATGGAATTTCTGAACAAAAACATTGCGGTGTAAATATCAAGAGCATAACAACAATAAAGATTTAATAAGAAATCTGAAGGTCAAGATGAAAATCAAAATCGCAAAATGCCCCAAGAAACTTCATAACTAATCCACGCTCGTGCAGCCTGTCGTAACGCCATCATGTTTTCATACAATAGAAACTGCATACCACGTAATTCCATCTTCATCCACATCAGTTGAGATATAGTCCTTTTCTGAAGGAAGGGCATCGCCAAGACCCAGCTCCCTGAACTGCTCATCTTGGGCAAGATTCATGGCTCGACAAATCAGTTCGTAATGAGGGTCCATTTTGAGAACCATGAAATGACCTAGACGCTCATATTGCCCATCTTCTTGACCGGTATGTCTCAGCAAAATGCCCTCGATTCTTATATACTCGGTACCCGCGGCTTTCAAGATGCCAACAGGTAATATCAAAATTGAATTCCAAAAGCCTTCCGAGCCACAATCTGTATAATCCCATTTCAGAGCGTAACGTCTAATTGAGATTTTACCAATTGATCTTCCACTATACTTGTCAAATGGTGACTTTATCTTATAGATTATCATAGATCTCGAGCGAACGTTTAGAACTCCTCTCTTAACACCTCCAAATGGATCATCATGTTCAAGAGTTACGTCGACTTTGGTGATTTCAATATATGCCTCAGTAACTACTGTTTCATCGCTAGAAATAGAGACTGGTTGTTTCACTGCAGCCCATGACCAGGAAGGGGCTCGCCAACTGTTTTCCCTTAATTTCTTCCCCGAAGAGCTTGTCCTCCAGCACTTAAAGTTGCATACTTTGAGCAGTTCTCATTGGCTGATTTACATAGACGTATTTCTTGAGAATCAATTTTGATCAGCCGTGTAGGTAGAGCAGAAGCTTTTTCCTGTTGTCTACAAGCACTGTGACCTAAACAGCATTCTCGAAGCCATGCCCGCACAAGATCTGTCGATTCTTTAGTACAACCTAATTGAAAGCTTTCCCACGCATTTTGACCAAGATCTGTGTTAGTATGATACTCGCGTGTACGATGTTCAGAATCCAGTGTGTTATCTAGTACAATCATCGCATAAGCCGACTCTCGGCCTCGAATACCATCCTTGACCATCCAGAAATCAAGCGATATATTCCACAACAACTCTCCCTCGTGGAGATTATAGCTTATGCCAGAATTACGCTCAAGTGTCATGCGGTAGGGCTTCAGCTGATCAGGCGGCAAGTGATTGCCGGCCGCATGAGCACGAGAATTGTGATTTTCCCAACTCAAGTATAATTTACTCACAAAAAGAGCACACAAAGGACATCCACCAGACGCCGAAGCTTCCAATTCAGACATAGCATTATAATGCGCAGAAACTAGAATGATATCCATATGTTTGTTGGATAATAATTCATGGGCAGAGGATCAAGTATCAAAGAATACTCTACAAAATTTGCATAGGTCTAGATTCAGAACCTCAGCTGTAGTCGTGTTTGTGCTGTTCTCACTCTCCGTGCATGTCTCTTCGGCCACTTGGGAGCATTCAATTGGCCATCGTACGAACCGGGGACTATCGATCTCGGATCTAGAAAGGATATCTGGATGATCTGAACAGCAATCGCCCGAACTTTCTTCTCCTTCATTCTCTTCTTCTTCACTCTCTTCATGTTCCCTTAAATAGACCCCATCATCATCATCATCATCATCATATTCATCCACGTCTAAATTGCTGCCAGAGCTGGCATTGTGGCGATCCGAGTCGTCTATTACATGTGCTCCGACAATTTCGTGTCCCTCGTTCCCACGAGATGCCTCTTTTCTCAACCCATCTGCACCACTTTCGATACCGAAATTCTGGTCAGGAGAGTGGCTCGAATTATTCGTTGAAGGGTAATCATTTGAACCGTCTTCAATCCCCTGATTTTCATACATATCTTTGCCATCAACCTCCACGAGCATTTCAGCATTTCCCCGCTCCTGAGCTTCACAAACACCACCCACTTCTACAGCATCTGTCCTAATAGCACCCGACGACAATCTTCCCACTGCATCAGAATCCGTCGCTCCCAGTTCCAATCCCAAGTCTCTTGTACCGACAATCTCATCATCACCATCAACTCCCGATCTCTTTTCCGCCGAAGACATCGTCCACAAAATATATCTCATGGACAAAATAAAGTAAGCAGGCTGAACAGGTGGGGTAAACGCGATACTCGAAGATTGATCAATATCTCGCCTGCATGCTTACATACCTACGTAGCACCTACCTATTTAAGCAGTCACCTTACAAATCAAGTGGCTTGCCATATCTCTTCCGTACTCTTGATCGCAATTCTGAAGTGTACTTAAATGTGTATGCTATGCACAAGGAAACCGGAGCATATGGGGCATAGATATAACTACCCATATCTCTTCCATACTCACAACCCCACACAATCCCGAGACCTCAACGAAAATACACTCAAACTGCATACTCATGCACACGCAACCAATCCAATTACACTCGAACTCCAAATCCCGATTCTCAATCCTGAAATAAGAACCAGAGCACAGAGATCAAGATTCCCACCCCCTCACCCATAGACAAGAATCTCTTTCCAACCTCCTGATCAAGCTCGCAATCCTGAGATCCTCAAAGAGAATCGAGACGCGCTCAAAACTACTCGACACCACATCACCCATCATCAACAAGAATACCTACTCAGGTCCCGATTTTCCATTTACTGATTTGAAATCTTATATATATACCTAGTATTTATATACATATAACATTTTAACCGAAATTTTAACCTTCAAATACTCTAAATCCTCTAAATACTCTAAGAACTTCCAACTACAACCCCCAAGTCCCGAGTCCAAACAAGATACGCACAACATGCTATTTGCACTTTGAGAATATCTCCCAGTAGCCGAGTACTACTCACCTACTTACTTCGCAACAATAACACTCGGCAGATTCCCCTTCTCCCAATGAAAAATCCACACACTATGTGAATTCAACAATCTCAATCCCAATCTCTCTGAATCTGGCTGTCTCTCTCTTTCTCTCCCCCTGAAAACCTCCACCCTCATAATCCTCAATTCTATCCATCTTCATGAGCACTTACCCCATTCCTTCGTCCCCCGATTCCTTATTCACGCATGTCCTCCCCCCCCACAAAGCATCTCAAGACTCAAGACTCAACATCCAAATCCTGTTTGTTTTCAGAATTCACATAATATATACGTAGTCTTTCGATCAGCTCACTCCAACTACAATTTCCAGAGTATGTACTAACATTTTCCTCCTGCACGATAACGCCCTACTGAGAAGGAGCCTTTCTCTCCTATTTTCCCATCTCGATTCCCGTATTTTCATTGATAAACCAACCAATTACAATTGCAATCACTTCGTACCTACGTATACTAGGTTCCTCCCTCAACACATCCCATTTAGTCTCCAGTCTCCAAGTCCCGTCTTCGATTCCCATCTCCATCCTATAAAAGCACACATACACCTAACCACCAGACCAGAATCTGGTAGCATCATACAAGGTAGCCATCATCAAGCCCCCACCTCAGACCTTCCTCAAGTCTCAGCTGTATACTTCAACAAGCCTCACCCTACGTACGCCCTCATGGATTTTTAAAAAGATGAATCGAAGGAAACGCCTCAATCCCCAAAGTTGTCACGTCACTATTTACCAAGCAACTGGGTCTCGATCACCCGCTTCCGTTTGCCGTCATGTGAAACATATACATACTTCTTTCTTATATCTTATCCGCAAGTTCCGATGGATCATATGCAGGGCGCCGATGTGGCTTTGTGAGTTCGCCTCATTTATTTGTATTTCTCGGGCCCTTGAATTTGTGACTTGTGACTTGGCCTCGAGTTTAGAAGTAAATATTTGGGAAAAGGAAAGAGAGGAAGAAAGCAATTGGTAGGATAGACAATATGTATATGATAGGGTTTCAGTCTGGGCATTGAAGCATATGAGATTTACCCCAAACAAACAAAAAGGCCTCGAGCCTAAAAGAACACGTTAACTGTAACACAGTGAACGCAAATATAGAAACAATGTCACACCAAAAAAATCGATACTTGGAAACATCAATCATCATGTGACATTGTCTCACTCCGATAACTCTGACAGAGTGTGCCACGTAAAGCAAAAAAGGGATGAAAAAGGATCAACGACATGGTTGATATGCCGGTAGCCATTGACATCCCATCTTTGTGTTACGGAACACGACCTTCACACCGGTGGGTAGGTATTCCGCTCTTAGCCGACTAGCTGGATGGGATTTGGGAATGTGTAAGGGCATGAGATAGAATGTGAAAATAAATTGGGGCTGAATATACGGGGATGAAGCGGAACTTATCTTCTTCATCGAGATCTATTCATCTGGAGCTGTGAAGAGAAGTATGCGATCAAAGTGGAAACGAAAGGAGCGGTGGAAGGAATCGAAGCAGTAGAAGATCTAGAATCAGCCACGGGGGCTGATAGATGACCTGAACGTACCTAGAAAATGCATGAAAGTGCATTTCCCCATCACATTTTGGAATTCCCATGTCGATATAAATGAGATTGATCGTAAAAGGAAATCATGAGAGGATAGGGTGGTCAAACTAGCGACTCTAATTGTGGGCGAAATGAAAACGAGTATTATCATCTGATATCGTCAACCATATTCCGAACAGTGCGAAAAGAAAAGGAAATTATTAGCATAAACTTTCATATTTCGTGTTTGGCACAAACCTACCTACCCAGATTCCCATCCGATTTGTACAATGCCTTTATGCAAGATTATCAGAGTGAATGCAGCCAAAGTAACCCCTGAGTGGGTAGAGTGACATTCGAGAGCTCTCGCCTGCCGCCATCCTACGCCAGGGATATAATTCCCTGTATTTTGTGGAGGAAGGATTGGGATTTGGGTGTTACGCGAGATGTTTCGTTATGCAAGTGACCATTTATAGATATCTAGGTAACTATCTGCAATCGATCAATGAGTATAGGCGCAGACTTTGGATGATTTGAAACCGATAATCTCATGGAGTTTTTGGGGGGATCCTCATACCTCCTCGAATTCAAATAACTCTTTCCATTTGTACCTTCATGAAATCGTGAAGAAGATATGTCGTCCGAATCTGGAGAATGCCCATTTAACGGTCTTGCAGTGACAGGTTTTCGGGTTTTCCTTGGTGCTACTGCTACTGCTGCACCTAAAGAGAAATGTTCTAGGCGTTGAGACTAGTTGACTAAGGTAAGGCAAAGTCAGGTACCTACTCCCCTACGTTTCCATCCGTTTTTCGGGATCAGAGACTTGGTTTGAAGTACTCGTAGAATTAATTAAAGATGTATAGTATAAGTTAAAAACCATTATAACTTTTATAATTTTCGATAAAATAAGCTAGAATTGATATTTATAATTAGTTAATATTATAATTATATTATCTTAAAGTTTCTAAAGAATCGAAATTGAAATAATCGAAATAAAAGCAATCGAAGTTATTAAATTGATTCGAAAAGTACCTATTTTCTAATATCTTTTTAATCTTTAATAACTTAATTAACTTGAAATCTATAATATTAAATCTAGATATATTATAAAATGAAAGTTTTTCTATTAAATGAATATATTTTTTTATAAAGATCTATCTATAATTGAGAAAGTTATTTATATTTGAATTAAAAAAAGTTTTAAATTTATTACTTTTAAAATAGTAACTTTATTCATTTTAGGGTTTCTAAATATAATTTTTTAAAAATCTAAATCTCTTTTTTATTTTAATTTTAAATAACTTCTGAAAATAAAGATTAATAAAAAATACTTTTTTTAGAATAAGATTTTTCTTTATTTTAAATAGAATTTAAAAGTTTTATAATATATAATTAAGAATTAATAAAGATATATAGAATCTAAAAGATAATATTAAATTATTTTTATTTTTATTAGCTAAATAATTTTAGAATACTAAATTATTCCTTTTTAATTTAAATCTTATTAAACTTTCTTTCTATATATATAATATATAAAAGAATTCTTCTGTCGAGTTTAATATAATCTAATCAGAATTTGTAGAAATTATAGCTAATTCTAATATATACTATGCATCTCCGATTATTTTGTCAAGTAGTTTATGCCACGTAATAACGGACTTATTTGGGATGCATTTCGCGTATGTATGTTACGCATTTGAGAGTTAATAGAGAAAAATAGCAACGTTGAAAGACTGGACTGGAACACTGAAACGTTGAATTGAATTGAATTTGGTATTGATTGGTGGGATTTTCATCGCCACCTCGGGATGATGCGATGTTCGAAATCTTCGTGAGTCTTTTTGTACTGTTGTACTGTTGTACTGTTGTACTGTTGTACTGTTGTACTGTTGTACTGTCGTACTGTCGTACTGTCGTACTGTCGTACTGTCGTACTGTTTGTTGTACTAGAGGTCCTATAATTGCGTTGTGGCGGATGGATGGATGGATGGATGGATGAGTAGGTAGTAGTGCTGAGTATATTGGGAGAAAGTAGGCCTAGTACTAGTACCGGTAGGATGAGATATTGATTCGTATGAACCATTATTTTGATGAGTCTGACTTATATTTATTATAAAATAAAGCAAGATAAATGGAAACGCTATAAATGACGATGGAGTAAGAAGGATATAGTCTGCATGCATGCCAGCCGAACCAAGTAAAGAACTGGGTGCCTGGGCTAGTAATTAAAGTGTAAAAGAAAGTGTTCGCCGTTCAGGCCATTCATCATTGGGTATAAGTTGGAGGAAGATCGACCAAACGCTATTTGCTAGGGTGACAAACACTTTATTTTAGTTGATCCCTTCTTCCAATCCTGAAGATCCTTGAGGGTTTAGAGATAAGTTTTTGGTTGATGAGAGGGAGGAGGGGAGGAGGGGAGGGGGGGGAGGTGGGGAGGAGGGGAGAGAGCAGGGAGGAAAGGATCGATTGGATGGTTGGATGTCATTGTGAGAGAAGGAAGAGATGTTTGTTGTAGAAATGAATATATTCAGAAGATATTCAGAAGATATTCCAAATATATACGTGCCATATCAACATACTCGGTACTTTATTAGCACATAGATCGACGAGGTACCTATCTACAATACCTAGGTATATATAATACTCGGTACTCACCATAGACAC